CAATCCTAATTTATGTCATATACTAACATAACATAACTATTTGAAAATATAAAAAAAAATTGAGGATGAGCCACTTTTGGAACGCACCCGGTATAATAAAGACAGTACCGTGTTAAATAAATGTAGTTTTCATATTATCCACTTCCTATCACCTTCCTTGCTTTAATGGAACAGATTTATGTTTTCTAATTTACATAATAAGACGTCACTTAACCAGAAAAAATTACAAAAATCATATTTTTTTTCTCTCCTGTCGCCGATTCTATTATATCTGTGAAATAGATCCTGTTTTGATTAATATTAGGGGTTGTAAATGTTTGACTAAAATTAATAATTTATTATTAATTTCAAAATTACGTAATTTCGTTAATAAAATTTCTTCTATAACGAGTATTTTATTATTTTTATCCTTTTGGACTCTAAGCCGTTTTTTTTCTAAACTTTTTATTCCAAAAACCTGTCCGAAATCTTAATAAAATATAAAAGTTTAAATACGATATATTTTTAATTTAATTATAGCTTCATTAAAATAAAAAAGTTACCCGGCTATGATACGGAGAGTTCAGGTGTACTTGAGAAACGAAAGACAGTGTTGTGTTTCTCGGCAGAGTCGTCAGGGAACGACCGTTACGACAGAGACAACCTATCTATCGCTCGTGTCGCACTCGTTATAACCTAAAATAACACAACAATAACAAGACATTGTCTGACCGCATGTTCCAGCTATTTATGAATGAGATGCTCAGTCTATATTTTATTTTAAGTCTATGGTAATATACAAAAGACCATCGGAATGTGAGAAATTTTATATTTGTGTATCATTAGACCGTTATATGTTCAACTCAAAGATCATATAGATTACTAGCGTGTACCAGCCACTTCGTTCGCGTCATAGACTTAAAATAAAATATAGACTGAGCATCTCATTCATAAATAGCTAGAACATGCGGTCAGACAATATCTTGTTATTGTTGTGTTATTGTTTTAGGTTATAACGAGTGCGACACGAGCGATAGATAGGTTGTCTCTGTCGTAACGGTCGTTCCCTGACGACTCTGACGAGAAACACAACACTGTCTTTCGTTTCTCAAGTACACCTGAACTCTCCGTATCATAGCCGGGTAACTTTTTTATTTTAATGAAGCTATAATTAAATTAAAAATATATCGTATTTAAACTTTTTTATATTTTATTAAGATTTCGGACAGGTTTTTGGAATAAAAGTTTAGAAAAAAACGTCTTAGAGTCCAAAAAGGATAAAAATAATAAAATACACGTTATAGAAGAAATTTTATAATCGAAATTACGTAATTTTTGAAATTAATAATAAATTATTAATTTTAGTCAAACATTTACAACCCCTAATATTAATCAAAGCAGCATCTATTCCACAGATATAATAGAATCGGCGATTATAGGGAGAGAAAAAAAAATATATGATTGTTGTAATTTTTTTTCTGGTTAAGTGATGTCTTATTATGTAAATTAGAGAAAACATAAATCTGTTCCATTAAAGCAAGGAAGGTGATAGGAAGTGGATAAAATGAAAACTATATTTATTTAACTCGGTACTGTCTTTATTATACCGGGTGCGTCCCAAAAGTGACAAATCCCCATAATTTTTTTATATTTTTAAATAAAAAAACAAGATTTAGTATGTTAGTATATGACATAAATTAGGATTGATTGACGCATTCAATTGTTTTTGGTCACTTCCTGTTTCACTGGAAATGACTATAACTTTTAATTTTTAAACGGTACCCTCGGTATATTTCTACTTTATTCGATAGAAAATGACACTCTGAATAGAATGACATATCATATGTCAACTTTTGACATTTTCGCATATGGTGTAATTGTAATTGTAACACGCGGTTCATAACAATTTGACTCGAAATACCAAGTGTGTGGTATCAATATATTCATAAAAAAATGTTTTTTTCCAAATATGCTAATGAGTCACCCTTGTTCCATTTGAAAAAATTGACATATGTATGATTAAAAATACGATTTGTACATCTTTTAACCGGCCTAGACAAGACACGAAACCTATTAGACGATCAAAACTATTTTCCAAGGCTCCTTTGATTAAAACTTAGTGTTTTTAACAACACCATGGCACCCTGGATTGAAATTTAAAATACGATTTGTTTTTAAGCGACAATGTCAAAAGTTGACATATGATATGTCATTCTATTCAGAGTGTCATTTTTTATCGAATAAAGTAGCAATATACCGAGGGTGCCTTTAAAAAAATCAAACGATGTAATCATTTCGGTGAAACAGGAAGAGACCAAAAACAATTGAATACGTCAATAAATCCTAATTTATGTCATATACCTACTAACATACAAATCTGTTTTTTTATCTGAAAAAATAAAAAAGTTATAGGGGTGAGCCACTTTTGAGACGACCCGGTATTTTAAAAAAAATTGTTTCATAATGTAATATCATTTTAAAATTCTTGTATGTTATTTTAGATTCTGAAGATAATTTTAGAATAAACCGGAATATATTTTTAATAAAAACATTATTAATTGTTAACAGGGTTATAATTATGGTTTTGTTACAATGTAAGTAAGTAAATAATGTAATGTAAGAGAAAAAATTCAGATTAAAAAAAAATAATTAAAATAATTTTTTGCTCAAATTTTGAGAGCCACTGGATCTTTTCTGGATTTTCTTTCTTGTAAATTTAATCCAGTCTATTAAGTTAGATACATTAACTAATACTTGTATTTTATATTTACTTCAAATACGGGTAAACCAAACTCATATGTCTATTAATGTCAAACCAAAGTTCATGTGTTAAAACCTCAATCTATGCTCAATCTAAATTGCATGCCAGTTTACGTCGACAAGCCGAGAAACACTTGAAAATTCTTTCCCGGCCAGTAGTTCCCGGTTTGTTTAATCAGACCGAATTCAATTTTCCGTGACTATCAGGAACTATTTAATGTGATAGCCCAACTTTATGGAGTTATTAAAGTTGGGCGAAGAAGAAGCAATCCCGGAAATAGAAAAAGAAGTTCATCGAGAGGAATGGAATTAATTCCCGATTATAGGACTTTTGTTCCGGGTCAACTTCTCCGCAACTCTGCGGATTCATAAATTGGAAAACCAAGCTATTTAATTATTTTATTAAAAGGGGTGTTTTAAGCTAATTATAAGCCTACGAGTATAATATACAAATGGGGTATTTTTACTGATTATCGTAGTTCCTATACAGAATTTATTCAGCAGATATTTAACGTTGAAATTATACCAGGTGCGTGTCTCAAATGTGGCTCACCCCTATAGCTTCTTTTATTTTTTCAGATAAAAAAATGAGATATGGTATGTTAGTCTATGACATAAATTGACACAAATCTATGACAAAATGCCTGAAAAATACAATTAACATTAATAGAATATCCCAGCAACAGCTTTTGGTCAGTTCTCAAACTCGTTTAATTGTGAGAAAGTGGCATTAAAAACTTAAGAAGTTGTGCTGTAAACGGTGAACTGCAAAAACCAACATGGATCATGGAATAACGGCGGTTTCCAATGTTTTATAGGTATTTCATAGCTTATATAAAATAAAGATTCTCGTATGCAACACACTGTATTTTATTTATAAGTAAGCCTCCCCCCCAGTACTGCTGGGCACCCCCCAGAGAAATCCTGAGTTATGACTCTTGGCTACGTATTCATCTTTATTTGCTTGTGATGCAGTAAAAATAACGTTTTCTAGTTTTGTCTCGTTAATATTATTTTGTTGTGTTCAAAAAATGTGTTAATTTTTATTTTTTTTAGAAAATTTGTAGGTATTTAAGTAATCTACGGGAACACGGTTTGATAACAAGTCTATAGAAATTTATTGATAGAAAAATTCATGTAAACGTTTTATTCAAAAAATGTGATTTTTAAAATTATTTTTCATTTAAAATAAAAAGTCCTAGGCCCCCCCCTAAAAAAAATAATTCGTTTTAATTAAAGAACCTCAATAACCCAAGAAACAAAAGTTAACGAAAGTTAGTATTGCCACCTGTCCTTTTTTTAAACAAATTGTTCTTTTGTGCCTTTTTGCCCTAAAATGCCCTTTTTATTTAGGTATTTTCCTTACTTAATCTACAGCAACCATATTTCTTCAAATTTAATTAGACATGTTATAAAACTTTATTTAGAACTCCCCATTTAATCTGCGATGATAGCTTAGGCTTTATTTTTAACCATTTTGAACTCAAAATGAGCTTTTCAAAGTTTTAACTGCTTTACTATCGACAGTCCCCCCCCCACGTTCGCTTTTCAAAGTCCAATGTCCTTTTTTGACTTTACAAAAAGGCAACCCTAACTAAAGTATATGTATGTTTATGTACTATACTATTTCAATAAGTAGAAATTATTTTTCAAAATCGGATTTTTATTCTCTTGTTGAAAAGAGAATTTAAAACTCTATACAAATATAGGTATAAGAAAATGTAAGATATTTGGCATATTTCCTGCAAATATGAATGAATCTTAAATTTCAATAAAAGCTACCTAAGATATAACAATTTACCTGATGATGATGATAATAAAAAAAAATGGCGTCAGCGATGACTGTGAAAAGAAGATCACTATCATTTTATATGTAAATTTATATGGGGAATGTCACCGATCGTCATTTCCTAGCCAACTGGACGCCGTTTTTTTCGATCAAACGGTATCTTGCAGTTCAATAACCATTGTTCCTTAAACCAAATTAAAACATGACCGGAAAAGTCATACAGGATGAGAAAAAATAATATTGAACATTATAGTCTTTTTTAAAGGCAAAAGTTACTACTTTATTTTAAACACCCAGTATATTATTCCGATATTGAATGGAGCAAAAATTTTAAAATAAAGATAAGATCCCATTTTCGAGCTTTTAAAGTGCAGAACCCTAAAAACGCTGCCTGATCAAATAGTCTAATTATCTTAACTGTAATCTTATCTCATTATACCATGCAGTGTTTGATTTCCTTCCTTCATTTCAGGAGGTTTACTGCGGAATTGAGACAATCTGCACGGTGGACGGACTCCATTTTCATTGCATGTACAACGCCCGAGTGAAGGCATTCAACAGCTCAGGAGAAGGAGAATACAGCGAACTTATAGGATTAGAAACTGCCCAGGGTGAGTCCTGAATATGATTAATAATGATACGGGGTAACACCCCAATGGGATAAAGTTTCCCTTTTAAATATGCCAATATTTGCGAAAAAGATATTGGTAATCTTTGTTGTTTCGAAAAATTAGCATAAAAATAACTTAAAAAACAGTATAATCTCGTATAGAGTGAGTATCTTCGATTAATAACGGGTAGCTAAATGTACACAGCAAATAATGCATACAATTTTGAATGCTTATATTTTTTTCGCTCTTCTTTATCTATACTCTGTATAGCAAAGGAACTTGTACTTAACCATTTTTGGATACGTGATTTAAATACAACTGTTACAATAGTTGTGAATCACAATTGAAATCCGATTTAACTATAAATTGACTTTTTCATTTTTTCGTTTAGTTGCTTGGTTCACGTTTGATCCGATTCTGTCCGGTCCTGGACTACAATATTCGGAGGACAACACTACTGTTTCTGGAGAAGGATGGGAACACCGTATTGCTCTGGGCAGTGTGGGATTTAGTAGGGGCGTCCACTATTGGGAATTCACTATAGAAAAGTACGACGCAGACACAGATCCGGCTTTCGGAATTGCCAGAATAGACGTCACAAGAGACAAAATGTTAGGTAAGTTTAATAGAGCGATAAGTCAAGTGGCGTCAATGACTAAAGAATACAAGGACATATATAACACCCATCAAGATCCTATTGTGTGTGTGTGCCTCCCTTCCTTGAGTTATCACACTGTCTATAACCCATCATACCCCTGTTGTAGAGGGGACAGGGTATTTCCCATCCTCCTCTGACAACAGTTCTTCCTCCGAGGGTACACACCCTTCCACGTAGTGATGGGCAAAACTGTTATTTTTAGATAACAGTTGAAACTGTTATAGTTATTTATAAAAAACAGCTTAAAATAACAGCTTAAAAATAACAGGTTTCTTTATTTTACTGCTAAATATCTGAAAGAGTATGAGACGGTCATCGCCAGGCGTATTAACGCAGTTGCAAGTTGCAACAATGACGTGCTCGGTGGTAGTATTTCCAGGGTGTCAAAACATTTCTAAATATCGATTGTTATCTAAAAATACCTCTCTAAAAACGGTGGTTATTTACAAATAAGCGCTGTTTACAAATTGCGATATAAAAAAGCCAAAATTCGGCCACTCGTCTATAGTATATACCTACGCCCTGCCCCTCGATCCGCGTAGATCCTGAATTGCGTAGCAGTGTACAGGGTGCATCTCACTCGACGGGCGAGAAGCTCTTAGTTATGATTTTACCATTTGCGGTCAAAAAATAGCAATATAAGAAAATGTGTAGTATATTCTTCATAAGTAAACCAACTACACACTAGAGTTCGAATTAATTTTACACTTAAACTAGCGTGTACCCGCGACTTCGTTCGCGTCGAATTAATAATTTCTAATGGTGATGATAAAGCAAAACAAGAATTTCCATTAACATACAAACTGGATAAAATTTTCTCACATTTGCCAAAAATAAGCTTTCTAACGTCGAGCAGTTTAAGCAGAATCGTGGTTAATCAATTACTCAACTTTTTGGAACACCCTGTATGATTTTTTAAAAAATTTCAAAATATGTAAAAAAAACAAAATAAATTATGCGGGGCCAGGCGTTTTCCCGAAAGACTAACCGTTTTTTAAATAACAAATATTGTAATATTTGAGGGGCGTTTTCACCCTGTTGGAATTTGAGATTCGAGAAACCCCTCCTTATCGAACCTCAACCCCACAGTCAATCCGTTTGCAAAAAATCAGCTTTAAACGCCCAGCAGTTTAAGCAGAATAGTGATTACTCAATGGTCATATTTTATGAAACACCCTGTATATATTTTTAAAAAATCTTAAAATATGTAAAACAACATATTAAAATATACGTGTTTTAAGAGTTTTTCCGAAAACTCACCGGTTTTTAAATAAAAAATATTCTAATATTTCAGAGTAGTTTCACCCCTTAGAATTCGAGTTTCGAAAATCCTTCTTATCGAACCTCTACACACTAAAGTCAATCCGTTTTCCAAAAATCAGCTTTTTACGTCAAGGGCTTTAAGCAGGATCGTAATTAATCACTGACCAGATTTTTCAAAACACCCTGTATACATTTTTAAAAAATCTTAAAATGTTATTCTGAAAATTTTTCAGAATAAATATATACCTAAATATTGAAACTTAATAAGTAAGTACTGAAACATACAGCGCAATAATATCTCGACCTCCGTCCGTTATGCTCGTAACAGGTTGAAACAGAATGTATCTAAAACAACTGATGCGTTATTCCCCAACCTGTTTCGAACCTCCATCGACAATCGACCGATGCAGCAGCGTTCCTTTCCCACACCTATTATCTCGTCCGCCGCCCTGTTATGCTTGTAACAGGTTGAAAAACAACATATCTAAAATGACTGCTTCTCCAACCCGTTGCGAGCCTCCATCGACAATCGACCGATGCAGCAGCGTTCCTTTCCCACTCCTGTTATCTCCACCGCCAGGCGTTATGCCCGCAACTGTTTCAAAAAACCTGCTTCTTTTATATCCTATTATTTTTAAGCTGTTGTAAATACGACCATTGACGGTATCGACCGAAGCAGCTACGTTCGCCGTAGCGCCACAGCTTACAGAATAACATAGCTTTGACACTCGCCAATTTTTCCCACGATCGAATTTAAAACGTCCCACTCCGACGATGCGCTAACTGAATTAAGCGACCGACTGTCAGCCTCATTCAGTCGATGCATAGCCTCCACCGGTGGCGCGTAGGGCCGTATTACGGAAGATTTTAATTCGATTTTTTTTCTTATATTTAACCATAGGTATTTGTGCTTTTATTTCAATTTTATTTTTATTGATGGAATGGGAAAAGGTTTTTCGGGATGTGCGGCTGCTGGTTGCACAAATAATTATGGAAATAATTCAAAATATAGTCTGTTTAATTTTCAATTCAATTCAAAATTAATGTTCAATTCAAAAGTATATTCACACTTTAGAGCTTTTCAAAACGATGAAGACTACTTATTTGGAGGCTTGCTAATGCGAAGTGACCATTTTTTTATTTAGTTTCCTCATTGGAGGCTATTTTTATAAGCTTTTATTTGACTTGCTTTGTATGTAACTATCTATGTATGTATGTATGTTTGTTCGGGGCAAATCTTGTAAGCTAAATTAAAACCACTTCCTTTTATTGTAGGAGATTGAAATTTGGCATGTAGGTTCAGTCCCGATGACAATACATTTTTTGCAAGGCATGACCCGAATTTTTGACAGCTGTCAAAATGGCGGCATTTTTGAGGTTTTTGATTTTTTAAAATTCTATTTATGAATGGATCGGGCTGAAATTATATATATATATATATATATATATATATATATATATATATATATATATATATAAAGGTTGTTAACTCGACAGTTACTTATAGGGAAACAGAATGGCAACACTGCCTATTGAGAACGTATGCATTATTGATTTTTCTGCCGACTCGTCCCGTCGCGTCGTCTATCTTTTATTTAAATACACTAAAAAGAATAAAATAAACTCTTTTTCTTTAAAACTTTTATTATGAACTTAGAACGTCATTACACAATTTTAATATTAGATATATAAAAGCTTGTCGCGAGATTTCTCTACATCGATAAACAAGTAAATTAACTAAAACCTGTGTCTACCCTGTCTCATTTTCAAAGTTTGTGTTATGATAGACCACTAGACCAGGAATTACAAGATAAAGTTGTCGTACCAGATTTTTATGAGTGCAACTGTACACTCAAATCTCGCGACAAGCTTTTATATAATATTAAAATTGTGTAATGACGTTATAAGTTCATAATAAAAGTTTTAAAGAAAAAGTTTATTTTATTCTTTTTAGTGTATTTACATAAAAATTTGTTTTTAAAAAAGTTTTTTTATAAAATTTTTCAGAACAATTTTGAAGAACTTTCCTTAAATGAAAATATATTATGTAAATTCGTTAAATTATTTCAGACAATTAAATTCAACCATCAATCAAAATTTTCCTATAATGTATTTTTTGTTAAAATTGTACGCAAAAGTTAGAATTTATTATACCTTAAAGAATATTAATAAGAACTTAAATGTAGCAAACAAAAACCGAAAGCTCCTAATTTAGAAACATTCGTAAATAACTATAAGTAATCAATGTACCTATTTCATTTTGCTGTTATTTCTAGAAATAAATTAATTAATTTGTTTTTTAATGTTTTTCTTTGAGAATGTATATTTATTTAAAGTCAACAATTTAAAAAACGTGTATCTAAATTATGTTCTAGCACCAGTCGAATAATTTTTACGTCACGTGTAAAATTTTTTTGAATACATCTCTGGGCTGACTGGCGCTTACGCGGCTATTGGTTTTGGCGAGAGAGCTCGCCGCTCCAGTGTTCCCCCTCTTTCGAATCGCAAATCCGAGCGTAAAAAGATCAAAGCGGCACGCTACACTGTCCGAGCTGGTTTTTACTTAAGCTGTGGTAGCGCTTTCCCCACTCCGTTGTCCGTTGTCTCGCCGCCTGTATCGATGGTTGATGAAATAACATGTTTTCCATCCATACTAGTTGTTTTTTGGAATTGCTTCGAGCAGCATAGAATTTCGTGGTGATGCAGAGCGCCGACTTCGTTTTTCCTTTCACGAGCGGCCGATCTCTACGTGTCGTTATTTTATATCTGTTATTTTTTAAAAGTAGTAACTGTTGCGTTATGTTATTTATAAATAATTGTTATAAAATAACAGATAGTTAAATAACAACCCATCACTACTTCCACGGTTGGAGTTTGGCCCTCCGTGTCGCCCTTCACAGTCGAAGAGCTCGCTTCCGGCTGAGGAATCCGTGAGATGGAGGCTGGAGGATCTGTCTCCGTTTACTCCACCTCTTTAACTTGGTCTCTCCTTCGACCTGATACCGGTGTTGTCCCGTATCTATAATAGAGGATATGTACCTCTTTCTCTATTGCCTCCTTGGATTTGAGATCAATTCCTATTGTGAGGACCTGACCATGACCCTCCTCCCTCGAGTTGATGACTCGCCAACTCGATGTCCTTACATTGAAGTTCTGACCTTGGATAAGGGTCAGCAGGTAGGTGGTGTCTTTCCACTTGCTCCTCGGCAGAAAGACCGTTTTAAGAGTTTTCCTTGCGATCCGATCGCCTACTTCGTCCAATAGTCCTCTTCTAGAGACGTTTGCTGGTCGATGGCCAGAGCAACCTCTGGAAAATCCTTTGGCAGCACCGCCATTTTCACTTGTCCAGCAATAGCGGCAAAGCTGGTAATACGTCCCTGCTTGCCTCCCGGTGTTGAACGGCTTTCCATCCTAGTTTTTTTCTCTCCTCGCCGGAGAAGAGGTGAGAAGTTCTCGCTCCCTCTCTTGCCCTTTGATGGAGATGAGTCAGGTTGTTTCTTGGTTTCTTTACTCTTCCCTTTTCGGAGGAGTGTTTTCGCTTTTGCTTCCTCTGGAGCGAGTCCTTCGTGGAGCAGTCGGAGGTATCTCCGTGCTTCTGCTCCGCTAATACCTATTCTCATAGGATCGTCTAGCCCGCCTGGTTGACCCAGGCTGGGTAGACGAAATGGTAGCTTGTGTCGCTTATTGGGTCCAGAGGTAGGCTCCCGATCCTTGCTGGAGAAGGTAGTAGTGCTACTTGTGGAGGATGATCCCAAGCAAGTGTCAGCCGCTCCTCTTGTGGTTTCCTTTGGATTTGGTCCCTTGGAACTTTCATTTGTAATGTTCCCAGTGTCGCTAGAGGGCTTCCCCACAGCTTCACCGGTGGTGTTTTTAATACTAGATCTCATAGTGTTCCCACGAGTCGCTAGGGCTAGTCAGTCCACTTCTACAGAGCCCCGCATGTAGAAATAAGTGGTAAATACAATGGGGTGCCCCTGTTGCCCCAAGGTTGAGGCCAGTAATGGCTAGTCCTCTATCTAGCCACGCATCCCTTTGACCTGCCATCGTAGGATTTAGGTTTTTAGTGAGGTTATCTCCTCTTGGTCCAGGCGGTTAAGCCAAGATCCTTGGCCAAGGTTAAGCTCTAAACACACCCTCTGCCCGCGAGACATGACCACAGTCAGTAGAGGGAGCCTGGTATATGTCTTGGTGCAATTCCCTGGCCACGACACTACAGCCAGAGACAAGACGATGAGTGAGAAGCTTGTTAGACCTAGCCATTGGGATTCCACCCAGCACCTGACCAGGAGCTTCCCCACTAACGACAAGCTCTTGCATCTCCTAGGGGAAGCTGAAGATGAAAATCTTTGACTGCGTATATTAAGGTTAAATTTCCTCTGCCGACTAACTTTGCGGCCGTTCTAAGATTCTCTTCTGTATACTCATTTAGTTTCTTCACATTTTTTTTTTGTTATTTTTGTGCTGTCTAAAATTTGAAAATATACATGCTATTAAGGTGTCTCATATTTACCCCTAACCTTGTCTCATTAGTACTACTGTGTGTCTTAAATTTACCCCTCTAAAAAAATAGCTTCTCGTACCAACAGGACTTAATTTAAACAAGCCATGTCTGTCTAGACCATGCACTATCTACGCAAGCTACGACAGAGACAGATATAGGTGATGTATTGCTTTATTATTATAAAAATAAAATTATCCATTGTGCTTCAAATTGCCTATCTACAGATAGGAAAACACTTTCATTTGTTAAGAATTCAAAAACATCAGTAGATTAGATTTTTAAGGTGGCTATCGGCCTGGTCCAGTGCAACCTTTTCAGATCTGGTGTGGTCCCCCAAGTAGCATTTTCACCACTTGCGACCACATGTTTACTAAACACAACGTTGGATTAGTTACAGAAAATAGTTAGTTCCGTACCTTGGATATTAAAATAAATGTAAACGTTGTTGTAACGTTGTGCCGACGTTGAACTAGTACTACAACAAAGTAAAAGCCTCTGCGACGTCGAATAAACGTTGTCTTGTAACCTTTTTTGCTTAAGTGATCTTTAGGTGATTCGGACAACGTAGTTACAATGTTGGGCAATAAAGAGTTTTCCGAGTTTCAGGACCTATTCCAACGTTATGCAAACGTCGTCTGTTTTACTAATTCCAACGTTGTTTAGATTTCCTTATTCTTACGTTGGTAGGACGTCGAGCCACTACCTTTTTGCAACTGTATTGAACCATAACCTTAATTGTTAAATTTTCACTTCATTTTTCTGTTCAATCAGACAGTTCAGTGCTGTTTTTGTTTTTATAAAAAAACTTAATTAAAATGGGACGTATAAGGCACATATAAAACTAAATTAAGAAAGGCATATATAAAACTAAATTTAAATAAACATCGACATATTACCGATACTTTATCCACTCCCTCGTTTGTTTAGAATGTAGAGGGCGACACAAGCTAGACTCTAGGATGACTAAATTAGGCAATATTGCGACTAGTATACTACCTGTTAAGGCTGAACTGCGACTTGATTAATCCAGTATGCGACTACTCGAACTACTCCATCTTAATCTCCAAAACAACAAAGTGAAAGCCGCCATGTTGTTGAATAGGAAAATGGTTCGTTCCTAAAATAGCAATTCCTGCTTTTTGAATACATTAACTTAAAATATTTGACCCTAAACAACACACGGAAACAATTTTTTTTCGTACTGCGAATAAATTATTCTCATTTTACTAAAAAAAATTCAAGAAATTTTTTAAAGCTTCTTTAATTTTTAGTTTTTTTTTTCAAAGTAGAAACAATACATTTATCAATAAAGTTGTTTGCGTTTAACTTTTTTGCCTTGGGTAACGAGTTACAGAGTTGGTTAAAGTGTTTCAATAATTATGATCTTCAAACATCCCCACTCTTAAATACTTTTGTTTTGTTTTCCTTTACTGCCATCTGGCATATGTCTCTAACTAAATCATAAAAATAATATTTTTACTATAATTATCCCAATTTAGGATAAAACGCGACTTAGACGCCATATTATTATAGTTTTGTATTTCTGTGAATTAGGATTTTAAACAACGTTGCAGTTTGTACTAAATTAGGCTGCTAGCCAACGTAGGTATCCAACGTCGTTTCGACCCAAAAATTATTCTCCAAACTAGTGCAGACTAGGGTTGGCACAAGGTTGTGCCGACGCGCGACGTTGCGCCCCGACGCACAGTGCTTCGTCCCATGGACAAAAATCGAAAAAAAAGTTAAAAGTAGTTAATATCTGAATATGTAATTTTATACTTATAGCAATGTTCAACCATCCTGTATATTATTTTTCATAAACAGCGTTTTTTGTTAGCAAATATTTTCACTTAAAATAAATTTTGCGATCATTATCTTATCAGTGAAAAGAATAACATTCATAGTAGTTCTGTATATTATGGAGTTAAGCGGTACGTACTTAATTGAAAGCCACTATGGATATTGTTAAACAAGGTATGTACTTTAAATTTATTTCTAAACAAGTTCGTGATTGTTTAGTTTTTATTTATTTTTAAGATGATTCTTAAATGGGTATAAAAATTTTACGTTTTCAAACTTCAAAAGGCATTTAAAAAAACATATCAAAACATATCGTATTTATTGAATATTTTTGTTGCCATATTCATACACTTTTAATTTTTGTATAGTTCACCTGCGTCTGCTTGCGACGAAGTTTATTTTATAATGCTTTTCAGATGGAGTAAAATTGATAAGCAATGCCGATCTGGTTAATACTTGGCTTGATCATAGGGACAAGAACTCAAAATTATTTGTATTTCAAAAAATGTGTTCTTTATTAGATATTGATGAACCTTCCAGTCAAATGAGACACCATTTGTGCCTGAAAAAGCCCACTATGTTGGAGCGAAACGTCGCATAAAAAAGTTTCCATCTTCAATTTATTATAGAACCTCATACCCAAGAAAAGGAAAAAATATTATATGGATATGGTCTATTAAAGAGGTAACTATTAACATCCGAACCCCTCATACCAACAAAAAGAACAGTAACAACGCGAAAAAGTAACATATTAGAAAATGATGTACAGAAATATCTTACATGTGAGGATACTTCATCTACCTGTGATTCGAATACTATAAATTTGGAAGATTCTGTCAGCAGTAATTCTTCTGAATCAGAGTAGTTACGATCTATGCATTTTGTTGTCCTAAAGTAAATTTATAGTATCTTAAGTTTTTTTTTAATTAAATATAACGTTTCTTTTTCATTATTTCATTGTTTGTTTTTCAAAGAAAAACATTTTTATCTTATATTAGGCTTATATTGTAGGAATCATGTTCTAATGTTATTTCAATTCTTTTTTATCACAGGGAATTATGTAATACTTACACCGTTTTCATACTATAAATTATTATTTCCTTAGATGGAACACAGCTTCAACATTTTTATTATTTCTAAGATTTTTTTTCATAAACGCGGGACTAAGAACATCATCATTTAGTACAATGAGAGTACTCATCATATGTGTCAAAAAAACCTAGTTTGAATAAATTGCCTACTTACAATAAAAGAGAAGTTTTGCATTTTTGTCCTCAACAGCCATATGTTCGAAGCACTGTGCGACGTTTGGTCGCGTGACATAACGTTGTCCCGACGTCCAAATGCTGCTTGGGGCCTTCTCTAATCCTAAGGTTATATTCTCCAGTCCTTTCCTTTAAAAAAAAAGTCTAGCGACTTAGAGACTGAACTCTCCATAATATAGCTCTTTGTCAATGAACCGCGCGCACATTTGTCAGGTTCAAAATGCGTTCTGTCGTTTCTTCTTCAGCGTGACAAAATCTGCAGGTGGCTTCGTCCCTCCATCCTATCAACTTTAGATGCCTATTAAGCTTTGACTGTCTATCAGTCTTTGCTTATTAGGTCTGCTGGGAATTTTGGCGAACGTTCTATTGACATTTCCGCCTGTCTCAGCCCTTGTGAATTTCTCCACCATTCTAGAAATTAACTGGCCACACCCATCATAAAATACCAAATAGTATATTAGATAACCTAGAACTGGACTGTGTCTTCTGAAAAATGCGTTGATTATTATTTTTTTATTTTGCAGGAAAAGATGACAAAGGTTGGGCGATGTACATCGACCGTCAGAGATCCTGGTTTCAACACGCCGGTGCTCACGAGCAAAGAGTAGAAGGAGGAATTCACGTAGGATCGACGATAGGCGTCCTCCTCGACCTCAATCAGCACACTCTCCAATTCTACGTGAACGAGGAACCTCAAGGGGCCATAGCTTTTAGAGATCTGTACGGCGTTTTCTATCCAGCGGTCAGTATCAATCGAGGTGTGAGCGTCACCGTTCACACGGCTCTCGATCCTCCGTCAGATTCAGACGAGACTTAAGCTGGAAACCTTTATATAATAGATGTTTAAAACATTAAGATATATCCAGTAATTGAATTTATAAAATATAAAACCCTAGACCCACAGATAAGCTCCCACACACCATGACTGAATGTTTTTTGAAAAATATATTTGGAATAATGTTAATTATTACAAACTTCTTAATGTCATTATGTAAACCGAGAAATAAATGTTTACACAAACGTAAAGATAACTTTTTAAAAACTGCATAGATTTGTTTATAAAAGTATGCTTTTGTTGAGCCCCATACTCTGATGCGGTTCGTCAATGCGGTTCATAAGTTCGTTTGGAAATTCGTCCATTGTGTTCGTGATATTTCTTTTGATGGTTCGTCCAAAAGCCGATATTTCGCCGAATCGCCGCACTGATGTGCACCAAAACCAAACCAAACCGCATCGACGAACCGAATCAGCAAATATATAGTGACTATGGGGTGACTATCTTTTTGCACTATGTAATTTGTTTAAGTGTTTTAAAAACACGTTTAAAACACCATTAGTTGTTTTGCAACATGTTTGGTATATAGTTTTTTTGCCATTAAAAATAAGAGAAACTATTTAATAAAAAAAGGAAAAGGAATAAAAACAAAGCAATCACATCAGCTTAATATTGTCAAGGAAAAAAATCTTTCAACTGAACCTAATTAAAAAAAACTCTCAAATCAGATGTAATGAAAACATGGTATCTACAGGGTGCTACAAATTCGAGGTACGAGCATTGGTATCTCGGTAACCGTAATAGATACGAAAATGGTTAAATTGGGGCAAAGTTGCGCTTTGGGATGTTCACCAACATGTCATCAAAAAAGTTTTTGCTGAGTTTTTTTGAAAAACGGATTTTTTGAAAATCAGTTTTATTTTTTCCTGTCGTTAGTTTAAAAAAAATAAGTCGGCCTCTGTATCTCACAAATTGTCAGCTAATTTAAAAATCTAAAAATACTATCAGATAGCCCTAATAAAGTGGCTATGAGAATGTGCAATTAGTTTTTCGATTTTCTAAAAAATAACGGCAGGAAAAATTAAAATTGATTTTCAAAAAAATCCATTTTTTCCAAAAAAACTCAGCAATCCTTGTAATTTTTAAAACTTTTTTGATAGCAATGTGGTGAACATCCCAAGGCGCAACTTTGTCCCAATTTAACCATCTTCTTATCTATTACGGTTTCCGAGATACCAATGCCCAGACCTCGAATTTGTAGCCCCGTGTATAGTTGAGGAGCTGACTTACTAAATGCATTTTGTCCATTTTTTTATTACATCCAAAGGTGTCATTGCAAACTACATACACATAGTTACAATATGAAGCCATAAACGACGTGTTAAATACATTTTATCCCATTCGAATTAAATGGGAAAAATACCTTAAACTTTCTATGTGTTGTATGTCCATTGGCGGTAGACAAACCAAGAAGAGTTTTTTTATACCACAAGTTCTCTATTTTTTGAATAATACTACTTAAAATACAGTTATACAGGGATACGGACCGTGATAACAGAAAAATAAAGAGAAATTTTACTGTCAACAGTTTTTTTCAGATATCATCAAAACTAGATTTTTCACATGTAGGTGTACTATTTTTATGATTTTTATTCATTTTTCTAGTATACTACTTTTTCGGTAAGTTTCTTGCAAAAAACGTCGCAGTTTTTCTTTGTTTGCCAAAATTCGAAAAAATGAACAAAATGCAGTTAGAAAGTCTGCTACTCCAGTTAATCACTTAAAGCTATTATTTTATTTATTATTAAGTTTTGCAGCCCTATCGTTACCCAACCTACCTACTTCTTAATTTTGAATGCGATCAACACTATATATAGTTTCAAACAGAGTTTAAAAGAAGTGTTTAAATATCAAAGTATTAAATCCTGACTTTGAAGTTAAAATCGTGTTTAAAACACTTAAAAACTGTTTTAAAACAAAAACGACTAAAGATATCTGTGCAGCTTTTGAAAATAGATCAATAGTCTTAATATAAAAGAAATGTAAAATCCCATCCATGTTTGTAAGCTGCTAAAATAAGCTTCTATGGAAGTTGTTAAAAACTTTGTAATTTTGATGTGATATGCCCTATTTTAAATATCTATGTAAGAAATTAATAATACGTAAGATGTTTGATGTGAATCATCCATACATAAACGATTCCCTTTTCCCCAAGAATACATACTTAAAAATCCAATAGCTGTATATCATATCTGTAATTCTACCGTAAATATATGAATGCAGCAAGGTAAATCTAGTACAAGATAGACACACATAGTATTATTGCGTAAAGCACTACCTACACATAACGTTTTACCTTATGTTTTGCCTGTCGAAGTTGCAGACTAAGTATATTTCAAGTAAAATGGTCCGTTTTATCGTCTATACATCATTATATATGCAGACTCATTACCATCGATATTCTAGGTGGTATTGGTAGACTCCCTTTTAGTTTGATATAGGTATTTTGACCGATAAGGTAAAACGTTATACGGGGCATAAAGTAGGTCCAGCGAGAGAAAACTAGATTCGACAAATTATATTCAATAATTGACAAAAACTACATTATACTTTTGAATTAAAATGTCAGAAAACAACTGACACTGATATTATCTTCTATCATTGGACAGATTATAAATTCCTATGATCGAAAGAATCGACATCAAGCTGTCTTGGAAATGACTATGGACGAGATTCTCCAAATAAGTTTACATTTGACAGCGATCTCCATTTATCCAAGCCAAATCTGACGTCGTTTTTTTGGCCATATGGTGAATGTTTCTATATGTTCAGCTCTCAAATCAAGTAAAGGATATACAAAAAATTCTCTAGTTGGCAAATACATACCTGATAACTCTTCAGTTTTTGTAATCAGATTATTGATTATTTTTAACAGATGATTAAAACTATAAACTTGATTAAAAGCACAGACTAACTTATATTAAAAGTAAAGATGATTAAAACTTAAACTCATAGTTTTTTGTTTGTAAAATCTGATGATGGTTTTAACATACTTAGCGAAACGCGCGCTCATTGTTAAGAATATACTGTTTTGGCGTATAGTAGTGAACTAGTGTTTTAGTTTGGTATACACAAATTTTTTAATGTTTTTAAAGTCTTTTTAAACTGTCAAAAACATAAAGGAATTGTTTCTTTTAACGTTTAAATATGTTTAGTCCCGTGATAAACTTTCACATTAATTTCAAAATGTTATACATATCAATAATACACTTATTTCGAAAATTTATTTTACTTCAAATGGTAAGAAAATAAGAGTAAAATCTCTTATTAAAGACTGACTAAATTTTAATTGACCTTGTTCAATAATTAAAAAATATTGAATTGAAACATTTTGTAAATTTAATGAAGGAGTAATTTTAGAATATTTAGTATTTTAATAAACTATAGTCTGTCCAACGAATTATGTTTGTAAACTAAAATGACCGACTCTCATTGGACAGACTATACATCATACATTGGCAAACGTATACATATATTTCTAGTCCAAAATTAGTTTATTTAAAAAATAAACTTAAAATATCTAAATATGCACTTTTATCATTTCTTAAAAATGATTGAAAGTAAAATTAAAATTTAATGTTCTCTGATAATGGAATTACATTATGTGCATTCCATTTAAATTTATGTTATTATGAATCAAAATTATTATTTTCACCCTCAAGCTTTTGATTTTAATAGTTATATATGTACTAATGATATTTTGATAAGAACTGTTTAGATCTCACTATCCAAAGCTTAAATATTCCTTTTTATCTTAAAATTATTACGACATTTCTTAGCCAATTACGTTACTTAAGGTTCATATATAAAGCTCCTCCGTTACATAACGTTTTACCCATGGTACATCTAATCACACACACACACACACCTATTTTTTTTATCTGTCCTTCTAACGTCACACAATCTTGGACACAACTGTTCTGGACACGACTACTCATGCCCTCATCTAATACGCCATTTTGTAACGACGTCCATCTTGGATTTTAAATTTTGTCATAATCACAGTATTCTACTAATGTAGCCCTTTCATTTGATACCCATATTGAGGGGGTTGTGGAAAAATATGAAATCCGCCATTTTGTACCGGCGGCCATCTTAGATTTACAATTCTATTGATATTACTATATTGTATTGTCATCGGAACTAAAGGTGTGTACCAAATTTCAGATCAATCTGACAACAGGAAGGTACTTCAATTTCAATTTCTAATTTTGACCCAAATAAACAAACAAATAAATAAATACCGTACGGGTCGAGCTAAATAAAACCGTTTAATAAGTAAAAAAGTTCGTATAGGTATGTCCTAAAATGCTTAGTTTCAGAGATACAGGGTGTAGAAATTTCATTTTTATTTCGATTTTTTATAAATAATTTGTGAAGTAACGTCAATATTTGGATGAAAATTGGTGTCTGGTAGTTTTTTGATATGAGAAATTTGATTTTGATGTCAATATGACTCCTACTAGTTAGTAGAGGGCGCCATTCGCCATCTACGGTGTTTTAAATGTTTTGAAGCGTAATAACTTTTTGTCTGTACCTGTATAAAACTACCTAGCGAAAAAATATACATCTCTGTGATTTTTTACGTAAAAAATATCTCTTAGTAAAAATCGATACGAGCAACCGTTCTTAAGATATTTAGAATGGAAATAGTCAATACATGTTTTATACAGGTACGGACGAAAAGTTATTACTCTTCAAACCAGTTAAAAAATATGTAGGTGGCGCCCTCTACTAGTAGGAGTGCTATTGACATTAAAATCAAATTTCTCATGTCAAAAAACTCCTCGACACCAATTTTCATCCAAATATTTACGTTACTTCAGAAATTATTTGGAAAAAATCGAAATAAAAATGAAACTTCTACACCCTGTATCTCCGAACCTAAGCATTTTAGGACATACCTTTATACGAACTTTTTTACTTATTTTTATCTGCAGAATATGCTGCCGAAGTTTCCGGAATACAGTTCGGATCACCCTGTATATAAAATTCCATATTGTTTTTCTTTTAAACTTCACTAAACACAATTCTATTGATTGATAAAAGCTTTTTTAATCCGTCTAAATTGACAGGGAAAACGGATTATGTTGACGGGGCTTTACACTGTTAGAAACAATTATAGACAAAAATAAACAAAATGGTTTTATCGCAATGTCTATAAATTTCCAAGTGAAAAAATTCTAATTTTTGGAAAAGGATAACACGTACGTTGATATTACTTTCAAAAATATCCACTTTTTAAACTCGGCTGTATTGAGTTTTTAACTATTTGCCATTAATTATTACATTAATATATTGTTATTATAAAATAGGCCTTTGTTAGATTTATTTATATTATTTATAGGGGATGATGTATTGAAAATAAACTTAAGAGGTACTATAAATTAAATTTAAATGTAATTTCACCTTTGTATATAAACATTTATTTATAACATACAGGGTTTTTGTTAAATCCCACATTTGCCCACAAATCTAAGACTTGATTTTTATACTCTTGGATAAAGAGGCTTTTATTCCAGATACTTCTCCAGCATATCTGGTAAGTTCTCTTCTGGGTTCGCGAACCTAAAAAGAAAAAAAATAGTATTCTAGTTCTATTTAAACCATTTTTTTTTTCACTTACAGCTCCTTTTCTTCGAATAAGAGCCTTTCTATACTTTTGTCTGTGTTTAACACGTGGATTTCTAAGTTCCTTTTTTCTGTGAGGTGTGAGGCCCTTATTTTTAGCCATCTGATAAGTAATGGCTCTCTTACTAACATCTACAATTAATGGAGATAGTTAATTCATGTACCAAGTGACAACAAAAATACTATATAGGGTCTGGCAATAGTGAGTCAGGCATAATAAACTAAACCAAACCCCCCTCCCAAATTCTAATGGAAAAAAATAAAATAAATCAAAAGTATTGAATACCTTCTGCTTCCTCAATTCCTTCTGCATTTTCTTCTTCATCATTATCCATTTTAGTGGACTGATCCAAATCAGCATCAGATTTTGGCTCTTCAAATGTTACTTTTTTACTTTTCTGAAGTGCTTCTTCATCAATTTTCAACTTTTTCCTTGGTTGGTCAGATTTAACTTTAGTTTTACTCTTACCAACTGACACATTCTTTGATAATATTTTTAAAACTTTCTTTGCTTTAGGTTTTTGAGCAGACTGTAATAGTTCAATAAGTCGATAAATAAATATTTATGAAATATGTTATAAAGAAGCATACCTCCTGTTTTAAATTTCTTCCAATTAAATCGATTTGTGGTTTTATAATTTCCTCAAAAACCGGTTCCATTTGAGATAGTAACTGTCGATACTGATATAATGCTTTTATAATCGGATGATTATTTAACTGTTTATTGATTTTCAAAATAAGATACATGTAAATATTTGTAGAATAACTAAAACCATAATATTCAGTCAAAATCTCAAGTATCATAATCATAAACATACTTACTTCAGAATTAAATTATAATAAGTTGTAACAAATTTTTCTAAACCTGTACTTTCATTCGCAAGTTTTTCATCCTTAATTCTGTCTATAGCAGGTTTTAAGATATTTTTTGCAATTTCCATCTTAACTAAAAATAAATATATTTTTTTATTTGACTATATATATATTGTATTGAAAAAAAACCTTTAAAATCTTCAATTAATTGAAAAAACTCTGGTGACTCTTTTTGCAAAAGCTGAATTTTCTGTTTGTTTGATAACAGTGACAAATCTCTTTTGACTACCTCTTCCAATTCCTCTTTAACGTCCTGTTTTGTCTTTTTCTTAAATTGAAATAAAACAAATTAACAATACTGTTACTAACTTAATTTCTTTCTTAAGACTTACTTTAAATATAACGTCTAATGAAAAATCATTGTCATCTAACTGTTGCACCAACTGATTCTGTAAGTTCTTAGCTTCCTCCTCCTCGATTTCTGCTGCTTGAGCATCCTTTTCATTAAAACCACCATAATCGGGATCCACATAGTCTGTTCCATAGTATTTTCTCTTCTCTTTACCCCAAGCTCTTACATCGGGTAATTCATCAGATTCTTGGCCTTCAACATCACTCAATGCAATATTGCTTTCATTATCAGAATCACTATGAGAGTCATTGGATCCAACAGATAACACTTCATTCTATAACAAATTTTCTAACATTTATTACTCCCCAAGAATGTAAGATATAATATGGTACTAATTGGTAGTAATACAGACATAAATATTATACATCATTTATTTTTAACCATATGGTACCATGGAAGAATAAGAGGGACCCTCTTATTCCTCCGTGTATGATGATACACACTTACTTCACTTTCAGACTCTTGCTGTGTACCACCCCTGTATTTCTTTAGCAATCGTTTTTCATTTTCATCATACTCATCGTCTGAACTTGAAGACCCCATGTCATTATCATTAAACCTAAATAAACAAAAACAATTTAAAAGATTATAATGATAATCTATAGGTTTACCTTATATCCGAATCCATTTTAAAAATTATTTAACTGAAGCGACGCATAAAAATGTGCTTATATTTGTGACTAAACTTTCAGATTAATGCAAAATATTCGTATTTTTGATCACGATACGCAATGTTTTTTAAAAATATCCTGCCTTAATAAATAAATTGTGATAAATAAACTTTTTCCACTTTTTCTGCCATGAACATGAACGATAAATCGGGTTAAAGGTACTTCTTCTCTTTTATTCTTGGCCTCAGCTGCCATGGATGGTTCCAATTGTTGGACACTCGCCAAGGCGGTAAGCGGTAAGCCACGCACTATGATATGGCCGAGGACGCGGTTCGTATTCCACGTAAACAAAGTAGGCCCCGTCCAGATTAGCCATGGCAGCAAAAATAAGACGTTAAAAGTTGTACTTGGCCTGAGCTGCCAGGGCTATACGGCCGTTAGAGTTAAAATTATTTAAAACTAATTTCTTTATGGGCGGAGCTAAATCACCTTGCGCCCTTTTTAAAGGTCATATTTGACTTAGTAAAAGTTTTACATAAACAGTTGAATAAGCTAAAAATTTTAACAGGTGAGTTGATAAATTAATTTTTTGAACACAATTTTATGATTATATTCGTATGAGGTTTTTGAAGGGATACAATTAATACATTCATTAGGTCCTAAGATAGGCGTTTCTTTATTATTCTTTCCGGCTATCATAACTCTTCAGCATTTCCAATTTCCAATTCTTCCCTACAACCATAATATGATAAGCCGCTATATAAATTCCGGTTTATTTTTCTCAATAGCTATATATAAAGGTATATTTACCAAAAATTCAATGGAACTAAAAAGCAAAAAAAGGTACAATATAAAAAATCCAACTTACAATGAACAGACAAGGAATGAAGGGTGTGAATAAATAAGTAAAAAATCAGAAGATGGTTGCATGATTGGTTTAAAAAAACACGAGACGTTATTATTGTATAAAATTTATGGAGTTCCCATTTGTCCACAAAACTATTTTCTTGTAATTGCAATTCTAGTTCACCCAATATAGCCCAATTACTTTGCAGAGAAACACCAAATCGAAAACCGAATTTTAAAAAGTATTCCGATATCAATATTATTTACCCCCTCGTATACATTTTTTTACCTTTTATCTACTGGTATTATGAAAGGTGCAAGGTGCAACCGTTGACACTTCTTTCTAGTTAATTATTTTATGGGTGCAACAAAAGATAATGAAATTGACTTTTCTGATACTAATTTGTTTACATTTATACACCTGAAGAGTTTTATCAAAGATATTTTATATAAAAATAAAATATAATATAATTCAATATGACATCATGTGCCGCAGCAAAATCCCAGTCAGCTCCAGTTAGTATAAAAACCTTAGTCTAGTTATGTTTGTTAACATGAACATCTTACCATTGCCAATAAAATCTTCTGCTATTTTTATCTAGCCTCTTAATCGTCGATATGGCTTCTTTTTATACTACTCTTCAATAGTACCATAAATTTTTCTATAGTTAATCTTGTTTAATTAATTTCTTTATTTGTAGTGCAAAATGGGGAGAAAATTTGTCGTCGGGGGAAATTGGAAAATGAATGGCACAAAAAGCCAAATAAATGAAATATTATCTTTCTTAAAAACTGGACCTTTGAACTCGAATACCGAGGTCATTATTGGTGTTCCAGCTGTTTATTTAGATTATGTACAGTCAAATAGCCCAGCAAACGTTCATGTTGCCGCTCAGAACTGTTACAAAGCTGAAAAAGGAGCGTTTACTGGTGAAACCTCTCCAGCTATGCTGAAAGATATCGGTGTGAACTGGGTGATATTGGGACATTCCGAAAGACGTCAAATTTTTGGAGAAAGCGACGAACTAGTAGCGGATAAAGTGGCGTTTGCTCTCAGCTCCGGATTGAAAGTGATAGCTTGTATTGGTGAGACTTTGGATGAACGCGAGGCGGGTAAAACTGAGGCCGTTGTGTTTAGACAGACCCAAGCTATAGCCAATAAAATTAAAGACTGGTCAGTATATAGCATATTAACACAGATTAGGTATACTATATGTATACAGATAAAAATCTTATCCCTAATTCGTGGTACGAAAATTGTTTTTTATGACGATGTGCAAACGAGTAAAATTTCCTGTGTGCAAAAATAAACTCCTGTAAAATAACAATAAACAGCGAAATAGAGAGATATCGCTAAACCGAATGGCGTGTATGGACGTTAATAAGGCCAGGTGTTATTTCCTTTACGTGAGGTGATATTAACTCTCTTCATTTATAGTTATCGGATCGGAAAGAATTCTGTTCGCGTCTCGTCCGCCATTTAAATTTAACCTCATTTTAACCTAACTTTGAAATTGTTTTGTTTACAAGGTATTTTAAAACTAAAGGGCTAAAGTGCTTATTTCCAGTGCTTTATTGTTCAACGTCTGCCAGTGGATTTAGGGCAACAAGCAACAAACTCTCTTAGAAGAGCTAAGTCGTCATCTGCTGTAAACCTAAGCCTCTTTATAGGTTCTTTAATATAGGAAGAGGTGGAATCCATATTTTGGACCATATTTATTTAATTAAAACTAATCCCAGCTACTTAAATATCAAATTACCTAATAAAACTAAAGTAATAATTCAAAACAATTCAAACATAACCTAAAATAAAAGATCTCGCCGGCCGGCCCCGGTTGTCGAATACCCGAACATGCCCATTTAAGCAATTTTTAAACGTTATTTAGAAATAGCGCTTGGTGTAGTTGATCCGCAAATTACGTTAGGCGGTAACGTTATTAGCGGGTGTTGCGTTAAAAATTGACTCGCGCATATCGTAACCATAATAAGGTACGCGTAACGACTGCATGACGCTATTCGGTTTTCCGATATCTCTCTAATAACTGTGCCGGTCAGGCGCTGTGCACAATTTTAGAGGCCATAAGTGGGCGTGCTATGTGCGCAAACTAGTAACCTAACCAGGGGAGTGACAGTAAACCGGAAAATTGGAAACAGTTGTGGCGCAGTTCTACCCATAAAATAATAAATACAAGAAGAAGTGTCAAGTCAATGTTAAATTATGGAAACAGCGTGGCTGCCTGGGTAACTAATTTTCAGATATGGCGGCTGGGACATTTGACATGACATAGACATGACAATTTCAATTTTATGAAATTTATTTCCGTTTCCGGTTTTTAATGGCGGGCTGTTCAGGATGTTTAAATGAGGGTTAATATACTTTTACTCTTTCTAGTAGTAAATAATACAACAAAATTACTCAAAAATATTTATTTAATTTAGAACAATGTAAATATGCAAATCAACACAATTAAGAGAGCTATAATCCAATAAACTACTGTATCAATATCAAATATTTAAATAATATCAGAGATGCTGTGTTAAAGTGAATTAGTAAAGCAACAGTGCATTGACTTGAAGAAAATAAATGTTTTCACAGCTTCACGGGCATAAAACTAAATAACTGGAAGCAGGAAAAAGGCAACTCACACAAAAACCTGAAATCAAAAAAAATATGTAAAAAACATAAATATAGGCACATAAGACTTTTGTGAATAAAATCAAACAGGACTTGAATGAAAATAAAATGAATAAAAAATATGATACATATACATCTAATACCTCATTTGTATTTTAAAAATAATCTACATACATAGATTTATAGCATTATTGCTATGAAAATACATAATAGCTATGTGATATGTAATTACGCATTTCTGTTCATCTTGTAGAAAATTAATGTAGGCTAATAATAGTTCAATAATCATAATTTACCTTGTATAACTTGCTTTCAATTGCTCAAAATCACAGATCAGTCTTTAAAGTAGAGATACGGAAAAATCCTTGGCAAAGAATATCCCAAGATCCTTGGGTTTAAAGCTAAAAAAATATAAAAACAGTTAATATATTACCTATTTTTACATATAATATGGCCCATACCTACTACACGCAGAAACGTCGATTTCATCATTTTCTTCATGTAATTAATATCATATATACTTTATTAAAGTGTTAACAAGGAACTTTATATCAAAAAACATCTTTGTACTTATAAATTTCAGCCGAAACATCAGAAACAAACTTCCAGTCAAATCTAAACGGCAAAAATTAAAATGGCGCCCGACCTTGCCAGAGGCCTCGGGCCTCGGGAGCTGACGCTGACACACAGACAAAAGACAAAAGAACAGGACGCTGACGTGCATAAAAATGTTCCGTAGCAGAAATTGACAGAAATCATATAGAAATATTCAGATTTTTGTCTAGGACAGTCTAGAAGGCCATGCTTTCTGCCTGGGTAGAACCAGGGGGGTGACAGTAAACCGGAAAATTGGAAACAGTTGTGGCGCGGTTCTACCCAGGCAGAAAGCATGGCCTTCTAGACTGTCCTAGACAAAAATCTGAATATTTCTATATGATTTCTGTCAATTTCTGCTACGGAACATTTTTATGCACGTCAGCGTCCTGTTCTTTTGTCTTTTGTCTGTGTGTCAGCGTCAGCTCCCGAGGCCCGAGGCCTCTGGCAAGGTCGGGCGCCATTTTAATTTTTGCCGTTTAGATTTGACTGGAAGTTTGTTTCTGATGTTTCGGCTGAAATTTATAAGTACAAAGATGTTTTTTGATATAAAGTTCCTTGTTAACACTTTAATAAAGTATATATGATATTAATTACATGAAGAAAATGATGAAATCGACGTTTCTGCGTGTAGTAGGTATGGGCCATATTATATGTAAAAATAGGTAATATATTAACTGTTTTTATATTTTTTTAGCTTTAAACCCAAGGATCTTGGGATATTCTTTGCCAAGGATTTTTCCGTATCTCTACTTTAAAGACTGATCTGTGATTTTGAGCAATTGAAAGCAAGTTATACAAGGTAAATTATGATTATTGAACTATTATTAGCCTACATTAATTTTCTACAAGATGAACAGAAATGCGTAATTACATATCACATAGGTACCTATTATGTATTTTCATAGCAATAATGCTATAAATCTATGTATGTAGATTATTTTAAAATACAAATGAGGTATTAGATGTATATGTATTATATTTTTATTCATTTTATTTTCATTCAAGTCCTGTTTGATTTAATTCACAAAAGTCTTATGTACCTATATTTATTTTTTTACATATTTTTTTTTGATTCCAGGTTTTGTGTGGGTTCCGGTTGCCTTTTTCCCTGCTTCCAGTTATTTAGTTTTATGCCCGTGAAGCTGTGAAAACATTTATTTATCTTCAAGTTTCTGTAAGTCAATGCACTGTTACTTTACTAATTCACTTTAACACAGCATCTCTGATATTATTTAAATATTTGATATCGATACAGTAGTTTATTGGTTTATAGCTCTTTAATTGTGTTGATTTGCATATTTACATTGTTCTAAATTCCAAATAAATATTTTGAGTAATTTTGTTGTATTATTTACTACTAGAAAGAGTAAAAGTATATTAACCCCTGATTTAAACCTCCTGAACAGCCCGCCATTAAAAACCGGAAACGGAAATAAATTTCATAAAATTGAAATTGTCATGTCTATGTCATGTCAAATGTCCCAGCCGCCATATCTGAAAATTAGTTACCCAGGCAGCCACGCTGTTTCCATAATTTAACATTGACTTGACACTTCTTCTTGTATTTATTATTTTATGAACCTAACTAGTGCCCGATTCCGAAAATTGGAACCACAAAAAACAATAAAGAAAAAACAAAGTTTATAATCTGTGATATTAAGTTACATAATATACAATACACGGTGTTTCAAAACTTACGGCTAAAATAGACTGGTTGACATTTGACATTCAATTATATAAATTAAACAGTATATATTTTCGTAGGTCCAACGTTGTAATCGCTTACGAACCAGTATGGGCTATTGGTACCGGTAAAACCGCCACTCCGGCACAGGCTCAGGAAGTGCATAAATCACTCCGTGATTGGTTTGCCAAGAACATCTCTAAAGAAGTGGCAGATTCCATTCGAATTCAGTATGGCGGTTCGGTAACTGGCGCCAACTGCCAAGAATTGGGTTCCCAACCGGATATTGATGGATTTTTGGTCGGTGGTGCTTCGCTGAAGCCCGAATTTGTGAATATCGTAAACGCAAGACAATAAAAACTTTTTTCTTTTATGTAAACATGTCCTTATTTATTCCGCAAATTTTTAAATATTTTACTTAAATATGCATCTATTTTACAAATAATTTTTCTTCAAAAATACAAAGTATTAAATAATACTCCTTTTTACTATATACATAAATATGTGGAATTCGTTTTGCAATATTAAATATTTCAGTTTTTAAATGTGTAGAAGTCGTATCTAATTTTTACTTGTTAAGTTTTCTGTCAAAGAAAATAAATATTTATTATTTTGAAAAATAAAATGGGTTTTATTTATTGAAGGTATGAAAGTTTCACCTACGGTTTTAAACGTTGTGTTTAGTAAAGTTGAAAAGAAAAACATGCCATTTTGCTGAAAAAAGTTATATTTATCGTTTAAATATCATTTGTAAACACAGATAATTTTGAAAATATTGTTTGGTATCATTAAATATATCTAGACTATTTTGCGACACAATGCAAAAATATTAGAATTATTAGATTAGAAAAGTCGCTTCCATTATTTTTATTAAACTTTTTTATTAATTTTTTTTCAGTATATAAAAAACAATTTTTTTAAAACGGAATGAACCCGTCACTACTCTGACGGTTTTCCGTCTTATATCAGTTGAAGTAAAACATCCGTCTACACACAATGTTTTACTACCAAACGTGATGTGTATACAGGGCTTAAAGCCTGTCTAAGCGTACAAACATAGTGGGGCATCTCGATGCGATTCTCGCCGCGAGGCATCCTACGCGCACTTACTCGCCGTTTTAAAACAAAACGTACGCGTAGGATTAATCGCCGCGAGCATCGCATCGAGATAGCCCACTATGTTTGTACTCTAAAATTTGGACTTAGGCATCAAAAAAATACCAGAAAATGCAGTTTATCTCTGTATATTAGTGATAAACAACTGCTACTGTAGTGTATTCTCTCGCTGAACAGACTATACAGAAGGGACACTAGCGATTTTTTGTGACAAAATTTTAAGCAAGTGTAACAAACTATTATATTTTATTATCCTTCAATTGCTCCTTTAAAAACGCCATTTACTGTTAGATTTATACAGATTGTTAACTGTACGGTTACTTATTGGGGAACAGAATGGCAACACTGCCTACATTCCAAAAGAGAACTAAGCTAAGCTGCCAACTCGTCCCGTCGCGTCGTCTCTCGACGAGCGGGCCGAGGTTGCCATATTTCAAACGTAAAGCTCTTGCCGCCGAGCTTTGAATAAGAAGACTAAGGAAGGAGCATAATGCTATCCATGTATTCATGCATGGTGGGCGGAAAAGCCACCATAAAAGCTCTCTAGGGTGGGGATCCTTGACAGTTCAGTTTGACGATTCATTTGACACATTTGAATTTGATTTGAAATTTTGTGCATTTGTCAGTCTTTACGGAGCTTATTTTATGTTATTTATTATTTATTCTACTACTGATAGTTGTATAAAGGTAGTAAATCTAGATAGAAATTGTGGCAGAACTTAAATTAACAGTGACACTATCGCGATTTATCGAAAAAGACTCTAAAATAGTTGGTTGTGTAGCGTGCGGTAGATCTCGGCAAAAATTGAGTGAAATAATGGAACAACTTTTCGCTAGTAAGTGACTATATAATATACATACGTGTAGTAAACCAAACATTTATGAAATTCACTTAAATTAACTAAATTATATATTTTTCTTGCATTTTAGCTTTTATTTATTACTTGTCAAAGATTAGATGTCAAAGAATTTAGATACGTTAATTTGACTTACCTGCTTCAGTAGCGTATCGGATGTTTGTGTTAATAAATACTTATTATAACTTATCTATTTTTATTAGAATTATATATTTTTATAACAATTTTAATAACTACCAACATTTATTCACAACGTAAAATAAAACAACAAATTATTGAGTCTACCCTACATCATAGTTTTACATTTTTTAAATAAAATTAGAACGACACTGATAAACCGGAATTTAAGCCATATTTGAGGCCCATCGCGGTGTACCTAAGATTTTTGATATGCTCCTTCCTTAGTCTTCTTATTCAAAGCCGCCGAGTAATAAAGAAATTAATAACCTGTATATGTTACGGTTAAGGTACGATATTCGGTTAATATCGACATTACCCGGTTAATCTCGAGAATAACACAAAACAAAACAACCAAAAACAAAGCCAAACCCAAACATTTAATTTTATAACCCGTTAATGTCGACATTAACCCCGAACATCTTAGTTTAACCGTAACATATACATCGGTGGTAACTAGAGGGGGTCCGGGGGAGCCGGGAGCACCACGTCGGGCAGGGTACTACCAGGAAAGTCTTGAATTTTGACTAAATTATGATGTTTAACTACTTTTTCTAGTTTTGTTTACTCAATATTATTTTGGGATTCAAAAAATGTGGATTAACTTTTATATTTTTAAATAAAATAATTTACAACAAGCAGTATCTGGCCAGGTAAAACAAATTGTAGGATTGTGTTTAAATCAAACTCAAAGTTGGTGAAGAGTTCTGTTCGGATTTATTAATTTTATAAACAATAATGTTGGCTTAAGACCAAATTGAAAAACAATATTTCAAACAATATCACTGATACCTATAGCAATATAAAGTAATATACTTAAATATAATAGTTATTGCACAATGGTTAGAGTATAAAATGCAGAACCCTTCTTTTTTAATTTTTTTTATAACAAAATATTTGATTTTAATCGCTTAGCCGGCCAAAAATTGTTACCCACTTTACAAAGATGTACCAGACAATAAAATGAAATTTGGCATTTTTAGACCGACTAAAACGACAGTCCCCCCCAAAAAACAAACAATAAAAAAAGAACAAAAATAAATAAATAAATATTCATTAAACTTCGATATGTAAATGCAAGTTCATTTAAAATTTGGAAGTATTTGATGCGTATAAGCATAATCTGTAAATTGTTGTCTAAAGACGTTGAAAAATTTTGAAAACCCCGAAAAAATGTTGACAACAATAACTGTCCTACCAATGTAAGTTTAGGACTTTGGCAAGAATCTCCTTATTTAAAAAGAATTAATTTAATTGAGCTTATAAAATGTCATAACTCCTCCAATTCGAAAAAAAATCGATTTATATTTTCAGTCGTATATCACACTTTCATAGGGAGTCCTTTGGCGCTCCAATTTGATCACTTCATTAAGTCTATTCACATTTTATAACAATGCGAGATTTTTATCCATCTTGCACTTATTCTATCGATAATTTCCAAACTAACGGAGATTCTGGTGTTAAAATTAATTTGGAAACTCTCGATAAGAAAAATAACAAAAAATCGACAATTTTAAACGTTCCCGAGATCCAGGCAGGTTTAGAACTTGCATTGGGTAACAAGAATGCAAGTTTAAAACACGGTACGATCAGCATCTACCGATAATTATTGATCGTTGAATTTTTAAATAATACTATAACAGTATGAAAAATGAGTTTCATGAAGAATTTATCACAGACTACTTGTATCGATTAAAAGGGCCAGTCGAATGGCAGTCCTTGACCGTACACAGCTGCCTTGATCACACAAAAAAACGTCCAAAAGTGTCGAATTTATCTCTCGAAGTACAAGTTGCCGACTATAACACGTAATGACGAATAATACGAGAGTCAGAGTTCACTTTTCCTAAAATATTCCCGAAAAAAAATCTTTTTTTGTTTTCTGTATATATGGAAAATAAAACGTAATGTTTTTTTCTTGTACATATTTACAAGTGGGAGGAAAACTCGCGGCGGCATTTCACGCGTTACTTCGAGTTTTCTTCTATATCGTCGTCGATGCTCATTTTCGCCACGTACAGCTTGGGATCGATGATTTTCGGGATGGGCTTGATCTCCGTGCCTAATTCCTGCTCGATGCGGTGCAAAGCGAACCTGTCGTCGTATGTGATCAGGTTGATGGCGATACCCAAATGGCCGAAACGTCCGGACCTGCCGATACGATGCAGGTAAGTCTCGGCCATTTTCGGGAAGTCGAAGTTTATCACTACGTTTACGGCTTGGACGTCGATACCTAAAGAGAAACAACACATTGCAAATTATTTTAACCGAGAAATTATATTTGGGGAAAGCAGAGTAATGCATTTACGTCTAAAAATTCTAAGAACTTTATAACTATTTTAATGTTAAATCGTCGTTTTGTTTAAAACTGCGATTTCCATTGCAATAATAAAATGCAAAAACTACTAAATAGTCGGAAGCAGCAACTGTCTCGTCCCTACTCAATTACTTTGAACAGGAAAGGGATCGTAGCCAAGCTCTTGTTACAGAGGTAAAAATTTATATTGTTGCTTAAGTTTTGCGATTTTTATTGAAAACACATAATCTTCCAGCAAGTTTCAGCTGGGGTCAATATCAGTTTACAGACTAAGTAGAATCTCAAAAAAGTGAAGACTGATGATAAGCAATTGGAACTTTCAGCTTTCATTCAGAAAACACGTCGTAATATCTATTAACGGCATTTTAGTAGGCTACCGTTTAACGGCTGTTTAATTACATTGAAAAATATTTATTGTGTCTAAAATTGAAGTAAAAAATTGGTGACAAAATTACATATTTTATTTGACACTTCTCAAGTCAGAGTAAAAAAATATCCGTGGCAACAATGCGACGTGCATTCTTCAAATATTTTGGCGACGTGCACGCCAACTTTTATTGATTCTCCTGTGGTGTAATTACAAATTAGAAAAAAAGAAAAATGTTTGTGGTTTATTTCTTTTGTATAACAATAAGTCAACAAAAATATCAAAATAAACCAAGCTAATTGTTTAGCATATATGTCCCCCCAACCTGTTATGATCTAACCAGGTCAGGCTTACTAAATATGCCCCAAACCATATACCGCATGATATGAAATGAAGATCGCTGTCATCGATATGGAAAATGTCATCGATCGTCATTTCCCAGCCAACTGGACGCCGTTTTTATTCGATCATACGGTATTATTAATTTAATTATAATAAAAAACCAAATTAACATTTCAAAACTGAAATGATTAACAAGTAATTTCAACAGACATAAAAAACCACAAAAGAAGCTATCTACTTTAAAACTAAAATGAAAGATAAAACATTTTCTCTGCTAAATATTAATATTCTATCACTAACCGGGCTCCACTTAATATCTTCAAATATTTATAAGCGCCAAAATACACGAAGCGGCTTATGGGCGGTTTATAGGCGGCGACTTTAATCTCAACTAGAGATGAGCAAGGAGTCGCAAACTGCGATTCAATCGCAGCGATTTTAAAATCGCAATCTCAACCTAGACTTTCATAGGAAACTACGGTTGCGATTTCTTCTATTTACAAGATTCAAATTAAGCAACCAGTATTACTATAGTTGTGATTTGCGATTTTGCTGCGATGTAATTTTGATTTCTATCTGAGAGTGAGTTTTTAGGAGCTGTGACTTGCGATGTTGAATACGCCGTAGGCGTGTTTTGATTGCCTTGGTTAATCCATGGGGTTATTTTTTTTATTTAGATTGCACGCGAAATACCCGTTTCGCGTGCACCGAAGTTTTATTTTTAGTACCTAGTACGTGCACCTAGACAACAGCGATTTAGAAGAAGCATTTTTTTACGAATATTTTGGTTTGGTAAATATTAAAATCGCAAGTTTCAATTGCGTTTGGAGAATTAGTTTTGCTCATCTCTAATCTCAACCGCTTGTGTACGATCGGCGATGCGGTACCGTGTTCCTGCGCCGTGTGTTTTGGCTCTAAAAGCTATTCTGGATATTATTTTCCTTCAGCAACCAGATGCTTTAAAAAAAAAATACAAAACAGATACTATAGTTCAGTGGCGCATCTAGAGATTGAGTCTGGGAGGGGTAGTGGGAATATTCAAAAAAGTACTAAATTTGAATTAAATTTTTGCTGGAAGGCATTGTAACTGTAGAAAAAATCTACTTGAATTGGTTTGGATATTCTGTTTTAATTTGTATTATTAACTTTTTTGTAACAATTTTATTTTATACCAAATTTTATCTCATTAATTAATTTCTTTCTGGGAAGGGTAATTTACCCATTACCCCTCCCGTATATACGCTCCTGTATAGGGCTTCTTTCTCTCTACAATTTTCTGTTTCACAATGTACCGTTTGTGTCCGGGAAGGGTTCATAGTTTCATAGTTGTCGATTTTCGAAAGAAATCAGTACATATATAAGTATTTCGTATATATTTTTCATTATATTGATTTTAAGGAAAGCACTGTTCATTAAAATGTTGTATCCTATGTTATAGGGCTTGTTTCTCTCTACAATTTCCTGTCTCACAATGTACCGTTTGTGTCCGGAAAGGGATCATAGTTTCATAGTTGTCGATTTTCGAAAGAAATCAGTACATGTATATTATTTCGTATATATTATTCATTTTATTGATTTTATGCAAAGCACTGTTCATTAAAATGTTGTATCCTATGTTATAGGGCTTGTTTCTCTCTACAATTTCCTGTCTCACAATGTACCGTTTGTGTCCGGAAAGGGATCATAGTTTCATAGTTGTCGATTTTCGAAAGAAATCAGTACATATATATTACTTTGTATATTTTTCATTTTATTGAGTTTATGGAAAGCACTGTTCATTAAAATGTTGTATCCTATGTCATAGGGCTTGTTTCTCTCTACAATTTCCTGTCTCACAATGTACCGTTTGTGTCCGGGAAGGGATCATAGTTTCATAGTTGTCGATTTTCGAGAGAAATCAGTACATGTATATTATTTTGTATATTTTTCATTTTATTGATTTTATGGAAAGCACTGTTCATTAAAATGTTGTATCCTATGTTATAGGGCTTCTCTCTACAATTTCCTGTCTCACAATGTACCGTTTCGATTTTCGAAAGAAATAATTAAAATAAATTAATTTCTTTCTGGGAGGGGTAATTACCCCCATTAACCCTCCCGTATATGCGCCCCTACTATAGTTTCATGATTTTAGTTGTGAATTATCAACTTGGTGATGAATTAAAAAAATAAGTGTAATAAATCCTAAATTAGGAAGAATTTGTTTACACATAAAAAAATTATCGCCTATAAATAAAAGCATAAAGGTTTATCACACAATAGAATCAAGAATTCATAAATAGAAAAAAGCATCACAACCTTATTATTGAACAGCTATTATTTTAACGACCACTATTATGTTATCAGAAAATAAAATAAATAAATCAGAGATAAACAGTAGTTTTTTGTTCCAACACAGCAGAGTAACAACCGTACTCGGTATTAGACGCTTATGCGCAATGGAGAAAATGCGTTTCAACCAAACCAAACCAAATGGATTTGGATTCAAGAAAGATTTAAGTTTTTAAGGCCACAGCTGCCAGGGCGGATTCTGAAACCCGTTTACGAACCGTTCCAACCGCATTTAATTTTGGCATCGTAACAGAACTGTTCAAGTCGACACATACACATAAATTCGATCCCAGCGATACCAATTACCGTTCTAGAACAGAACTAAGAAATTTCTGTGTAGGCACAAAGCTAATAAATCACAAAACTAACATTTCTTTAGTGAAATATACATTGTAATCGAAAAAAAAATTACTAGTATTAATGATAATGTAAAAAAAATCCATGTCATTGACATAAACAAAAACAAATTAATGTTTACTATTTGTACTATGACTGATTCAATTTTTAAAATACACTATATTTTGCACTTACCTCTTGTGAATAAATCTGAACACACCAAATTACGACAAAGACCAGCTCTGAAGTCGTGGAATACTCTGTTACGGTGGGCTTGAGCCATTTTTGCGTGAATGTAATAGCAACAATAACCCAACTCCGTGATTTTTTTCGCCAGCAGTTCGACTCGTTGAGTTGAATTACAAAATATAATACTTTGGTTTATTTGTAACTGAAATAAAACATTTAATGTTTAAAAAAAATGAAACGTGATTATTTCTTGCATCAAATACCATATAAAATGGTCCATACTGTAGATTGATAAAAATATGAAAAATAAAAATTTAAAAAAGATTGGAGTAGAAAAAATCAACTTTATTTGCATTTTTTTTTCTAAATGGGTATGAAAGTACCCTGTGATCGAAAAAAAAATTCCTAATATGTATTAACCAACAAGCAAAAAGGCCTTTTTTCAAAAAGTTAATAATAAAATAGTGTGTCCTCTTGTAAAGACAATCGGGAGACATACTGTATAATACTTGATGAAATGGATCCTATGTATACAGATAAGCCAAGTTCTATTGTTAATAAAGCTATTACATTCATTGGCGTAATGCTAAATGAAATTTTCCACCTGTTTTATTCTGTAATATATTTGAATTTATATCAATTGTCTATCATAAAGTAAGGTAGAATTTATTACAGTAAACGCCAAGAATGTTTGGGAGTGATTCATCGGTCGCTACCATGTGAACTAATCTGTTCAAGGTAACATAAACTTAATTCCAGTGCCGTGGTTCAAGTCATATAATAATCAATATACAGGGTGATCCGAATTGTATTCCGGAAACTTCGCCAGCATATTTTGCAGATAAAAATAAGTAAAAACGTTCGTATAAATGTATGTCCTAAAATGCTTAGTTTCGAAGATACAGGGTGTAGAAGTTTCATTTTTATTTCGATTTTTTCTAAATAATTTCTGAAGTAACGTCAATATCTGGATGAAAATTGGTGTCTGGGAGTTTGTGATACGAGAAATTTGATTTTGATGTCAAAATGACTCCTATTTGTAGGGGGCGCCACCTACATGCGTTTTGAGTGTTTTGAAGAGTAATAACTTTTCGACGGTACCTGTATAAAAACTATAAAACTACTGACTAAAAAAATATACATTTCCATGACTTTTTACGTAAAAAATATCTCTTGGTAAAAATCGCTACGAGCAACCGTTCTCAAGATATTTAAAATGGAAATAGTCAATACATGTCACTAAGCACACGTTGTCAATAAGCACACGTTGAATAGAGTTATTTGACTGAAATAATAAATTTTCATTTTTTTTAAATTAATCATAAATTTTTCGGCGAAAATTGATGATTAAACAGTTTCTGTTGAACTTTTGGCACAAAAACATTTCAAATTTAAGATTTCAGTCTAATATAACTACTTGGTCAACATGTTTAATTTGTCAATGATGACAGGTATTGATAATTTCAATTTCAAATATCTCGAGAACCATTACTTGTAGCGATTTTTACCAAGAGACCTTTTTTATGTAAAAAAAGTTGTAAATGTATATTTTTTTACACAGTAGTTTTATACAGGCATGGACGAAAAGTTATTACTCTTCAAACCAGTTAAAGCATATGCAGGTGGCGCCCTCTACAAGTGGGAGTCATATTGACAGGAAAATCAAATTTCTCATCAGTCCAAAAACTTCCAGACGCCAATTTTCATCCAAATATTTACGTTACTTCTTAAATTATTCGGAAAAAATCGAAATAAAAATGAAATTTCTACACCCTGTATCTCCGAAACTAAGCATTTTAGAACATACATTTATAGGAACTTTTTTACTTATTTTAATCTGCAGAATATGCTACCGAAGTTTCCGGAATACAATTCGGGCCATGTATAATCTGTTGTAATTTGTTGTTTTAACTGTCAAAGTCTTGTCAAAACATATATTCGGTTATAAATATAAAATGGAATGCCTCATTGGTCGCACTGCAAGCACACCAATGGGCTGACGCACAAAAACGAATCAATCAAAGAAACGCGATTAATAGTATCGTCTTTGTCAATCACGCCAACATTTTAGAATAAGTAGGAGGAGCGCAGGCAGATGATTAGACCGGGCCTTTAAAAACCTACGCCTGCGGTAAAAAATTACGTTTTTAATGTAAAAATGATAGCGCGCGTGCAAATTCAATCGATGAATCACTCCCAAACATTCGTGGCGTTTACTATACCAAAGTAACTTTACACATTTTTCATGACAGCAATAAAACAAACGCAAACAATTTAATACACATCCTATATAAAAATACAACATAAAAAAGCCTGGCTTACCTTAGAAAACAGAGTGTTTAGGCAATGAACTTTTTGCCTCTCCTGTACAAAGGCGTAATACTGAGTGACACCTTTCAATGTCAGTTCTTCCATCAAGTTAATCTCGTAAGGCTCGTGTAAATGTTTCTTCATAAACTGTTCCACCGTTAGGGGGAAAGTGGCAGAAAAGAGAAGTATTTGCCTTTCTCTTGGCAAGTTCTTGATAACGGTGTCCAACATTCCTTTAAAGTCCTGCGACAGAAGCTTGTCCGCCTCGTCTAATACTAAGATTTTACAGTTGGACATCTGTGCTACTTCTAATGGGGATATAAAAATAATTAAGACTGTAAAACTGTATAAAACGTTTGTAATGCAGATCATACCTTTTTCCATGAGATCCAATATACGTCCTGGCGTAGCAATTATAACCTGTACCTTCTGATAGATTCTCATAATATCGTCTCGTAGATTTGTACCTCCCGTCGTGACCATAATACGTATCTAAAATGCGGAAATTAATGACTAATTATGGAGACATTAGATGGTAGGTAAAAACTGATGGTGCTTAAATTTTGCAGCTTTTATTGAAGATATACCGTGCTGGCAACTGTTACTTTTGGGTCGGCATTTACATGTGTGAAGTAAATCGCATAGGGAACTTATTAAGTCGGAGTGAGAGAAATGCGACCGACCGACGCGACGCGCGACGGTGTGCTGTTGCGGCGTTGCCGATACGCCTTTCCCTATCAAGTAAACTCACGATCGCAAACCGCTTATTTTTAATATACTTTTTTTTCAAGAGATAACAAGATAAAATCATTAGGTTTGGGTATACCTAGGTTTGTAATGTTTCTAAGCATCTGAAATGGAATTATAAGGATATCGTTAAGGTATCTTTTTTTTATAACGAGAAAACGTCAGTAATCGCGATAATTTAGAAACTCAACTTTTTAACACATAACAGGCCATAACTCAAGAACCACTTTAGATATTGAAACTTTTTTTTATCTCCAAGATCAGATATTTTACAATATGTTTACATAAGAAAAATTCGATAAGGTTGTTTTTTCCATTCAAAAATTGTAAACAATCCATCCATTTACTTTTAGAGCATAGCAATTTTCAGCAATCATGTAATTTTTTTATTGATAAAGATTTTCACATACTGTCCACAAAGAAAATACAGCAGAAATATTAACAAAGTTCTTGAAAAAACTACAATCTATTATTTCTAATAGATTTCGAGATATTGATTTTTGAATTCAGAGTTCTAATAGCGCGACTACTATCGAACACCCACTCAATTCCACTTATTTTTACCAAAAATGCAAGTGTTTTTAGCTTGCACTTAAAAAAATTCAAGCTATAGGGAAAAGTATAACGACTCGTTAATAAATAAACAAATCAAGTATCACAAGACGTAATTAAATCGTGAAGCTGAATGCATGACATACACCTTTCCCTAGAACTTTAAGTACTGACAAAGGTATTGATTGGGTCGACCGGTCAACTGCCTTCCACGTCTCTTAGCGATGTGCACAGTTTCTCGGTTTATTTCATACGTTCGGCAACGTGTTTACTGTCCTCTCTTTGTTCAGTACATTATAAACGCATTATACTCTTCTTACATACGGAAATCTCGACCCAAGACTAACCTTTGCCAGCCCTTAGTACTTAGTATATAGAACTTTAAGGGTGTTTCAGCTGCACTAATATCACTTTACAGACTGTGAGTAGAATTTCACAAAAAAGTGAGATTAATGTTAACCAATCAGAACTTTTACATTTTTCTGCTTTCATGCAGAAAACTTACTAATAACTTCATTAAATAGAATTTGTATGTAAAAATCTAATGCCGCGACTGCACATGCGGAATTTGGCAATTTCCGAGCGCTCGTCAACGGGGCTTCGCCGATCTCCGATCAGTGTGGGCGTAGTTGAAGTTCGGCGACAAGAACGAGCGCTCGTCTCTCGTCTGTTGTTGAGGGACCCTTTCTGCCAGAGCTCGGCGCATGTGTTATGCTGCGACCGCACATGCGTCCACACCGCATTTCCTTCCACAGATGGGTGTATCGCCGAGCACTGATAGCGATAACATAGAGACGAGCGCTCGATCTCGTCGCAGATAAGAAAACAAATTAATGTAGTTTGAAATCAAAGTGAAAAATCGGTGACAAAATTAGGAATTTTATTAGAGTTTGTCAAAAACCGAAGTGAAAAGTAGCAGTAACAATATTGTGATGTGCATTTGACAAAAATTTTGATGGCGTTTACCACAAATTTTTATGATTTTTCTACGAGTTATTGTTTATTACCTGTAAATGTTTAGCAAGTTCGATACAAATTTGTGAAGTCTGTAGTGCCAACTCCCTCGTGGGTACTATAACCAAAGCCTGAATATAGTCCTTTGTTGGATCAATTAATTCTAAAACTGGTATTGAATATGCCCCAGTTTTACCTAGAAAATATTTTTAGTTTATTTAAATATTACAAAATTAAAAACATGATAAACTAACCAGTTCCATTTTTTGCTCTAGCAAGAATATCCTTGCCAGAAAGGGCGATAGGTATAGCAGCTTCTTGAATTGGCGATGGTTTTTCCCAACCTTTTTCGAAAATACCCATTAGAAGTTGTCTGTTCAGGCAGAACTCTTCGAATTCGTTTCCTTTTGTGTCCGTTACATCCTAAATATTAAAACTAATCTCACAAAATTGGTATATCCATACTATAATCATATAAAAATACAAGTTTCATTCAGTAAGAAAATTATCATTTATTAGTTAAAATGAAGGGGAATCCAAAATACTCATCATTAGTATCAAACACCGATCTAAAATTACTACTACCACCTCCCATTAGACCTAATTAAAAAAAAATACATTCCACTGTTTTTTCACAACCTAACCGCAATCCTTGTATATATATTTTTGAAGTAGATCAACCTAAGACGTTTATGGACTAAGACTACTAGATGGCAGGACCGGTTTCCCTACAGAAAAATATTTTTCGTCGCTCTGAATTTTGAAGCTACCAATAAAAACTGAGAAAATAAAAATCGATAATTTTCGGACTGTGCCAATTGGTTACTAACTCGACCAGATACTTTTTATCTATTAGATATGCTATAAAAGCTGGCAATTATACAATTCGACCATTGTAAATACCCCACAAATTCTTCAAGGCCGACAAGGCCGATGCTTCTCGCTGATAAGAAATAAAAATGTTTGTTTAGATAATTTTCGAGGTATTTTTTCTTTCTGAATGCACATTTTAAAATATTTTATATTCTTTATCCCCTTGACCCATTATCCTGGTTGCACGTATGGAAGTTCTGTTTCTTCTAGTTTTAGAAAATGTTCATATTTCTCTTTTCTTTGAAGGTGTAGTGTAAAATTAGATTAATTTATTAAGTTTAATTATAGTGTTTAGTGTAGAATGTTAGTGTAGTCTACCAAAAATAGTTTAGTAGTGTTTTTATAGTTTATTTTGTCGTTAAGTAGTAGGTGAAGGGATAATTTTGTTATTTTTTCTTTTTGTTTGATAAATTAGTAAGTTTCATAATTTGTTCAGTGTGTAGTGTTTTTAAGAGATTATATTCGTTTATTTTGTAGTTGAGTAGTAGGTGAAGGGGTATTTGGGTATTTCTTCTTTTTGTTTTTCTTGTAATAATTGTAGTAGTTCTATTAAGTATTGTGATAGATACACTATATCTTCCTTCAACTTCGTTGAAAAGTGCGTTATCATATAATCTTGGTTTTCTGGTAGCAGAATATACGAAAAAAAAAATCTGATCAAATTTATTTGAAATTAAATTAATCTAGCTTTATTAATCAAACTAAACTAGTCAAATAATAACAATAGTTAGTTTCAAAATACTATACAGGGTGTTTCCTACGATGTTCTCTATGGGCATCTCGGAAACTACTGGAGATAGAGAGTCGGTTAATGGGGAAAGAATTGCAGTTTTGTGGGGTCATAAATATGCGCCTTTCGGATTTTTCGGAGAAGTTCAAGGCTTATTAGATATTTCGAAAAAAAAAACAAATTTTGGCTATTTTAAAACTTGTCTCTAATTCCATTATAATCTACCGTATGATCGAATAAAAACGGCGTCAACGATGGCTATGAAGTGAAGATCGTTGTCTTTTTATATGGGAAATATCATTGATCGTCATTTTCATAGCCATCGCTGACGCCGTTTTTATTCGATCATACGGTATTTTAGACAAAAAGTTTTCAGATAAAAGTTGTAGATAATCACATACCTAATGAGTTTGTGTTTTCTGTTTTTTTTTCTAAAGTCTGTCATTTTTGACATATGACACAAACATATGTTTTTTTAGTAAACCATAGTTGGCCATGACTTCATAAAAAGCGCCATTTTTAAGCTTTTCAGCGATAGGTATAATATGTTTTTTTCGAAAAATTACAAGTTATAGCCAATTCTTCTCTTTCTTGGCTAATTTCCATAACAATAATACCATGCCAATTAGTTAGCATCAAAAATGTAAAAAGTTTTATGTTTTCAAAAAAAAAATCGTAAAATTCGTAAAGCACTCAATTTAGAATAAAATAATCTAAGAATGAAATGATTCTTTTATAAACCTGCATTAAATCAACTTAAAATAGGTATGTAACTTTTTTTTAAATATTAATTAACAGCCAATTAGCATAACATTATCATAAATTATAAATAATGTACCAACATATCGAAATAATAATTTCTTTGTTAATACGGTTTAGAATTCTTAAAATAACAGGCAAAAATAATCCACAATTTACAGTTAAATAAAAGTTTCGTTTAAATTTCTTAATCAGCTGATCACGATTAAAGTTCGCAGATACCCGGGCTATATTATTACATTACTCTGAGGAAAATAACAAAAATAATCGATATTTTTGACTCCGCCCCGAAAAGTTCACGATTTGTCCTCCAGTTAGCAGCACATTTTGTCTAGTCGGTTGACCAACTTTAAGAATATATAAACAAGGATATAACTAATTATAATTGTGCAAAAAATACGTTAATTAAAGAAATTTCATTACCAAGCTAGAAATAAGTAAATTTAGCCCATTAATAGTAAGAATAATTTTATTATATATTTAGTAAGAATAATATGATTGGAAAAAAAAAACAGGGTCTAGTTGGCTTGGAAATGATGATCGATGACATTCCCCATTTTCATTTCGCAGCCAACGCTGACGCCGATTTTTTTTCGACCATATTTTATTAATATGGACCACTACAACACTATCGCAATACATTTTCTACTATCAAAGTAACTGCCTAGTCAATCATAATAGTGCTCAAAACACTGATGACAAAAAAAATAGTCACCACAGAATACTGAAAAATTAACCACAACGATGTCTCTCAAAAAAAAATATAAGAATAAGTTTTATCAAGTATAGTAGTATTTTTTAATAATAAGCTTTGTTGTCTACTAAATTAAATAAATGGGTACTTACACTTGTCTGAATTCTCCTATCTTTTGGAGGGATTTTTAATTTTGATTTCCACCCTAAATCATCCAATTTTGAATCTACCTTGCTGTCCATTTTTGCATCTAAGCTACTAAAAAAATATTATAACATCAAATAACTAATTTAATGAAAAGATAGGTATTTATTTCACTAGTTAAATTATAACAAAAAATATTTAACATTTGGTTGGTAAAGAATTTATGACAAGCAAAAAAACTAGGATAGCCTTTTCCTTAAAAAAGTGTTATATTGGAATAATTTGAATATAAAAAATATTGGTACGTAATATACAATTAACTTTAGATATACCTAAGTAGCTAATAATTAGAACTAAAAATATACTTACAGTTTATTTAATGTCAAATGGTTCATATTAATTCTATCTGTTATCATTATTTTGGGAGTTTATATAAATAGGATTTCAGTAACAAAAATAGGGTTTATAAAACCCAAATCTATACTCTACAATATGTAGGATCGACTAGGATCCCTTCGGAAACCAATTTCAAAACCTGGAATAGAAAAAAATATTATAAAAAGTATACTTAAAAAGGATCTTATTTTTAAATAGTTCTAAATCCTGAACATATTAATAGGAGATTATGGGATGTAACAATAAATTGTTTATCACTATATTTTGAAACAATAAAAATCAAGAATATTTCTAGGATTCATTGGGGTTTTACGGATAAAATTGGGGCTCTAAACAAAATCGAATATGGCTGCTATCTACTCCATTACGTCGAAATGAATATAAAAATCGTAAACAAGATAATAGAATTTAGATAAACTTACTTGGTTTTACACGATTTCCTCAATAGTAAAGTTTCTGAAAACTTGAAAGTCTTTTAGGCATTTCTCTTTTAATCACCACTTTCTCAGTAACACTTTTTTGTAGTCAGTTACTTTATAAAATTCCACTCTCTTCGCCGTACTCTTCCCATACAAAATGATTTTACAGAAAATGGCTGCGCCTGAAATCCGCAGCAGTGGACTCTATCGGCAAGAACGAAAACTGAAGAAGCGGGAATTTTAACTTCTCTATTCTCTACATACCGTGTGATCGAAAATAACAGGGTCGGCGTTAAAATACGGATCATTGATGAATTTTGTGCCGAACTACAGGATTCCGGGGCAATTCTCTGTGGTATGTAAAGGGAATATATTATTTATTAAAAAAATATACAAAAATATGTCAAAACTCAATTCTTAAATGTTCTTCTTATAAAGTAAATGTTAGATATGTTTCTACATACATTCTAGATAGGTTTCAAATAAATTGGATATTAGACTAGAATAGATTTATTTGGTATTAGAACAGCATTAGACTAATTAACATATATTGCGCCTTAGAATTTATTACAAATAAATAGTTGCCATTTTTTAAACATGATTTTCTCAAGCAAGTACAAGAGCTAGGGCATATAACAAAATCACTTTGTAAAAAATATAAAAATATGAGAGAAAATGAGTAACAATGTAAAGACAATAAATAGAATAATTAATAGATTACGCTTGCAGTTGTTGTTTTGTGCGTAATATTTTAACAGGTAAAAGCAGAATCATTTCCTTGCAAATATTTAATTCCATCGGAATTAGCTCTTGAGCCTTTGTATGTTTTTCACAATAATCTGCAATAAATTTGTAATGCTCATATTGTAATTCTGTATTTTTTAATTGAGTTGCTTTGTCTAAAGTAATGTATCTTCCATATAAGGCAGCTACATAAAAATACGCCCTGAGAAAGGCTTTTTCTCCATCATCTATAATTTTTTCTTTTTCGCTAATATTCGCCTTAAATGAGAATATAAAAGTCTCATAATATTTAATACTTTTTTCTACTAAAATATTAATTTTGTTTAATGCTTGAGGTTTAGGTCTATCTTTGCATTCTCGTAATTTGTCCAGTTTTATATCAATAATATCTGAATAACTCTGTCCAAGTTCGAACCAAATTTGTCTACAGTAACTCATATAATATTGGGAGTTTACATTATTAATGACATGTTCCAATAAATCAATTCTCCTTTTGTGTAACTTGGACTGATTATCTGGATTATCTTCAAAAAACAATAAATTTAGATATAGTTGACTTTGATCTAAAATAGTTTCAATATAATCAGAAGCTAATGTATCTAAATTGTAGTAGTCTTGAGACTTCTTAATCCAATCGGATGTTTTGAGAAAAACCTTTTTTGCAGAAGAAAAATCTAATACAAATTGATCTGTTACTTCTTCCTCTAAATCAGTCACATCAATACCAGTAAATGAAAGATTTTGCAAATCTTCTCTGGTTATCTTAGTATCCTCTGTCAATTGCATAAGAGATAAATCAGAAGTCATTTGACAATGTTCGTCTATGTTTTCTGTATGAGCTAAAAGCCTATCTTTTGATTTTCCAAGCAGAAAGATTCCATATTTAGTCCAACACCTTGCTACATCTGCACTTCGATGATTAAAAGTTTCTAATGCTGCTTCAAATTCTTCATTTCCTACAGAATTCTGAACTAGTTCTTCTCTTTTGTATTTTTCTAAAATATAAGATGCGGCCGCCAAGTGGTGTCGCGCTTGTTTAAAACCACATTTCTGCATAAAAAATTGTGATAAAGTTGCTGAATTAAGTGCCCAATCGATAGGATCGTAATCATCAGCTTCAAGCTGTCTTTGTAAGGTGATATGACAGTAAATTGCGCTCTTAAAATCCTCGTTTAACTTCCCGAAAATTTGAGCTAAATAATATAAAGTTAATGTGTGAGCTTTCTCTAAATTTTTAAATGCTATAGCTACATGATAGACTTCAATATTAGATTCAAATAAATCTTTTATGTCGATTGGTACTTTGTTAGAGCTTATAAAATCTCCATATAGTTTATCTGCTTTCTCAAGATACATTTTAGATTTATCTAAATCTCTTAAGGACCACAGTATCCCAAATTGATTATATGTCATCAGAGATACCAAAATGCCTTCTGGGGTGTTTTCGTGTTTTTCTATAATTTCTTTACATTTTTCAAGATGCTTTTCGCCGGTAGAAGTCTCGTCAGTTTCGATAGCAACTAATCCTAGATAATAATAAACTGTAGCCTGCATAGCTGAAAAAGTACGATCTTGTCAACTTTGCTTTTAGAAGACACAAAATAATAACTATTTTTTCAAAATATGTATTACCCGTTAAATGTATACTTTCGGCTGTTGCTTCAGATTCCCGAGACCTTAGTAAATTTTCTAAATTTGCTTTCATCCCAACTAAAATCTGCCTTGCCGAATACTTAGACAAATAAGGTTCATTTTCTGGATCCGATTTAGGACCCTCGGACAAGAGCTTTATTACTTTTTCATATTTCTCTTGCAAATCAACAAAAGTTTCTTTATTAATTATCATTTTCACAAAGTTTAATTTTTGTATTTATTTATTAATATTTATCGATTATTAAATTGACAGTTTGCTGACATAACCACAGATAACCTTTAGATTTTTTTAAGTATAAGCTACTAGGATTATCCGGCCTATTAAACCTTTCACAGCATTCGACAGACAGGTCGTATAGTTCTAGTAGCTTAATGCCGTTAAACGGAAAAGAAGCAGAACGTACTATAACCCTATCTTTTCTTCTTTTTTGTTTCTTCGACCTCAGACCGCCAGGGATGAACTGTTACATAAAAGTGACTGACTGAATTTTAGGATTTGTTTTATGAATTTTCTCGTGATAAACTGAAAATGAGGCATAACTACAACCTAATAAAAAAATACATATTCCATACTCTATATTGAACTAAATTTAGCATAATTAATTATAATGTCCATTACAAAGTTTAGTTCAGGTCTTTATGATTACTGTAAATTTATTAAAAACAGAAATAATCTCTCCTTTACCAGAATATAAAGTCAACGCCTGCTTGGTTTACAGCCAACTAAAAGACTTAAATAATATAAAAACTTATATATTCCCTACAATATATATAGAACAAAATTAAAATAATAAAGTTATTTAACTATACCTTCCATTCTTAACACCAATCATGCATACCTTAGATATTGATAATGTAAAAACTTAATAATCCACTAATTTCTTAGGTTCTCTTTGATCGTTATCCCTGTCTCTATTCCTATCCCGCTCTCGCCTTGTTTTCGATTCAGATCTTGATCGTCTATCCTTGTCTTTCTCTCTAGATCTGGATCGCGACCGCCTGCGCCTTTCCCTACTCCTACTTCTGTCCTTATCCCGTCTGTCTCTGTCGCTCCGATTCGAATCCCTATCTCTGCTGTGGGAAGATCTGCTATCTCTGTTGCGAGAACCGCTACTTTTGTCAGAGTCCGAACTGGAGGAGCGATCGTAAGCGTGTCTTTTCTCTCTTTGCCTGAATTTTAATAATGTATTAATTAGATATTAGAAAAATATGGCATAGCCCAATTCATCCACAAGGGTGAACTTTTTTAGCTGAAATTCCTCATAAGAATCAACCATACACAAAGTTATAAAAAATTTCTCAGCATCAGGAAATGCATCATTTTCTTTTTTCCGACTATAGAATAACTGAAATCGTTTGCAAAACAACATATTCTGTAGGGCATTAAACCAAAACAAAAAACTTAAACACAAATAGTGTGAACTTTAGAAGAACTGAAATCAGTTACATAAATACACCTTTCTTTTTTACATTCTAACGTTCTTCTAAACATAAACACGTCAGAAATTCCTTGAAATTTTAAGAAATATTAATAAAAATGTAAAGAATAACGAATGAAAATGTTGAAACCAAAGCAAATTTGTATTAAAAAAAAACAGAATCAAAACAAAAAAGTTTAAAACAACACACTGGCTAAACAACCATTGGCGGTATTGTTGGTGTATACAAAAAATACTGTTATCTGGCGGCATATTTCCATACCTGTAAATGCTGGTAGAAAATTGAATTAATTTGTCGTTGACGGCGGCGGTATGAACTTAACCTGGCACATAAATGCCGCACAACGGAGGCATAGTGTAATTTAAAAATTATTACCGTACCGAGAAAAACGAAAAAACAAACAAAAGTGTGAAACCAAAGCAATCAAAACACACTATAAGAAGCGTGTTTTGATTGCTAGAGGTATAGCTAGACATTAACCTTACTTAAAAATAAGAGAGCTCCTATCTCGACGACATGAAAAAACTAACATAATATACTAATAATATAAACAATATAATACTAAATAAACAAATATTTCTTACAAAAATGATTTCAGCTAAACGAAAGTTGAGCCAGCCACGATTCCGTTATTAGCTCGGATATTATTTTGATACTTACATTTGTCTAATTTAGAGTTACGGCATCACAATATAGTATTGATTCAGTTTTTTATTATCGTTGCCTTATCTCTCAATTTTTATAATTACCTGCGACGTAGTTTGATAGCCATTTCTCGCAGTTCGTCTTCTCTGGTTTGTTGTTCTTGTTTCTCTCGTTCAATTTTTTGAACTTCTGCTATTTTATCTTTTATAACTAAAACAAAATTTATACGTTTAAAATACCGTAAAATGGAAAAAAAATCGGTGTTAAGTTGGCCTGCAAATGTCTTTCTCCATATAATTTTACAAATATAAGATGACAGTGATAATTTTCAAGCAAACTCTGTTTTTTCAATCCTATGGTATAATTTGACAAGCAACAAATGAGAAAAAATGTTTTTGAGATGTTTTGAGAAAATACATACGTACTCAACAAGAAATATTTTTTGTTATTACATGCTGAAACAATTAATAATTTTATTCAATAACTCACTAAGATTTTTCCTCATTTCCTGTAAACGTTTTCGCATACCATTTAAAACAAATTTATACAGGATGTACCAAAAAGTTCATAAAATTGTTTTTTTATTATCGATTTATTGAAAAAGTTTATGCAGAATTTCATCAGTAAGCCTAATAACAAAGAAAATAATAGTTTTGACATAATGCTACAGATTACAAAAATCCTCTGTATATACAGGGTGTCCCACTTAAGATGGATACAAGCCAATATCTTGGATGTTTGTTGAGCGATCTTTTTCATTTTTGGCAGGAGGCTGTATGGCCATAAGATGTACATTTTGCCCAGAGTAAGAAATGCGATACCTCATAGACGTACGTTTTAATGGAGTTTGATATTTTTCGAGTCAAGAGTAAACTACCCTTAGGACAGTATTTATTTCAAATCTGATAAATTATATTGAATCCTCCTTACCCAAGATAATTAATTTCTAATTTTGATAAATATTGATACAGGGTGTGTTATTAAAATAAGACATTTTTATTTTTATTATTATTTTTAAGTACTTACGACGCCACTGGATAAACAACTGGTTTATTATCAATAACCAATTATAACCAATTATCAATTACTAATCGATTTAAGTTTTCAGATAGTTTCCATAATAATTAAGATACAATACAAAAAAACTAAATATTTTCAATTTATTTTGTTTACTTTAAAAACTTGTTTTTTAAGTTTGCTAATACAAATGAAGAAAATGAGTTACAAAATAAATTTAAAACCCAGTTTTCAATGGAATCTGAAATATGATTTTTATTCGTTTTATTGAGGAATATTTTAAAAAATCCAAAGTTATTTAAAACAATCACTATCAACTTTGAAAAATATGCTCTAAACAAAGATGTATAAAACTGTAATTTAAAGTAAACAAAATAAATTGAAAATATTTAGTTTTTTTGTATCGTATCTTAATTATTATGGAAGCTATCTGAAAACTTAAATCCATTATTAACTGATAATTGGTTATTGATAATAAACCAGTTGTTTATCCAGTGGCGTCACAAGACACACCCTGTATCAATATTTATAAGAATTAGAACTTAAGTATCTTAGGTAAGGAGGATTCAATATAATTTATCAGATTTGAAATAAATACTGTCCTAAGGGTAGTTTACTCTTGACTCGAAAAATATCAAATCCCATTAAAACGTACGTCTATGAGGTATCGCATTTCTTACCCTGGGCAAAATGTACGTCTTATAGCCATACAGCCTCCTGCCAAAAATGAAAAAGATCGCTCAACAAACAACCAAGATATTGGCTTGTATCCATCTTAAGTGGGACACCCTGTATGCAAAAAATTAGCTTATATCACAGATAACACATAATCCAGATGGCCATTGCTTACGGAACAGCATGTTTTCGATGAGACAGTTCCCTATTAATGACACAGAGGGCGCCTATAGCCAAATCTAATAATATTTTTAAAACGAACGAATTTGGAGCCACACCACGGCCACGCGATGTGAAGCGACGTAGCCGGTTGTTCACATTTATAAGCAAATTCCCGGTCAAACCCAGGAAAATGTATATTCGGACTTTAATACTAGACAATTGGATATGAAAATACTAGTCGCAGTGGATGTTTGAAAGTCAGAATTTCTAGATGCATATATATTCTATTTATAGCCATGAAATTTATAATTTAGATTTTATTTTTATTATTTGTCTCTTAATATTCATTAGCTGAAAATAAGGGTAAAGGTTATCTATATAGTAATAAATAAAATTTGGCACATAGGTTCCTTAAGTGATGTAAATGAGCACTAAGAAGGGATTTTTTGAAAATTCGACCGCTAAGGGGGTGAAATTAGGGATGAAAAGCTGCATAAAAATTTGTTAAAATCTGGTTTAAGAGTATGAAATTTTTCACGAGTGCTCCTTGACTGACGTAATTGAACACTAAGGGGCAATTTTTGGAAATTCGCTCGTTAAGGGGGTGATATGGGGGGTACTTTTGTATACAAAAAAAAGCATGTCCTAGGACTACGAAATTTTGCACAGAGGTGCCTTAAGTAGCGTAACTTAACAGTTCGATTATACAAAGCGATTTTAGGAAATTCTTCTACTAAGGGGTGAAACTGGGGGTGAAATTTTGCATACTTTTTTAAAATTAGTCCGAGGAGTTTGAAATTTGGAAATTGTTAATTAAGTGACGAAAGTGAGTACTCAGAAGCAAATTTTGGACATTCATCCCCTAAGAAATAAGGGATGAAAATTGGTATAAAAATTTGTTAAATCGGTTTTAGAAGTATGAAATTCTGCGTAGACGTTCCTTATGTAACTTAATTTAGCACTAAGAGGCAATTTTAGGAAATTTTCCCTCTAAGGGGGTGAAATGAAGGGTGAACGTTCTGAAAAAAAATCTGTCCTAGAAGTATGAAAATTTGCACAGAGGTTCATCAAGTGATGAAAGTTATACTCAGAAGCGAATTTTGGGCATTCATCCCTTAAGAAATAAGGGATGAAAATATGTACAAAAATTTGTTAAAATCGGTTTTAGAAGTATAAAATTGTTCGCAGACGTTCCTTATATAAGGTAATTTAGCACTAAGAAGCAATTTTTCGAAATTTTCCCTCTAAGGGGGTGAAATGAGGGGTGAACTTTCTGAAAAAAATCTGTCCTAGAAGTATGAAAATTTGCACAGAGGTTCCTCAAGTGATGAAAGTGAGTACTCAGAAGCGAATTTTAGGCATTCGCCCCATAAGAATTAAGGGATGAAAATTTGTACAAAAATTCATTAAAATCGGTTTTGGAAGTATGAAATTTTGCGCAGACGTTCCTTATGTAACGTAATTTAGCACTCAGGAACAATTTTTGGAAATTCGCCCTCTAACGGGGTGAAATGAGGGTGGACGTTCTGAAAAAAATTGCTTGTTATTGCTAAATTACGTTACATAAGGAACAAACAGAATTTCATACTTCTAAACCCGATTTTAACAAATGTTTGTACAAATTTTCATCCCTTATTTCACTCTCTTAGGAGATAAATGTCCAAAATCCACCTGTACAAAATTCCACACTCGTAGGACTGTTAGTTTTAACTAACAATTTATTAAAGTGCAACTATATAAAAATTATACAGGGTGGCGCCTCTCATACGACTCGGAGGCTCCAAGGAGAACGACCAGTTCGTATTAAAATGAAATTTTGTGAGCATATGTAAGTTAATTCTGCGCACGTTTTAAAAATATAGAGCGTTCTACAGGGTGTCCCCAAAAAAAGTTACACATCAAATTTGTGTTTTTTTGTAACGGAATACCCCCTTTATTAATTAATTTTTAGATTCTAAGAGAAAAATAAAGGTGTATTTTATTAGGGAAGTATATGACTGAAATGTAAGGTTTTAGACTTACTTAAGATTTTGAAGAACAATTTTTAAATTTCAAGAAAAACTACCTAAATTGGAATTTACTCTATTGCACTTTAAATCAAATTAAACCCTGACCCATAAAGTTATACAGGGTGGGGCAAAATTAATGCTGAACATTGGTATAACCTGTATAACTCCTTTATTACCCACCCTGTATAACTCCTTTAGTTTAATTGAATCACCCAGAATATTATTCCGATATTCAATGGGAAATTCATGTCACTTCCAAATACTATTAAAGTTGCCGGCCTACCCCTCAAACAAAGATTTTCCTAGATATTTTCATTTCTATGATTTAGTGTGAATAGATCTTTATTATTTGATAAAATCTAGGGTGGCTGTGATATGTCTGACGTTACTTCAACATAGCTGTCAAATTAGTTAACTTTAGCAACTAGTTATCATTTTGTGTCAGTTCGTCAGTTGAAACAAAAAAAAATCTAAGAAATTTTCCGAAAATAGAAACTTATCCTACATCAGAGAGAATTATATGATTCTATTAGTTAGCTCCTGATTTTATCTAGTCTGGGCTTTTTTATTTAATTAACATATATCAAATAAAAAAGCCCAGACTAGACAGTGTTAACAAAACTCGACCAAACCAAACCAAACTATTGTCTGAAACTACATTTTTTACTTACTAAATATGAATTTTACTTTGTTTTGTTGATCTTTGAAAGGTGTATAAAGTCGAATCATTTTAGATTGGACATTTAAATTTTATGGGATTTTCGGGATCCCGGAATTTAATATCAGGATTCCGGAGATAAACATACACGCCGCCGGGATCCTGGGAGTTCGGGATTTCAGGAAACTCTAGTCGTGAGATTAATGATGTACAGATGCATGTCATGTTGATTTGGAAGTGACAATCGATAAGATTTATCATATAATTTTACATACTCGACAGCGATCTTCATTTCCAGCCCACTCCCATGCTTTTTTTTCTATCGTACGGTATATTCACTAACTGCATTACCTACTTATAATTTATAACAGTTTATATTCACTGATTCATTTATAATTTGTATCCACATAATATTACTTGATTTATCCATCGTAAACTTTGCATAGATATAGAAATATAACGATGGACAACTCTTAATGTGTTAAATTATACCCTACGATCGAAAAAAAAAACGGCGTCCGATTGGTTTGGAAATGACGATCGATGACATTCCCCATATAATTTTACATATCAAATGACAGCGATCTTCATTTCATAGCCATCGCTGACGCCGTTTTTTTTTCGATCATACGGTATATGGTAAAAACCATCGATCACCATTTCTAAGGTAACTTAACGCCGTATTTTTACATACAAAATGTGCAAAAAAATTCTATATGAATGAACTCACAATTTTCTATCCACTTTGTACATAAATTAGGATCTCTTGACGCATGAAACTTAAACACATGTACACCTGATTTCCGAGAAATCTCACAATTGTAAAATTGACATTTACCAGACATTTTAATAATAATTATCACTAACCACACAGTTGTAATCAAAGACAGTCAAAGGTATATGATATATTACCATCACAGATTACCATATATTACCCGGCTTTTAAAATATCCATTAAAAACACAGATTAAAAACAAAAAACAGTAACGACATATCTAAATCTTCTATCTTTGTCGCATATGGTTCGTTCCTGTATTATTCTGTGATAAGGGAAGGAATAGAGATTTTCTGTGATAAGTGGTAAAGCTAGGTTTTCATATGTACAAATTTGGCCAACTTTCCAGGAAATTCGGTCATATTTTTATTATAAAATTATTTATCATAAACAAATTTATTGTAAAAAAAAAATTTGAACGTATATTCAAATTTTAAACGTTTCAATTAATAAATAACGTAAATCACTTTTAAATTAAATTTAAGAAAAAAAAATCAAAATTAATAAAACGTAAATCACTTATGAACAAATCATTATTTTAATTTCAAGTTTATATTTCGAAGTTATATTACAAGTTATTTACTGTTGTCTTATACAGAGTATATCAAGACAAATGCGAAACTTTAAGGGGTGTATTCTTTGTTATTTGTCAACATTTTTAAAATAAGCTGAAGAGGTTGAAATAAACTATTTCTAATATTCGTTAATTTGACAAAAAACTGGAGCAACGGTATGGAAAAAATGGTTAGATTTGTATATTTAGAACGTTTTTATGACTTGCAATTTTTCCATTAAATTCATTATTTGAAGTTAAAAATAAAATGTAAATCATTATGTATTGGGACCAAAAAAATATTTTAGCAAAGAAGCTGTTCGCCTTAAAAACAGTTTTATTTTCTACTACTGTAAAATATTTTTACAAACGACATATAAAGATAATTGATCGACAAACATGTTTTAAGCTACCCTTCCTAAATCTTCCTTAAAATAAAAAGATTAACAGATGGGAATACATATTATACCGTATGATCAAAAAAAAACGGCGTCCAGTTGGCTGGGAAATGGCAATCGATGACATTTCCCATATAAATTTACATTTAAAATGACAGCGATCTTCATTTCATAGCCATCGCTGACGCCGTTTTTCGATCATATGGTATATCAAATAAAGTATTATTAGAAAAGCTCACTAGATTGTTTTCTAGTAAAAAAGACCTTATTTTGTCACAACAGGTGACATTTTTTTGTTTTAAATCAAGTAGGTTTTAAAAAAACTACAATAGGTAAAAAAGTTTCTAAACAAATAGAATATCCAAATTAATTTATTTCCAATGACAATAATGTGTAAGTTTGTAATTAAAGTTAGTTAATAAGAATAATAGGTGTAGTATATTTCAACATCATTCACTGGTTTTAAAAACATCAAAAAATATGCATGTGTTTTCATAGTATAAATATGAATTGTTCCTTACGTTAGTTCTTATTGATATAAAAGCAAAAAAGTATAAAAATTAAAAGCTGCAATTTTATTAAAAATATGTTATTCTAACACATATTTTTTTAACTGTAATGTTCTAAATTGATCAAAATATAAATGTTATTTTTTTCCTAGGAAAAATAAAACTTCATAACTTAATTTTCATAAATAAATTTATTTCTATTAAATTTTATAGAGCAATTTGTATTACAGTTTTATTTCACATATTTTGTAATACTGCTTCGGTGCAGTGCCCCATTGCTATCTGTGAGTTCATTTAAATTATGACGACATTACTGATCTAGAAGATAAAAATGTACCTAAGTACCTTAATATTATAATCAAAAATGGCTAATTTTGTAAATTATTACCTATAATGGTTAGATGAGTTATGAATGTAAACTTCTTTATGCTGGTTTCTTGAAGTTAGGTGATATCCTTGTGATATTAATTATCTTCGCATCATCATGGGCTCTAATCAACTGTAGAGTATTCGTCAATCAACCTGAAATATGTAATATTATTTACTTTATATTTACGAAAAATTATCATTTTCTTTTTATGAAAATTTTGAGTTTAAATTTAAATGTGATTAGAATAAATATACATCAGTATTTAACATTTTATCATAGGTAATATTCCATATATTACCTGTGATTTTATGCTAAAATGTTTAGTTTTGTGAAAATATTACTTACCTATAATATTTAAACGAGTTCCTGAATGTACAATTTGTTTATAACGATGTCAAGTTCTAGTATCTTGTATTGGTTGTCTAAAACTGTTTGATTTTGCTTAGTTATATTGTATCCTATATTTTATTAAACAAACTCAAAATAATGTTTATAATTACCTTCATCAGCCTTCATATCATTAAAGTTATTATTATCACTTATCATTATCAGTCATTATGTAGTTATTTGATCATTTGTTGCTCTGTTTGTTGTTTGTTTTCAAAGATCATTTTTGAGGTTAATGTCATATGAAACTTTTCGTAATTAGGCAACTGGTAAATGACGCGTGACGATAAATTAATAAAATAATAATGAACGTATTAAGTTAAATATTTATATATTAATTTAACATATCTATTTCAAGTTTATAAATTACATCATTTTTAATTTGGTATACCTTTAATTTTATATATTCATAATGAAATGAAATATATTTCGATATAACGTTTGGCAACCACGCAACTGAAGTGCAAGCGACATCTGTGCAAGAGAAGCAAAACCTCCCAAAAAAGTGAGAAAAGAAATCTAAAAATTTCAGATTATTCAAATGTCACTCCAATATTTTTCCAAATTGGAGTGAAATTAGGGTGACAATTTTTAACACAAGGAGCCATCTGGATTATGTGTTATCTGTGCTTATATGATGAAATATCGCAACAGGCCAAAGAAAAAAAATATCTTAAGACATTAACCTGATAAATGATACTTTATAAAAATATCAAAATTTTTTCATCACAGGCATCATTTAAACACACTTTTTGCGTCTCTAAAGAGGGATTTCTGTTGCAGCCATCATAGCTATCACATAGCTAACAAGGAGAAGACTTACTAAATGCATTTTGTCCGTTTTTTAAGATTTTCAACCAAAAGTGGCATTGCAAACTACATAAACAGAGTTACTATATGATGCAAAACGACGTGTTAAATACATTTTATTCCATTCGAATTAAATGGCGAAAATACTTTAGACTTTCTATGAGCTGTATGTCCATTGGCGGTAGACAAACAGAAGTATGTCCTTGTGTGCTGTGGACATGCTGCTGTTTGTTTGTCACTGTCAGATGAAGAGTTTTTGTAAGTTTCTTGCAAAAAGCGTGGCAAGTTTTCTTTGTGTGCCAAAATAAAAAAAAAAATGGACAAAATGCATCTTGATTCACCTGATCCTCAAATGTCAAAATAGTTTTATACTGGACATTCTGAAAAAATTCGAAGAATTCGGCGTAAACTTTTTTAACAATAACTATAAAAAAAGAATTTGCTGCAAAATTTATACATGGCACACGATGTAACATTAATTTCCACACACTAATAATGCTAATATCTTACATTGTTTGTTAATGGCCGCTTGACGTCTGCGCTTAAGCCTTTCAATAATAGTCAAAGTAGTAGTGGGCTTCTAAAAATGCAAAATAAAAAAACAGACTCTTGAGTAAATTCATTTTAACTAAACAGAAAACCGCTATTAAAATTCAAAGACTATAAAGAAACGTTAAATTAAAAGATGTAAAATGTCTTTTAGGTTCTTACTGACTTTGGACACTGAGCCTGAATTTTTACTTGTTCCGTACTTTGAGTCACTAGCTTCCCTAAAAGTCAATGAGTCATAAAAAATGTTTTTTCAAATAACACTGGTCTGCAAAAACATTTTTTTTCTTAAGCTCTAGCACCATTCTTGTCGATTCTTATGTAAAATGACGCCCTTACACCAAATATAGCTCTCGTTTACTTCTAACACCCACAATTTTTGGGGGAGACCCTCTCTATTTCTAATTAAATTTTATTTTAATTTTCAATTCAGGTGTTCAATAAACGTCGAATTTTGGATAAGCGATAAAATCTTGTTTCTTGATCTTAGCCTCACCAAACCAAGGCGAGGAAATTTAGTATTTAAAAGTTGAAATGCGCCATCAATCTTGCCCGTTGCTTTCACAAACTCTTTAATAAAGCCTAGTTTGATTTGCAAAAGCGACAAGAAAACTACACCCCCTGATACACAAGAGATCTGTAAGATAGCGGTGATTAATCCCCCTCCCAAACGTTCTACAACTACACCCCCTAAAAAAACTATCGCCTTCCTAAAAAAGTTCATCTTTTCAGAACACTTAATATCTCTAGTACCCCAAAAATAATAACGTAGAAGGCAAAACAATACTTTTCATCCTACCAAACTATTAAAAATATGGGTAAGGGTTGACCCCAAAAACGAAGGGTGATGGAAAAAAAACGAAGTTTAGGAGTTCATATTTCGATTCAGTAGGGCATTTTACATATAAGTATAGACAAGAATTATTTGTACCTATTCTTGACATCATTCACAACTTTGCGTATACGTATTATATGTTTTGTTATAGCAAAATAAAAACACTAAATCACCGCAATACACCAAAACACTTTTACTTTTACACTGGACGCGCGTTTCGCTAACCATGTTAGCATCATCAGCAGATGGTTATAAACTAAAGTACAATCTACAAGTTGAGCGTTTATATACTCGCCCAGTGGGCACCGAGTGGGCGTGGCAAAATCTAGCCAACCGAGTCAGAGCCAACTGAGCGTAACAGTTAGATTTCCGCCACTAGAGTAGTAGGAACAAAGAACTTGAAGGAATTGGACCGTTGTCTCTGTTCATACTATCTTTACATTTATTAATTCTGATGCTTTCATATGCATCTAATTGCCTGTAATTTGAGACTTGTTTAATTAATTTAAAAATTATTAAGATCTATACAATGTTCTTTATAAACAATATGTTCGGCAACGCAAGATTTATCCGGTCTACCATATCTTATCTGAGCTAAATGTTCTTTAAATCTAGTTAATATTGATCTTCCAGTTTGCTTAACATATTTCTGATCACAATCTTTACAAGAAATTTCATAAATACCCCACCTTTCCAGTAGAGGTGTTTTATCCTTCGGATTACCTAATAATTGTTAATTTATTATTAGCACTATACACAAGTTTATAATTGACATTCTTAAAAATTCCATTTAGACCACGGGATAACTCTCTATCAAACGGTATCGACAAATACTTAGACGTATCTTTCTCCACTTGAAAAGTCGAATTAATTCGACTTCCGTTTGATAGAGAGTTATCCCGTGGCCTAAAAGGAATTTTTAAGAATGTCAATTATAAACTTGTGTATAGTGCTAATAATAAATTACAACAATTATTAGGTAATCCAAAGGATAAAACACCTCCACTGAAAGGTCGGTATTTATGAAATTTCTTGTAAAGATAATGATTAGAAATATGTTGGGCAAACTAGAAGATCAATATTAACTAGATTTAAAGAACATTGCTCAGATATGTAGACCGATAAATCTTGCGTTGCCAGCATATTGTTGATAAAGAACATTGTATAGATCTTAATAGCCAAAATTAATTAAACAAGTCTCAAATACAGGCAATTAAATGCATATGAAAGCACATCAGAATTAATAAATGTAATAGTATGGTGAACAGACAACGGTCCATTCCTTCAAGTTCTTTGTTCCTACTCTGGTGGCGGAAATCTAACTGTTACGCTCAGTTGGCTCTGGCTCGGTGGCTAGTTTTGCCACGCCCACTCGGTGCCCACTGGGCAGTATATAAACGCTCAGCTTGTAGATTGTGCTAGTTTATAATCATCTGCTGATGATGCTAACATGGTTAGCGAAACGCGCGTCCAGTGTAAAAGTAAAAGTGTTTTGGTGTATTGTGGTGATTTAGTGTTTTTATTTTGCTGTGTAACACCAAAGGTTCCAACCCTCAACTGTAATGTTTTGTTATATTTGAAGATGTGAGTGATCAAGAATAGGTACCCAGGGCGGATTTTCATGCAGACCAGTGTAACTTTAAGTTTTTTAAGAACTTACGGATAGACCGGTCTCATTTCAACATCCTGATTGCTATCGCTATCAGAGCTGCTCGAATGAGAAGAACTTTCATCACTTCTCTTCCTTCCATAGTATCTAGGCAGAATTTTTGGTGGTGTTGGCGCTTGTGGAGTTCTACTTCTACTTTTGGTCGATCTGGAACTTCTCGAACGCGACCTCCGATACGATTTAGAAGAAACTGAGCTGCTTGATAATGACGACGATGATATAGTAATCCGGCTGTAAGATCTTGACCTAGAAGAAGCAAAAAAGATGATCGATTTAGCCTGATATGGCTATTACATGGGGAATTTTGTTTCTGGATAATTTCAGATGCTGTCAGTCCATATACTCGCGGACCATGGGTTTTTAGATTATTGTAGTACGCTAGCTTTTAACTTTTCGGAGGTCGTGCGCGGATTCACAGTCCGCATCAGTTCCCTATTTTTCCCGATATTTCCAAAAATCTGGAAACATCAGATGCTGGGCCGCTTAGAACCGCTTAAAACCAAATAAATAGTATACAGACTAGATCAAAGAAAAATTTAAATCTAGTTTTTTTATGAAGGGTCGATTCTAGTAAAAATTCAAAACATTTTTATATGCTATACTCTATTTATGGTTGGTATGATACCTGTTAATATACTTTAGAATTTCGATGGTAAAAAATAAAAAAAGCATATTTAAAGTTTCTTTTTGATCTGCCCTGTATAATCTTTTTTTTTTCTTCCTCTACAATGTGCGAACACTATACTAATTACCCTACTGTAATTATCAATAATATTTTAAATGCATTATTTAATATTAGAATATTTAATAAGCTTATGAACAGGAACTTCGCTTTTTAGTTAACCGGCCTTTTCAACATTTCTGAAAACACTATTTTTTAATTGGTAAAACGTAAAAAAATCATTAGATCTGAGAGCCCTGCTGAAACTGGTCGTTTATCTGGACGCACCAATGTACGCAATATATCCGATCACCCGACGCGACGGCCAGGTCGCTACGACCTAACCGTCAGTGCGTTTGAGGTCTGACAGACAAACCAAGGTCATTATTGTTACCGAAAGTACCAGGAATGATTCTGAACCCAAGTTATATTGACGTTAAGTTTCTGATTTACGTACCTCCTTTTGGATCCGCTTCCTCTTCTTGATCTCGACCTACTGAGGCGCGACCTCGACCTGCGCACTCGCGATCTCGACCTACTGTGCGCGCTTCTCGATCTGCTTATTCGAAACCGCGATCGGCTTGAACTCCTCCTTCTCACCGATCTAGATCTGCTTCTCGACTTGGACGATACACGACGTCTCAATCTGTCCCTAGAGAAACTCCTCCTCGGCCTCTTAGATTTACTTCTGGATCTAGAACGGCGATTTCTGCTGCTCGAACGACGCCGCGATCTGCTTCTCGATCTTCGCGGTCTGGATTTGCTTCTAGACCTTCGAAGAGTTCGGGGCTTACTTTCGGACCGACGTTTTCTATTGTACAATGTTTCTCGACTACGAGATCTATTTGATTTTCTGTCCAAATTAACCACGTTCTCTGTACTAGTATCGGTTTTCTTCGATTTTCCGAATTTGACTTTTTCAGCATAAGTCGGCTTTGAAGCTGTAGAGGGCTCTTCATCATCTAAAACGATATACAGAGGGGGTGTAGTGATGGGCATTACGATTCGTTTTAGTGAATCGAATCACACGATTCAATTTCTCATATTGAATCTACTCCTACGATTCGTTTATTTGAACGAACCACATGTACAATTTACGTTTGAAAAAACAAGAATCGTAACTGGCACTACCGGCGATAATTTGGTCGGACAATTACTTGGACCAGAAAAAGAAATATACAGTTCTTTCATTTGTTTTTCAACACTTTATGACACTGACGTAATTGGATTGATAATTTTACCAATAATATTAAATTATCAATCCAATTCTTAATATACTATTTATTAAAGACTTCTTAATACCAATTTAAGGGTCATATTTTAATTCCGATTCAATAATCATAATAAATAGTCTATAATACCGCATGATCGAAAAAAAATGGCGTCCGGTTAGCTTGGAAATGAACATCGATGACATTCACCATATAATTTTACAAATAAAATGACAGCGATATTCATTTTATAACCATCGCTGATGCTGATCGCTTTATCATATTAAGCAGAGGCTAACAATATTTATTTGAAGTTGCATAAAATACGATTTCGTCTTTTAGTACGACATTTAATGGTTTATAGTCGGTAATAGTATTTTAACCTAATTAAACTTTTAGCCAAATTTTCATACTATCCTCGGTAGAGGCAATATTAAATACTGTTCGTTTTCAAATTGTCATCCTGTATGTATAGTAGATATTTAGGAAAAAAAACTTTTCACTTAAACTGCAGGAATATAATTACAATATTTTTATGATTAAATTTTATTATAATGAAATAGTATATAAAATTTATATGATCTATACTAATATATAAAATCCTTGAGTGACTGACATACTGATTAATCACGATCCTACTCAAACCACTCAACGTAAGAAGCTCAATTTTGGCAGACAGGTTGATTCTAGGGTGTAGAGGTTCGATAAGAAGGGATTTTTCGAAATTCCAGTTCCAACAACCCCTCAAATAGTACAATATTTTTTATTTAAAAAACGGTCAAGTTTCCGAAAAAACGCTTAAACATCTATATTTTATTTTGTTTTTTTTTTACATATTTTAAGATTTTTCAAAATGTATACAGGGTGTTTCGAAAAATCTGGTCATTGATTAATCTCGATCCTGCTTAAAGCGCTTGACGTAAAAAGCTGATTTTTGGAAAACAGATTTTTAAAACAGATTTTAGGGTGTAGAGGTTCAATAATAAGGAATTTTTCGAAACTCGAATTCTAAGGGGGTGAAACATGGGTGAAACGATCCCTCAAATATTAAAATATTTTTTATTTAAAAACCGGTGAGTTTTTCGGAAAAACTCTTAAACACATATATTTTATTTAGTTGTTTTACATATTTTAAGATTTTTTATAAATTTATACAGGGTGTTTCATAAAATATGACCAGTGAGTAATCACGATTCTGCTTAAACTGCTTGACGTGTAAAGCTGATTTTTGGCAAACGGATTGACTGTGGGGTATAGAGGTTAGAAGGAGGGGTTTCACGAATCTTAAATTCCAAGAGGGTGAAAACGCCCCTCAAATATTACAATATTTGTTATTTAAAAAACGGTTAGTCTTTCGGGAAAACCAGTGGCGTAGCGTGAGTTAGGGGCGCCCGGGGCGGAGAACCTCTAGGAGGGAAGATTGCCGCCCCTACAGAATCATTTAAAACAATTTTTTATCGCCCCGCAGGTACTTGGAAGGTCGCCACCGCCCCCGCCTTGCTACGCCACTGGGGAAAACGCTTGGATAAGCATAATTTATTTGGTTTTTTACATATTTTGAAATTTTTTAAAAAATCATACAGGGTGTTCCAAAAAGTTGGGTAATTTCTTAACCACGATTCTGCTTAAACTGCTTGAGGTAAAAAGCTTATTTTTGGCAAACGGATTTTTCGAAAGTCAAATTCCAACGAGATGAAACTACCCCCCAAATATTACCAAGTTATATAATAATATCGCCACATTGTTTTTTCTCATGCTGACATAGATGTGAGAAAATTTTATACAGTTTGTATGTTAATGGAAATTTTTGCTTTGCTTTATCATCACTATTACAAATGATTAATACGACGCGAACGAAGTCGCTGGTACACGCTAGTATGTTAATATAACAGTAGTATTGCTTGATGAGTAATACCACAGACTAACCTAAACAGATGCGACAAACAATGCAAATGTGAAAATTACATTTTGGCGAATGCGCCAGGCAAATTTTTCCGTTAGATTTGTCATATAGGCGAATTTTACAGCGGACCAGCAAAGTAACCTCCATTCGTTTACTAAGAAGCCACGCCTCCTTTGTGTAGAAAATAGAGAGGGAATTTTGTAGTTCGGAATCAAATAGAGATGATTTTAATTTCATTAGTTTTTTTTCAATTTTTGATACATTCACAATCTATACCTACTAATATATATAAAATTCTTAACCACTCAACGTAAGAAGCTCAATTTTGGCATACAGGTTGATTCTAGGGTGTAGAGGTTCGATAAGAAGACATTTTTCGAAATTCCAGTTCCAAGGGGGTGAAACCATCCCTCAAATATTACAATATTTTTTATTTAAAAAACGGTCAAGTTTCCGAAAAAACGCTTAAACACGTATATTTTATTTTGTTTTTTTACATAATTTAAGATTTTTTAAAAATGTATACAGAATGATTCGAAAAATCTGGTCATTGATTAATCACGATCCTGCTTAAAGCGCTTGACGTAAAAAGCTGATTTTTGGAAAACGGATTGACTTTAGGTTGTAGAGGTTCGATAAGAAGGGATTTTTCGAAACTCGAATTCTAAGGGGGTGAAACCACCCCTCAAATATTAGAATATTTTTTATTTAAAAACCGATAAGTTTTTCGGAAAAACTCTTAAAAACGTATATTTTGTTTTGTTATTTTACATATTTTAAGATTTTTTAAAAATTTATACAGGGTGTTTCATAAGATATGACCATTGAGTAATCACGATTCTGCTTAAACTGCTTGACGTTTAAAGCTGATTTTTGGTAAACGGATTTACTGTGGGTGCAGAGATTCGATAAGGAGGGGTTTCTCGATTCCAAGAGGGTGAAAATGCCCCTCAAATATTACAATATTTGATATTTAAACAACGGTTAGTCTTTCGAGAAAAACGCTTGGACACGCATAATTTATTTTGTTTTTTACATATTTTGATTTTTTAAAAAATCATACAGGGTGTTCCAAAAGTTGGGTAATTGATTAACTACGATTCTGCTTAAACTGCTTGACGTAAAAAATTATTTTGGCAAACAGATTTTTCGAAAGTCAAATTCCAACGAGATGAAACTACCTGTCAAATATTACCAAGTTATATAATAATATCGCCATATTGTTTTTTTCTGAGGCTCAGGACATAAATGTGAGAACATTTTATCCAGTTTGTATGTTAATGGAAATTCTTGCTTTGCTTTATCATCACCATTACAAATGATTAATTCGAAAATATAAATACATTTGCAATATAAGAGATAAAAATTTGTTGACACACCCGACCTCCGTTTTCCGTTTATTATAGGCGCTCTGTGCTCTCAGCTCCATTGGAACGAACTATAATTATTATAATTATCCCTAAATTTAATCTCCCAAAAAGGGAAAAAGTCGGTACAAACATTCCGTAAAAATTTGTTGTGGGAGTTTAATATTTTGACAAAGGTAAATTCATCCCCTAAAGAGGTGAAATTAGTGGTGGAAATTTATATAAAAATTTGTAAAAATCTCGTCCGAAGAATATACAATAATTTTGTTATTAATAATTTCAAAAGGTTTCTTAAGTAACGCAATGACTATATGAGAGGCGACTATAAAAATTCATCCCCGAGGAGGGTAAAATTAGGGCTGAACAATTATAAAGCAAAACATAAAATAAAAACCTGTTCATTCAAAACATTACACAATAAAGGTTTCTCTAGGGATTCAATAAAAAAATCCATCCCTTAAAATAAGGGAAAAATGATTGCAAATATTCGTTAATATTTGGTATAGAAGTATGATATTTCGGTGTGGCATACTTAACGAAGCGTTTTCTCGAAACTCATTTCCTAAAGGGGTAAAATTAAGGGCAAAATTTTATGAAAATTCGTTACTACTATGTGGTTTAAAAGTACATAATATTTATGAATTAAAATTTGGCCAAATATGCTTAAGTATAATTGGGAAGCAATAGTATAGAGTAGAAGAAACGATTTTTGAAAATTCATCATCTCGGGGATGATAGGGGTGAAAGTTGGCATGAAAATTTATTACTACCTGGCATAGAAGTATAATATTTTTACAAAGTATATGTAGTTAATAAGTCGATTATTTGATCGAACTGTATGTGTATTTAAATTCACTTTTTTCGTATTAGAAAATCTAGGTATTTTCGGAAAAAACACCCACAGTTTTTGATATAATTTAGTCCTAGAAAATCTAAAAAATGTATCTTCTTCAGTTTATAGTGAAATGTTTTCTCATCCATTGAAAGCACACTTTTTTAAAAGCATTTTAAATAAAATCAAAACAAGAAACTTAAACTGAATAGCTGAATTAACTAAAACAATACTAAGAACACCGTGAACTAACTAAATGTAAACCAACAAAACCCAACAGAAAATTAAAATCGGAAACAGCTAATAATAATGATGTATGTAATATCCATGTGAAACAACTGAAGAAACTGACTTAAAAATCCTCTGAAAACCTTCAATATTCCCATCTTAGATTCCCATATCCTTTTTCTAGGACACTGTTGCCAATTCTACTTACCAATTTGTATAAACTATATCGGTATCACGGCACATGCAAACAATATGCCGTGTCTGTATCATAAAAGTACCTATTTGCTATATAAAAGATCAGCTGCTAAATTTTAAATCAATTTAAAATATCAAATAAAATTATAGTAGTGCATAAAACTATTAACAAGCAGGATATAAAAATAATTAAAGATAATTTAAGCTGGCTAATAGTAGATAGACTTTAGATTAATATTTGAAATTAACAGCTGGAAGTACAGCTAAATACAAACGGCAAGCTGACAACAAAGATCCTATTCTTTAAGAATTGTATATTTCTGATATTTTATATAATTTTTAATTTTAAAGAAATCGTCATTTTCTTTATACATATGTATTGATCTTAACCGATTGTTAAAATTTGTAAATTTCTCATACTTTACAAATAAATATTAGCTGATATTTCCTAACATCATGTAATAGTTATTTATTATTATCCAGGAGAAAGCGCTAATACAAGTACATATAACATTTAATTCTCACATAAAAAAAGTTCAAGCTGGCAATCTCGCTTTGACTTTATAATCGTGCGGCGGCTGCGACGACCAGACGAGACGGCGCGGTGTATCAAAGGCAAGGTTAAAGGCGAGAAAGAACGAAAGAAATGGAAGCTTAGGGAAGGGGCGAGTGCGGGAACGATTTGAAGTCACCACGGCTGTTTGTTTGGCCGAATATTTTGCCTTCATCGACGGTATCGCCGCCCTGTCGTCGCACTTCCGAACATAGGTCTTTTTGAACACAAAATTTCCCATAAGGTGTCGCACCTGTTTAAGTTAGTTTGTGGTAATACTGGTAACATTATCAATATATCCGCTTGTGAAAATTATTAATTGACCCGATGTGAACAAAAGTATGGTCCACGCACATTATTTAAAAGCAATGTTCTTTTATTGTTGAAAAATCTGCAAACGATACTTTTATTAGCACCCAGGATGGTTTGATATAAATCCATTCAACTAATATTTATTACGCAGGGGATTTAGACAATTAAAACTAGAAAAATAAAACCAAATTACACTAAACTTTGCTACAGACAACAGTATAAATGTTACTTTACCATAACCAAAAATAATAAATAATTAGGGGATAGTGTTAGCGGCTGTTTAAGAACGGTGAGGTTTACAAAAAAATTGTAAGAGACCTTTTTTGTAGAGAATTCAATTTTCTATAAATATATGAGATGAGATATGAATTTTTCTATGTAATAATAAGGAAAAACTAGAAATCTGAAAGGCGGAGGACCTTCTTATCAAAATTAAGAGCTCATACTTTTTGATATAGAATTTATATATAGATAGAATTTTTTGAGGTGTCCACAAACCTTTTTTTCAGAGTATAAAGTGAAAAAAATAGTAGATTTTTTTGACCCACCCTAATTTACAGGATGTTTCAAATTCGGCTCTCACCACTGGGATTCCGGAAACTAGAAGAGACTTAAATAAAAGGCTTATATTGGGCCAAAGTTGCCTGTTAGTGAGTCCAATAGTTAATCCGTTTAGTAATTGAACTTATCTTTGTCATTTCAGGAAATATGACTGAAAAATTGAATTTTCCGATTTTCGCTTTTATTTTTTTACAACTTTACATTGATAGAAAAAATCTACAAATACATTCTCAACAAATCTTTTTCAGCTTTATTCTTTATAATTTTTAGATTTTTATTAACGAATTTAATCATCTAAGACGGTTCGTTTTTTCGGGGATCATCATCAACTTTGTTTTTTTTAGTGAGTGGGGAGAGTGGGTAAAAGATAGATTATGGCTGGTGCTCCAAGGGGCTTACCAACTTGCAGGTCTTAAAAAAATTATAATTTATTTTGATATGAGTGTATATTATTTTTAGTGTAGTTTAAAATTCGAGAAAAATTATTTTTTGAAAATAGATTTTTGTCTGAAAACGTTCTATCCTTTTAAATCTTTTATAATTAGTGTCAATTTCGACGAAATTTCGAAGTTTTATGTCAATTATGCCAATGCCCAGCCGTCTTCGGCGTTGTTTATTTTTCTCGATCATACAGTACTTGATTTTGTGAATTGCCTAGTGTTTAATAAATACAATTTCTCATGAAGCAGTGTGTTACCTATCTATGTAATATAATTGATTTTTTAAAGACTCTATTATATTTACAGTGAGCTTTTTTAAGTTTTCATAGTGAAAATTTAGGATATTTTTGATAGATCTGTAGAAGAAAATCATAATAGATTTGTCAAAATTTGTGACTTTTATGTGTTTGTTTGACCATGGCTGGATTATTTTAAGTTTTCAGTTAATTTGGTATTTTTGTATCTCTCCTAACTTAAAAAAAAGCCAGTTGGTATAAACTATTAAAAATGAACAATTTGCTAAATTTTATGGAGTTCTTTAAAAAGTTTCAAATAAGCTTTTTTCTAAAAATAAAATAGAGAACTTTTATCATCTTTTTAAAATTTACAGGATTTCCTATGATTAGGTTTATAAATACATTATACCTCCAAATGATGTAATATAAGTTATTTTTCCAGCATCAGGAGAAGGTGTCCTTGAAGGTGATTGGCTATAATCCCTTAATGATGGATTTGTTGGAGATTCTTTTGCGGCATAACTGGGAGGACTAATTTTCCTGTTTGCCAACCTTTTTTCTCTGTGAGCCCTTTTTTTTAAAATAGAATACTTATCAAATCATATTCATATAACACTAAAAACAAAAACAAACCTCCGTTCCCTTCTAGATTTTCTGCCTGAAAACAGTGATTTTTCTTGCTCTTCCTCCTTAGCTAACTTATAGCTTTCGGCCTCTTCTAAATCATTGGTTAAAAATGAATAGAAATCATTTCCCGACATGCCAAAGTGTTGCCCATGTTTATTCATTTCATGTGCTTGAGCTGAATCTATTTTGGATACATTGATTGCTAAGTCTACATCAAGATCACTGTCTGAGTTGTCACCATCTGAATTTTCTTCTGGAGAGTCTACAACTGGAGCTGTCTGAATTGCTGTAAAATATAAATTATTTAGACTGTAATCAAAACGTGGACTTTATTGTTCGCTACCTGTTCCGTCCTCATAGTTAAATCCAATAGCAACACCTACACCTTTAGGTTCTTTTTTATTTTTGTTCTCAGTGTAACCAAATTGCTCTTCCAAATACAACTGTTTCAAAAACTTTTCCTCAGATACTCCAAGGTAAGCATTCTGGGCGATAATCCTATACCTTTCATAATTCAGTTGGCGATCTTCTTGAGTAGGGCTTGGGGGGTCCTCCTTCTTAATTGGGGGTATATAATCTAAATGAGCCCTTACATCGAATCGGTCAATCAGATTGTCTGCTTGACCCTGCCAAGGCATCCTGTCAATACAACATACATAATTTAAAAAAATGTTAACCCAATAAATAAATAAAATTACATGACAGCACTATCAGCTGCTGCTGCTATAACAGGATCCAAGTGAATTTTACATCGTCTACCGTGTATTTGTAAGAACTGTGTAGGATCTGCTTTCTGTAATTAAATAAAATTATAATAAATATGATTATATGGATAAAAAACACCTTACAATTTTTTCGTAAAAGTCTCTACGTCTTTCTGCTCTCCTCCGGTAGTCTACTAACATACCGCGAATTTTTCGTTCTTGACGCCTTGCTTCGTGCCACATTGTTTTTATTGGTAATTATGATTTATATTTTTAAGAGCTGAACTTATTATTTTAATTTGATTTTATTTTAATCAATTACATTTCTTAAAAAAAAACGAATCAAATTTTGAAAGGTGACAGGTCTGTGACATGTGACATGTCTGTGAAGAGGGTGAAGTCAGTAATATGCATATACGTATTACTTTTTACAAATATACTCAGGGTTCCCTATTTAACCCCGTGTGCAATTTCTGTGCCGTAAGAAAAAGACAACATAACCCAGCTCCATATTAAAACCAGGGGGGTGACAGTAAACCGGAAAATTGGAAACAGTTCTGGCGCGGTCTTACCCAGGCAGAAAGCATGGCCTTCTAGACTGTCCTAGACAAAAATCTGAATATTTCTATATGATTTTGATTTCTGTCAATTTCAGTTACGGAACATTTTTATGCACGTCGGCGTCCTCTTCTTTTGTCTGTGTCAGCCATGTGTTTTTTGATATTTTTCCAACTCCATGATAATGTGTTATAAATAATAAAAATATAAATAAAATTGAAGGTTAGGGGAAATGTCAGTCAACCACTTCCATTTAAAAACATCGACCAATGAAAACTTCTTCAGGTGAGGCATGCTCTGTTAAATGAATATCCGGGTGAAATAGACTTATGCAGAATTCCATATTGTTCTTTCACTGTTTGGGCTTCACTTTTTGGAGATTAGGCTGAGTATCATAGCTGAGTATATTTGTAAAAAGTAATACGTATATGGTAATATGGTCGTCAGTAAGCAAGGTCAGTAAGTATGTCAAAGGAGTCAAAAGTCTTTCCATCAGTTTAGTCTTGTGGTTTAGTCATGTTCAAGTATCGAAACCGATAAAGGAAAATCGATACGAATAATTATTGGGTACGGTCAGTTTTTTCATACATAAATAAAGTAAATATGTGCGTTTTTACTATACAGTCCTTGCGTGTTTACTATGTTTTTACGATATTTCGTATCGAATGTCGAAAACCAATTAAAAAAAAAACAAAAAATAAATTAGTGCATGGAGATGTAGAATGTGATTCAAAAAGTTCAGTGGCGTGGTGGCGTTAAACGTTTTTTTTTCATAGAAACTATCCAGATTAACTATTTCTTTCATAGAAAAAGTGGCGTTTAACGTTTCTTTTCAGACTAATTAACTATCTCTTTTATAAAAAATTAACACGAAAAATGGGAAATAAAAAAAGTAATTATTTTTAACTTTTAGTTTTACGATGGCCGAATAGCCCTGGCAGCTAAGGCCGGAAAACTAGAGTACTACCAAAGAGTAGATTCTCTGGTAAGACCAGTCTAATTATAATCAGGGTTGTGTATGTAATAAATAAAGCTGGATCGAATATAATACTTCTATTTGCTGTCCTCCATTCGCGAATTTCAAGTTCCAGATTCCTGAGCTTCACGCCCTGGGCTACTCGAGAACGGTTCTGAAAGGAGCTGTGCGCGATAGCCTGGTGCCTCCATATGGCGCGGAACAGTTCTGAACTTTATGACTCAATTGACTGGAGTGAGTGTATCGCGTTCTTGAACTTCAGAGCTGCACAACGCACAACGCCGTGGCACAACTGCGTAAATGGAGGACACTTAAGGGAGGACAGTAATTGCCCATAGTAATTGGGCGCGTTCAGGGACAGTCAGCGGCTGAGTGGCTGAGTAAGCGGTTTCCCTAAACGGTCTCTTTTTACAAGCAAAAACAGTCAGCCGCTGAGTAAAATACTCAGCGGTCGGTCAGCCGCTGTGTTCCCTGAACGCGCACATTGCCTATTGCCTATGGCCTATTGCCCACAGAATATACTAACGCTATTGCCTCTGAACTTTCTTCTGAAATTTTTTTTTTATGTTGGCGAGCCTTTTTCTCCTTTTTGTTTTTACTTTTTTACGTTTTTACATTTCTTTGTCTTTGTCATTTTTGTCAATGTCATTTGTCAAACTGGCGTGTCTCCTTTAAATAAAATTTTAACTGAGATTTTGTTCTGAATTGAAATAAAAGTTTTTGTAAAAAGGAACGTGACAATGTCTAGTACATCTCAGAAACACAGAAATTTTGTTGCCGAACCCATGGGTGAGAAGCCCGTAACAGAATTAGCTGGTGTAGGCGAAGTACTTGGGGATCGACTAATTCAAGCTGGATTCGACAAGGCATGTATTGTTTTTATATATTATTAATCCTATATATCTTATTTTGTATAAAGCAAAGCTAATGAAAGGTTGATAATTGTTTCAGGCCTTTGTAGTTCTCGGTCAGTTTCTGGTTTTAAAAAAGAACCAGGATTTATTTAAGGAATGGATGAAAGATACATGTTCAGCAAATTCAAAGCAATCAACCGACTGCTGGCAATGCCTTAACGATTGGTGTGAAGAATTCTTGTAAATATTTTTAAATTGTATTTATAATCGATAGATCTTTGCCAATAGCCTTAAGCATAAAATATTAAGGTATATATATTCAAATAATATACATGTATAAAATAAATGTAAAATGTAAAAGAAAAAATGTGCCTAAATGTTTATATTTTAATAATAAATACTCTTGTTAAAATGCTTTTTTTTGTAATATGCCTACAAACCAGAGCTGCAAACTTTTAATATTTTATTTTTCCAAAAAAAAATTTTGTATTGATTTTAGGTTTCTGACGTTTACATGATAAATTAGTCACTTATTATTTTAACATTATTAGTCAGGTCAGATCTATGATTGGTACCGTTGACTGGTTGTGTACTTACTTAAAATTTTAATTTTATATGAATCAATTTGAATTTGAAATTCAACCAAATTTTTTCAATCCACATTTAATGGTGGGGGGAAATATAGGACTGGGAAGACTACTATGTAATATCGATACATTTATATTGAAACGTTTCGATAAGTTCATGAATATTTTATTTTGAAATGAAAATTGGGCAAAATAAGTTGCAAAATGTATACCAATAAATTACTAATAATTTCTCATATCGACTATACGGCGATCTAGCCAACTTCTGCCTTTCCTTCCTAGTGATAGCGATTTTTTGCTTTAAAGGGCAGATAAGGGATCAAAAAGTGTAAGAATGAATACAGTTATGCACGAGCTATTTTTCCAGTTATATAATTTTTTTTTAAATAAAAATATTTGAAAATAGAAATTAATGGTTTTATTTTGTTTTTATCCTTAACAACTTTATTTTTAAATTAACAGTGCTTAACAGTGCAAGTTAGAGTAAAATAGATATATGTATGGTATTTTCGGTAATACCATATTTTCCTTTTTATAAATCAGATATGTCCATATTTAATTTCTTTATTAGTCGTTTAAAAATTATGGAAAAGTAAATATTGAAATGACAAAATATATCGATACCTTATTAAATATGTTCCGTCCCTAGTGCAAATACTGGCATGTCCGCCATGATGGCAACAAAGATAGATCGATATAAAAAGTTCGTGAAAGAAAGAAACAAAGCGCCAGATGTTAATGGGTTGGTTAGGCAGTTGATTTGGAATATTTTTACTGCGGATTGCAGGATTAAACATTTCTTCAAAATAAATCCTTTAATATTATTCCTCTAGTTTTAAGTGACAGTGGTGTTATTTAACGAAATTATCAAATACATGGCCAAGTAAATTCAGAGACGTCTCGACGACTGGAAATTGAAAATAAAATGGCGATTTGAATAGAAATGGTAGACGTATGAATTCTGCTTTTGGACAATCTACAATGGAAGATACGTCGCTTAATCAGAACGGGGGACAAATGGGCTCGCAGGCTGCTAGTTCAGCCAACAATAAACAAAATGAGGAGCCCCAGCAGCAACAGAAAACTCATTATTCCATACCGGGAATATTGCATTTTATCCAACATGAATGGGCTAGGTTTGAGCTGGAAAGATCACAATGGGAAGTGGATAGAGCCGAATTACAAGTAAGGATCGCGATCAAAGTATGGTTTTAAAAGATTAAGCATTGTTCAGATTAAAGATTGATGTTTTTTTTTCTAATTCCATATTGTTGTTTTGTAAGTATTTCACTTTCTCAATTCAATAATTACCTATTCTTTAGATTGATCAATGTATATTTTTTTATAGTGTGAAGAGTGATGATAAATGATAAAAAACCAAGACCTTGCCTTAAGGTTTTCACAATTTTTTTGGCAATTTTTGCTTGGGTATAGAATTTTTCAATTAAATGCTCTTTTTTGTAATTAATATATTTGTGTAAAAATAGCATATTAAGTTGTAATAATGATACACTTACTACCACTACTATATGATCGGAAAAAATGTTGTTAGGTTGGCTTGGAAATGATCAGTGACATTCGTCATATAATTTTGATGGCAATCTTTATTTCCAACCTTACCCTGTTTCTTTTTTTTTTTTTCGTTGACATAGTACTTGCATAGTATGTACTATTCTACTACTTCACTTTCAAAATGGGAAATTATTTATATTAGATTGTTTTAACTGTCAAAATCAAACATTTAACACACATTTAACTTATTTATTATTATACGTTATACTGTGCATAATATTGAAATTTAGACCATATAAATAATTTTTTTTTGTCTCTCTATAATAACATCAATCTTCATATTCAAATTTACTCTGACGCCTTTTTTTATTGTATGGTAGGTATGTTTTAGTCCAGTTTCAAAAGGGGACACTATGTACATTAGATTTAATATATTGCACATATCTATTAAAATTTAGACGCGTTGTAAAATTGTTTTAAAGAGCTTTGAGTCTGTTTATATTTTGATCCTCCTCTCTTAATAATATTTTATGTTGTGCAATGATACCTTTCATCAATTTATTTTTATTATATAGGGGATTAAATTGGATTTTAGCGACAGTTATCAGATGATAGTTAACAACCTTTTATGTATAAAATAGATTTTCCACAAACGCATTGAAATCGTTGAACAATATATAACATAGGGGGTCCATTAGCAATAATAGAAATGAGAAGAGATACACTCATAATGACAAACCTTAGGGTTTGGTGAGAAAATAAATATATTTTAATTATCAACTGTAATGTGATCTTAAACATGTAACCTTTTATCCACACTTAAATCATAAAGACAGTTAATTGTAGATTATATGTTAATAATTATTATAGGTAATTTATTATTAATTATTCCATTATATGGCATCAATAAGTTTACTATTTTATGTTTTACTTCTTCTGTTTTTAACTTATAAACCAGGTCTCTGAAAATAATGGATACCTTTTTTAAATTTAAAGTTTGCTATATATTCTGTAAACTTTGCCATTGGCGACATATCATTTAAGGTTCCTTATTTTATTACACAATATTTTATTTATTTTTTCAATTATAGCATTCATTGTGTTTAGTGAAGTTGAAAAGAAAGAACATGGAATTTTACTAGAAAATTGTAATTTACGGTTTAATTTAATTTGTATACATACAAAGCTAATTGTGAAAATATCGTATGTTCTGAAAAAACGGTGTTCAGTTAGCTTGGAAATGACGATTGATGACATTCCGCATATAATTTTACTTATAAAATAACAGAAATCTTCATATCATAGTCATCGCTGACTCCACGTTTTTCCATCATATTGTAGGTTTCTTTGGTAATAATCATTAAATATCTGTAAACAATTTTCTCAGAATATTTTTTATTTGTGGCGTTATGCGTAGATTTTTAAAAGTCGCTTATTAAAGACGCTGGTATATAACCATAAATTTACATAAAACTACTTTTTGTAAATTTAGTTCTATTCTTTTAGTGTAGACAAAACGAGTTTTTTTAATAACGTTTATACCATTATGGCGGGTTCATTTCTTGAAAATAGTTCTTTCATACAAGGTTTATAGAGCTCCAAGCTCACAAAAAACTTAAGTCTGTTTTTGACTTAAATCGTTTTAGTAACTTAAGTCATTTGATTTTAAGTCATTGTTCGAAAGCTGACTTAAGATTTAAGTCTATTTCAAAATGATTTGTGATTTATATCTTTATTCCGAAATAGAAATAGATTTAAAAGACTTTTAAGAAATAGACTTAAGTAAGTCAACAAAAAGATTTATTTTTTTTTATAAAAGACTTCAAAAATATTTAAGTGTTAATATATAAGTTTTATAAAATGCTTACGTCAGATTTTTATATATTTTTATGATAAAATTTTAACAGCAGTTTCTTTTTCAAACTCCTAATGTAGTACACACCTAATCTTCTTAGTTCCTGAAATACAAGGCGAATTTTAGAATGTTGCATTTTTCGACCCTCTTCGTATTTTGATTTTAGTTGCGCCACTGAATTTTACTTAGAAATCTCTTTGGAACTCGATTTTCACTTTTTCGATAAGTTATAATGGCCGAGATATGAGGGGTGTCGAAAAATGGAACAATTTCAATTTCGCCCTGTATTTCAGGAACTATGAGGGCTATGACAAAAAATATGTGTGTACCATTTTTAGTTTCAAAAAAGGAGTATAGTAATGCGAAAACCGCATCTTTATACTTCTGCTCATAACGAGAAACCCAGTAAAACACGCGAAAATGGGTCATCCTGTACAAAGTATCGCAAAATTTTAAGTTCTGTTTTTTTTTGTTCTTTAGACTTTTATGTTTATTTTTTTTATTGTTGATTATATTGAATTAATTGTAAAACTGAATGATCTCATCAGTCAGGCCAGACTTTCTCCTTAATTCGGTTGAAGTAAACCGTTCGTTTTTTTTGTCTAAAACATTATGTGTAGGCAGGACTTTATTAACTTACATTACTTACTGATTTTTTTATAACAGTAGTAAGAGTATCTTCTTTGTAATATATCTCTATTAATAAATTTTATTTCTTTTAATTAGGCTAGGATTGCATTTTTACAAGGCGAAAGAAAAGGCCAAGAAAATCTGAAAAACGATCTGGTACGGCGCATTAAAATGTTAGAATACGCCTTGAAACAGGAGAGAGCAAAGTTTCATAAATTAAAATACGGTACAGAACTTCAGCAGGGCGATATGAAACCTCCCGTCATCGATGAGAATGGCGAATCGCAAATTGACCAGGATCAAAGCTATGTTTCAGTGTCAAATTCCACTTGGAAACAAGGAAGACAGCTGTTGAAACAATACTTACAAGAAATCGGTTATACTGATAGAATTATCGATGTCAGATCGACCAGAGTGCGAGCATTACTCGGTTTAAACAATAATAATGGAGATCAGGAAGAGAATCATAATAGTGGTTCGGTGAACGGGAATGAATCTAACAAGAGGGCCAGTGAAACGCAAGGTATGTTTTTAAGTATTTTCATTTAGAGTTATGACAACAATGTGTGGTATTAGGGGGACCCTTATTTTGATAACTTATCTTTATTTTGACAGTTATAGTGTCATAATAAGCGTTTATTACCTAATAACCTTACTCTATTTACTGTCCTCTATTCACGCAGTTGTGCAGCTCTGAACTGTTCAAGAACGCGATACTCTCCCTCCATTCATTTGAGTCATCAGAACGTTCAGAACTATTCCGCGCCAAGATCCCCTGTCCCCTCGAGTATCTTCCTATAAATTAGTGCTCAGAGGCACCGGTCTATCGCGCAGAGCTCCTTTCAGAACCGTTCTGGATTAGCCCAGGGCTTAAAGCTCACGAACTTGAAATTCGCGAATGGAGTGCAGCAATTTTAAGTAGAGAAGACGGTATTTTGATATTTCAAATTTTGTTATATTGTCAATTGACATACTATATTTTTTTCAAAATATAAATAAATGCTAATCAACTTAAAATGGTACTTTTTTCTTAAATATTACTCTCAGTTATGGTACATAGTTCACATAGTTGAATTTTTTTTATTGATTGTTTGAATTTCTTCTTATTGAAATACACTCACTAGCACAAAAAATGGTTACCTTTATAGTTTTATATATTGTGTTCTAGTGGACCTATTTTGATGATTTTTTAAACAATTTGTAGCTAAATTATTTGACTTTTTAGTATCTCTTTCTAAGTTAAAAATGAAAGTTGCCATCTGTCAATTATACAAGGGAAAACAGAATGTTGATATTTTGATGAACATTTGAAATACCCTGTGGAGTACATTAACAATGCAAGAAATTTAAAAATATTTTTATCTTGTTGTATCTTTTCTTGATAGCTTGTTTTTTGATTCATCTCAATAGATTTATATATTTTGGAGATATTCGCTTTTGAAGAAGAGACTAACATTTTTCTGTATTTATTACATTAAAACCATGTCCTTGTTTTTGGTCCTAGTCAACAGATCTATAAAATAGTGATTATGATTTATGTAATGCCACCGAAAAATTATATTATTATTGTCTGTTGGGCAGTTACTCTAGCCAACTTTAGCAGATATGGTTTTAAGTCCAAAAGTTGATCTCTACCATGATCAATTAGAGTAACAGTAATCTATATATCAGAATTTAAAACCATCTCTACTAGAGTAAATGTCAATAAAAAATAATATGACTTTTCAATGACAGTGACATTACACTATTTTATAAGTGTGTTGATGAAGACCTAAAATTGTTCCTGGTGTTTTCCAAGGAACGATATCTCCAAATTTTTATTAACTTTCATACATACTCTTATATTATGTAATTAAAACTAATCAAATTAGTTATAGGGAATCAATAAAAGTTGGCGTGCAGGTTAGGCTGCAACCACGGTTCGGAAAACTACATGTTACTTTTACAAACTACATAAACTACATTACATGTAGTTAATGCAGTTTAGTAGTTTATGTAACCTATGTATGTAACTTTCAAATATCAAAGGTTTGAGGTGAGGTTATAATAAGTTGAAGCTTTAAAAACACATAATGTATTAAAGAAAACAGAAGAAATATGGCTTTAAATATAATATTTACATCATATTATCTCTATTACACCTCATACAAAGGAATATTATTCATAATATCAATACATAGTTTATTAACGTAGTTTTCATGTAGTTAATGAACGGGAAAAGACGTAGTTTTTGAAGAAAAACTACACGTAGTTAATCGAAGAAGTTTCTGAGGGCTTATGATCAATGAAAATCACAGATCTTCCTGGGTCTGAGTAAGAACAATCTTCGGATTGTCACGGGGCTTTTAACAGGACACTGTCTCCTCAATGAACACCTCAGTAGATTGAAACTAAGAAGAAACGGCGAATGCAGATTCTGTGGGGAAGATGGTGAAACACCAGGACACCTCATCACTGAGTGCGCCGAGACGACAACCATTCGTGCCATGAATTTTGGTACGACTGATATTGGAGATAGAGAACTACCCTCTATAAAACCGTCCCAGATACTGGCTTTTGTCAAAGCCCTGGGACTGTATGATGAGTTATGATTCATGAAAGGGGGACACAATGGATCTGTAATGTCGAAGTGATTAACCCCCCTCCCACTCATTCTAAATTCTAAAAATTCTAAAAAATTCACGTAGTTAATAAGGTAAATTACGTCTTAATTAACTACTTCCGAACCCTGGCTGCAACCTAACCTAACTATACAAAGACGTCGAAACTATCACCACAGATTAGGTATCCTATAAGTATACAGATAAAAATCTTGTCCCCAATTCGTGGTACGAAAATTGTTTTTTATGACGATGTGCAAAAGAGTAAAATTTCCTATGCACAAAAATAAACTCGCGTAAAATAACAATAAACAGCGTAATAGAGAGATATCGCTAAACCGAATAGCGTGCATGGACGTAAATAAGGCCAGGTGTTATTTCCTTTACGTGAGGTGGTATTAACTCTCTTCATTTATAGTTATCGGATCGGAAAGAATTCTGTTCGCGTCGCGTCCGCTATTTAAACTTAACCTAACTTTGAATTTAAAATTTTGAAATTGTTTACTAGGTATTTTAAAACTAAAGGGCTAAAGTGCTTATTTCCAGTGCTTTATTGTTCAACGTCTGCCAGTGGGTTTAGGGCAACAAACAACAAATTCTCTTAGAAGGGCTAAGTCGTCATCTTCTGTAAACCTAAGCCTCTTTATAGGTTCTTTAATATTGGAAGAGGTGGAATCCATATTTCGGGTCATATTTATTTAATAAAAACTAATCCCAGCTACTTAAATATCAAATTACCTAATAAAACTAAAGTAATAATTCAAAATAATTGAAACATAACCTAAAATAAAAGATCTCATCGGCCGGCCCTGGTTGTCAAATACCCGCACATGCCCATTTAAGCAATTTTTAAACGTTATTTAGAAATAGCGCTTGGTGTAATTGATCCGCAAATTACGTCAGGCGGTAACGTTATTAGCGGGTGTTGCGTTAAAAACTGACTCGCGCATATCGTAACTGTAGTCTTTGTCGTAACCATGATAAGGTACGCGTAAATACTGCATGACGCTATTCGGTTTTGCGATATCTCTCTAATGACTGTGCCGGTCAGGCGCTGTACACAATTTTAGAGGCCATATGTCGGCGCGCTATGTGCGCAAATTAGTAACCTAACTGGTGCCCGATTCCGAAAATTGGAACCACGAAAAACTATAAAGAAAAAACAAAGTCTATAATCTGTATAATCTGTGCTATCACCAAATTAAATTTCTAATAAACAAAAATTCGTTTGAAACTTAGAGCGCATTTTTTTCTTATAATCTCATATCCGGGTAAAAAAAGACAGCACCAGGTCGCTTCAAGTAAGGAAATTGGTGGATAAAAGAGGCTTTATTTTGGCAATCATGGCATATACTGCCAGTTGTCATCAGATTTTTTTTAAATCTGTTGACAACCATTTTCGATTTTCTTAATTTTTATCTGATATTTGTCATTTTCAATTTTATTCTGAGTTTTTTGTGACAAATTTGAAATTAAATCTTCGTTTTGTTTACTTAAAACTGCGATTTTCACTACAACGAAATGCCAAAACCAATAGATCAGCAATTTGTCTTTTCTCTACTCGATTATTTTGAACGTTGACGGCTATTTTGTGGTGCCATAACTGAAAATATTCAAAATATCGTCTGAGCTTATAGGGATTCTGGCGCTTTTGGATTGGACTTTGATATATATTTTTCTGAATGTCAATAATTGAAAGTAAAATACTAGCAGAATAAAATCTTGTTTCTTATAATTATAATATGAATTTCAGGAAGAAGAACACCAGCTAAAAAAGCACAACCAAGTTCACTAGCTGAAGCCATGATGCTGGAAACTGAAGCAGCCGTTATGGTCAATTTTGGATTTTTGGGCAATTCTGATGTAGACATGGATGACGACGACGATATGAGCGACGACGGCGATCTTGATCCTAGTGTAGAGATGGAGGATGAAGTTAAAAACATCAAGAAAGAAGGTGAAGATGTGGACGCTCTAGCTTTAGAAGTTTTTAATGAATTGAACAGGTTGTCGGAAGCGGAAAAAAAGCAAGAGCTAAAAAACGATCCGAACGATTGGAATAAAAGTATTACACTTACATTAAAGTTTTAAAAAGTATAAAAAAACATAATTTTTTTAGTACAAGTTCCAAAAAGGCCTTTGGGAATTAACGATGAGGACAATATCGATTCGACTTTAGGTTTAGGAGAATTGGCACAGTTGACAGTTAATAATGATGCGGAAAGCACCTACGATATTGCCAGTAGCAAGGAGGCATTTCGTAAAACGTGGAACGCCAAATATACATTGAGGAGTCATTTTGATGGGGTATGTTTTTATAATTACTAGCTAACCCGACTTTGTACCGCCTTACAGTGAAGTGAAGTGAAGTTTGGAATAATTGGTTCCAGACTGGGTTGGGTAGGTAGAAAATTTTACATATTCTACCGTATTTGCTACACGTAGAATATTAATTTTCTACATCAACTAATTGTCTACATTTTCTACATGTCTGTATGTAGAAAATTAGTTATGTATATTGAAAGCCATTTTTGACGTTTATATTTGTTTTTAATACGTTAACACAGTGAGTAGCACAAGAAATAGATTAATAACATTGAAACTAATTGTTATTTATCATTTAACAAATGGATAATGTCATAAAACCTTAACAATGAATTTTATATTATTTGAAATAGAGATGGTCTGTCCAATAGGAGAATCCAATAATGATTTGTTGGAGAGATTATAATATTTAACAAAAACTATTTCTCAAGAGTAAAACTCAAACAGAACAAGAAAACTATTACACCTATCATAATGATAAAAATAAAAACTATGAACTATAATATAATAATACACTGTATATAGAGTGTATAAAACCAGGGTTCTTTGATAAAATTGAAAAAAAAGAACAACCGAAACTTGTACTATAAAATTAGACTTAGTATAGAAAAAATAATCTAATAGTCTTCAGATCGATTACGACGATTACTGTCTCTTATCTTCAGTAGTTAGTACCGTCACAGAATAGAGAGAGGGCGCGCACGTATAACAGTTTTCACAGTTATAGAATTTAAAGAAAATACCTAGGAGGAAACTTGTAACGGGAAAAAACAACTTTAAATATACGAAATTGATTTTGAGCATGTACTCGGATTTTATACATTTTCTACTTAATATTCTACATATTCGACATTTTCTACGCATTGTTCTACATACACGCAGAAAATTAATTTTCTACGTGTCGTTACCCAACCCTGGTTCCAGACTTCACTCTGTTAAATTTGTATCAAAGCCACCTCAGTTGGTATCTTGGCTTGTGTTTTACTAATGAAAGCGCCATATGAAATATAATTCAGGGAATATCTGGGAAATCTAAAAATTTAGGAACACATTAAATACAAAAATGTTTGTTTTTTAATTCAGCATCTAAAAGAAAAATTGGAAAGAAAATTTTCAATACACGTCGTTATTGACAAAAAATAAACATGTTGACTAGATAATCCTGGAAACTTTTTTTTAAATTAAGAAAAAATTATGAAGAAAAATATTCTGGTTCAAGAACCTTTCGTACAAAAACATTTCAAATTTATGATTTCAGGCTAACAACTATCTAGTCTCAGGTTATACAGATTATAAACTTATCGTCAAAAGCATTGTTTTTCGTGGTTCCAATTTTCGGAGTCGCGCACTAGTTAGGTTACTAGTTTGCGCACATAGCAGGCCCACTAATGGCCTCTAAAATTGTGCACAGCGCCTGACCGGCCCAGTTATTACGCTGTTTAAATGCGAGTTTGTTTTTGCGCACACGAAATTTTACTTTTTGCTCATCGTCATAAAAAACAATTTTCGTACCACGAATTAGGGACAAGATTTTCATCTGTATACTTATAGTATACCTAATTTGTGATCTAGTCTTTGAATAAGAAGACTAAGGAAGGAGCATATCAAAAATCTTAGGTACACCGCGATGGGCCTCAAATATGGCCGACTTAAATTCCGGTTTATCAGTGTCGTTCTAATTTTATTTAAAAAATGTAAAACTATGATGTAGGGTAGACGTGGGGTAGACTCAATAATATGTTGTTTTATTTTACGTTGTGAATAAATGTTGGTAGTTATTAAAATTGTATAAAAATATATAATTCTAATAAAAATAGATAAGTTATAATAAGTATTTATTAACACAAACATCCGATACGCTACTGAAGCAGGTAAGTCAAATTAGCGTATCTAAATTCTTTGACATCTAATCTTTGACAGTAATAAATAAAAGCTAAAATGCAAGAAAAATATATAATTTAGTTAATTTAAGTGAATTTCATAAATGATCGGTTTACTACACGTAAGTATATTATATAGTCACTTACTAGCGAAAAGTTGTTCCATTATTTCACTCAGTTTTTGCCGAGATTTTACCGCACGCTACACAACCAACTATTTTAGAGTCTTTTTCGATAAATCGCGATAGTGTCACTGTTAATTTAAGTTCTGCCACAATTTCCATCTAGATTTACCACCTTTATACAACTATCAGTAGTAGAATAAATAATAAATAACATAAAATAAGCTCCGTAAAGACTGACAAATCCACAAAATTTCAAATCAAATTCAAATGTGTCAAATGAATCGTCAAACAGAACTGTCAAGGATCCCCACCCTAGAGAGCTTTTATGGTGGCTTTTCCGCCCACCATGCATGAATACATGGATAGCATTATGCTCCTTCCTTAGTCTTCTTATTCAAAGGATCTAGTAAACATGTTCAATTTTTGTTGATGATGACATGTATTGATTATTTCGATACCAAATATCTCAAGGAACATTACTTGTAGCAGTTTTTAACAAGAGATCTTTTTTGCATAAGAATTGGCGGAAATGTATATTTTTTCACTTGGTAGTTTTATACAGGACGAAAAGTTATTACACTTCAAACCAGTTAAAAAATATACAGAACAAAAAACACCCAGGCACCAATTTTCATCACAATATTTACATTAGTTCAGAAATTATGTGCAAAAATCGAAATAAAAATGAACTTCTACAGCCTGTATCTCCAAAACAAAGCATTTTAGGACATAAATTTATATGAACCTTTTTATTCATTTTTATCGGTAGAATGCTGCCGAAGATTATCCGAATACAATTTGTACCACCCTGTATATAGATTTAAATAACCTAGGAATGACTAAATATTTTTTATAGGTAAGAGCATTGGCTTTCCATCCAACTGAACCGGTTTTAATAACGGCAAGTGAAGACCATACTTTGAAATTATGGAATTTACAGAAAACTGTACCAGCTAAAAAGAGTGCCAGTTTAGATGTTGAACCATTGTACACTTTCAGAAGTCATACAGGTGGACACTGTTTAAAATTAATATAATTGCGAATAATTTAATTTTCATCTTTTCTAGGTCCTGTCTTATCTTTGGCAATTTCTGGAACTGGAGAACACTGTTATTCCGGTGGTTTAGATGGCATAATTAATTGTTGGAATGTCCCAAATTCAAACATTGATCCATATGATCTCTTTGAACCAGATGTGTTAAATACTGCTCTACAAGGACACTCGGATGCGGTATGGGGATTGTCGGTGTTGCACACCAGACAACAGTTGCTTTCTTGTTCTTCCGACGGAACTATTAAGCTGTGGTCTCCACATAGCAAGGTATTCTATTTTAATCATTTTTGTGGTTTAGCACACACATCTTTGTGGCGATTACTCGTGGACCAAATTTAATGTCACTTTATTTGTCATATTTTTAGATTACAGTTTTATGTCGGTTGTCAGATTTTGATTAGTCTATGGTTGATATCCGGGTTGGAGAGTTAAAAAGCTGTTAAAAAACTTTTTTGAATTAGTAACTTATGGAAATGACTTGTAAAAATTATTTAACAATTTATTCCCTTATATTTGGTCTTTTCATCAATGTTATATTATTTAATTTATGTAGAAACCATAATTTATGTCAAAATAATACCAAGAATGAAATTACATTCATTCGTCGGTCGTTTTTTATGCAATTTTATTGGTTTATGTCAAAAAGACTGATCATACTTATTCATAATTAGTGTGACGTTTATAACCTAACCCACCTTATTTATTTTTATTTTTCTTACATTCTATACCTTTCATATTTTATATCAAAATATGAAATGCCCATTTCTGGTGAGTATTTCTCTTTTATGTTATAACTGGTGTAATTTCATTTTAAACATTCCCAAGTAGCATTTGGACGTTATCTAACGTCGGGTATACGTCGCGTTCAATAAACCCGACATCGGGTACCAAGGTCGGTTCGACCACTTGACGACCCTTATTTGCACCTAAATAGGGAATACAGATTCGGGTCGCCTCGACGTCGGTATCTGACCTAATAGGGAATGTAATTCTACCAATTACCAACGTCATATTACGTTGGATTTTAGTCACTTAAAATTCGTCGCTAAGCACTTACGTTACGTTTGGTTTCATATTCGCTACCAAGAATACATAAAAACCTAACCAAACTACCTAATTACAAATGGATTCATCATCACTCCTCGAATATAACTGTAAGTGCCTATCTTATTTCATATTATAATAAGTCTGAATCATTAATCCAGACATCAGTTTTGTCAACGGAAGTCACTTTTTTGATATATCTGATTAAAATACTCCGGAAAACAACGAGCGCCTTCAAAATTAGGTAGATTTATGAAATAAAAATATCTATAAAAAAGTTACTCGCCAAATATTTTTTTAATTTTCTAGCTAGTTTAATCATAAAACTGTACTGTGGTTTCCCCCAAACTCAACCTTATCAATATTATTCTACTAGATATCGAAATGTGAATATAAATTTTAAAAACAAAAAACGATTTTAAAATGGTTGACAACCGGATACGTGTTAAGAATGGCGGATTTCTGTGTCCGACTTAATATGAACTACCAATATACCAATTCCAACCGGGTCTCCAACATTAGTCGTCTCACACGACCGAAGTCATCAAACCGGACGACCGGCAATCGTATTATGACGTATATAATTCCAACGTACGCTACGTAACCTCACTTTGCGTATCAGTGATTTGTGGATTTGTGCAACTATATTTTAGTTTTTGTTTTCTCCTTAAAAAAATGGGCAGCCACTTTTTTAAGCCTAACCTCACATGTGGGAGGCGGATGGGGTCTGCTGGTTTCCTAAGCTAAAAAATGAAATTAAGATGCACCATTGTAATGCAGCATCTCTTCCAGATAAAAATCATTTATGAGTGGAGGCAAGACATCACTACTACTATTATTATTTTGCAAAAGCCTCAACCTCTTTCTGTAAAATGTAGATGAATGTCTAAATGCCTTTTTAGTGTTTTTTAGGCATAAGTTTGTTTACAAAAACTTTTTATTAGGTTATGTTCATGATGTTTATTAGGTCGCAAATGCTACTTAGTTGGTTGTATTTACGGACGTAAATAGAGATACGTAAATTAGGTTATAAATATGAACATAAAATACAACAAAATATAATTGGACGTTACTTTAGGGATTATCAGTGAGACGTAGCCTATTCGGACAACGGGTAGACGTCGGGCTAGTTCAAGTATATGTACGTCGTGCATGCCAACGTGGGAACGACGTTGGGAAATTAATAAAAATGGTACGTTGTTATTTTGTACGTCGACAGATCGTTGGATTTACCGACTCGGATCCAACGACGTCGCTTTTAATAGGAAAGCGACGTCACAGGTCGTATCACCAGCACCCGACCTAAATTTGCACAAGTCTGACGTCGCTTCAGGTCAGATTTAGTTTGAAGTCAGATAGATGCTACTTGGGTTACTTTTTTGGATTTTTGTTTACTGAGTTGAGTAATCATAAAATGCCTCAGTAAAATAGCAGATAATAAAGAAATACTTTTTCCAAAATCCTAGATTGCCAATTAAACTCGGTCCATACCTAGCGTTTTAACTTCAATTTTGCGTGTCAGTTAAGATATTTTTACGTTTTATGTCACGTAAGACTGATTAAAGGTAAGGCTAGGTAAGACTGATTAAAGACTAGCGTACCGGCTGGAAGATTTTCCTGCAGATATTTCAATATTTATATAGCGTTGTGTTTAGTAAATTTGAAAAGAAAAAGCATGAAGTTTTATAACAAAATTGTATTTATGGTCTAAATTTTATTTGTAAATACGCAAAAGTAGTTGTGAAAGTAGTATTCATTTGGTAATAATCAAGAATTTTGTAAAATTACATTGTTTTGTGAAACTTAGCTTTTTATTAAATTTTTAAAGGTTGCTTATTAAGTAATATATCCATGTTATTTTTGGTTTGGTGGTTGGCGTTTTTTGCCTACACACTATAGCTATGTTTGAGATGTCCACTCCGAATAGGGAATGCAATCCCGCACCAAAATATCAATCCCGCAGACCCGCGGGATTAAAGCAATCAATCCCGCGGATCCGCAAAATTGCGGGACTGTAAACAATACTCATACATTTGGTCCTAAATGGTACAAAAGGCATTGTACATTTTGCATAGGCCCACAATATATTGATATAGCGTGTATCTTAAACTAGATGTACAGAAATTTGGACACCGATGTATACAGGGTGTTCAAAAATATATTTAATATTAAATAAACTTAAATTTAAATATTATTCTAATTGAAGTTTTTTGTTAACTTCGTGTTAGTTATCTGCTTTTAGATACACTCTATATCAATAATTTTTGGCATAGGCAGAATGTACAAAGCTTTTTGTACCATTTAGTAAAAATGCATGTTTTTCTAAAAAACGTCGTATTTTCATTAAAAACAAAAAAAAACCGATCAAATTGTTTTTTTTCTAATTTCAATACAGATTCGTCGTACTTAAAAATTTCGATTGTTTAAAAATTGTAAATTTGCGGTAAAAAGATTCTTGATCAAATTTTCACACTTTTATAAAACACCCTGTATACGAGAATTCGCTAAATATATTTTCAAAAATCACATCAGCATCTTAATCACAATAGATTCATCTAAAACCTGGTCCAAATCGCATCCCAAAATCTTTTTTAGTTCAAGAGCTATTCAACTTTAAATTTACCCTAAAATTTTGCTTGTCCCACTTATGTCCACAAGTACTAGTTAAACGCTTTTCTTCACTTACGCACATAACTCCAACGTCTAACAACTAGGCTGTTTGTTTCACTTATTTTTAATGGTCAAGCCGTAAGGGGAATCCCCCGGATTCCGAGCATCGACGCATCGGCCCGGAACGAAGCGGTTTGATCTTAATCGAGTTCGATTCGGGTACCCAGTAGTAATTTGTTGATCCCGCGGATTCCGCACGGTAAATCCCGCAACTTTGATCCCGCGGAATCTCAGAGGGATGCGGGATTGCATTCCCTAACTCCGAACATATTTTGAATGCTAAGGTAACATTCCCAAGTGTTTACAAGTCAACAAAACCAAGTAAAAAAATGACTTTTCCAGTGCAAATCTGCCTTAACGTTCGGATTGGGCTCCGCGGCCGTAGTTGTTTTACTTGAACAGGTTTTACTTGTTGACTGAACAGATAAGATGGAAGGCACAACATCATGTGTAATAATAGTCGAGGCTTTAAAATTATAGCTTAGAAATATGATAAATAAAGTCACTTAAATATGGGATCATTTCCGTGTGAAACCTTTGTTTATTTAACACAATTTTGTAGGTACAGCTGCTAAATACCTTCTCCTCAGAACAAGACGGTATCCCATCGAGCGTCGACTTTGCGGGCGACGAACCAAATCGAATAGTGGCTTCTTTTGCCTCGTCGCATTGTGTAATTTTCGATGCGGAAACGGGAAAACAAGTGTTGCGTTTAGAGTCCTCTAGCCAAGACGGTGTCAACTTGACGGCCAAGCAAATCAACAAGATCGTTTGTCACCCCACCCTGTCATTAACTATTACGGCTCACGAGGACAGGCATATACGGTTTTGGGACAACACAACAGGAAAAATGGTGCATTCTATGGTCGCGCACTTGGACGCAGTTACCAGTTTGGCCGTGGACCCCAATGGACTTTATTTGCTGTCTGGTAAGTAATATTAATAACAGGCTGACTTTTACAGCGTAACAGTAATGTGAAGTGATAATTTTTGGTCAATGTTGTGGAACGGATAGCTGATTGACCGAATGATCTGAAATGATTGAGACCAATCAGTTTGACAGTTTTTGTCATTTGTTCTCTATATTTTTGTGTACATTTCGATTTAAGTATTTTCTGTTTATTTCAATATTTTTCTAGATATGGATATGCTATTTTTCTACTATTTTCTGCTGAATTTCTATTCTATAATGGCTAGTATGTCACTAATTTGCAGTGGATGTTAATAATTATTAGAAATAAGCTATTGTAAGCGTGCGTGCGTAAGCTGTCAATTGCGGAAAATAGCGGAGTTCCAAACTGAATTTATTTAAAAATTTTGTTTTAATTTTTTGTCTGCGATTTCAGAAAATTTTTAAATTTCATTTTCATTGTTCTACATGTATAAAATTCTTTATGAGTCCTTTTGGAGACCGAACATTAATTAGTATGGATATGTAGTTGGAAGTACTTCTTTTATTACAGCAACATAATATAATATATGTTTTATTTGCTGAGATTCAAGTATATTATCAACAGAAAAAAAAACATTAATTGGGCAAATAATTAGATAAGGCTTTTATCTCTATTATTATTTAGTTTTGGGTCTTGTGCAGAACAGGTCCCCACGAAATCGTGGTTTTTTTAATTTTTAATGTGGATCCCATAGTTAATGGAATGGTTTAAAAGAAAAAAATTGTTGGATGAACCACTTTTTCTACGAAAAAAAATAATTGAAAACTTCAAATTTTCACTACATTTCAATGCGAAAACTCCCTATTATAACCTTCATAAAGACAGTAAAATACAAGGTTATGCACAGTGTTGCCATACTCACCCTGTGTAAAATCGACGAAAACGTTCTACTTTATATTCATTTTTTTTACATTTAGTACGCACTTTAAGAACACGAAAAATTAAAAATATAATAAACGAGGCAAAACAAAAACACTATAAAAATAAATTGACAATAAAATACACAGTATTTAGCACAATTGTTTAAAAATATATTTTTCCCGGATTTGTTCAGTAAGATTCCGAAATCGATGTGATCTGCGTACTTCCAAACACTCCCTTCCAAACACTTCAAACCTAACCAATGCATTAACACCCCCAAATAACCAGGCTAACCAATGCATTAACACCCTCCAAATAACCAGACTAACCAATGCATTACCACCCTCCAAATAACCAGAATATCTAACCTAACCTAACCAATGCATTAACACCCCCAAATAACCAGGCTAACCAATGCATTAACACCCTCCAAATAATCAGGCTAACCAATGCATTACCACCCTCCAAATAACCAGCCTATCTAACCTAACCTAACCAATGCATTAACACCCCCAAATAACCAGGCTAACCAATGCATTAACACCCTCCAAATAACCAGGCTAACCAATGCATTAACACCCTCCAAATCACCAGGCTAACCAATGCATTAACACCCTCCAAATAATCAGGCTAACCAATGCATTACCACCCTCCAAATAACCAGCCTATCTAACCTAACCTAACCAATGCATTAACACCCCCAAATAACCAGGCTAACCAATGCATTAACACCCTCCAAATAACCATGCTAACCAATGCATTACCACCCTCCAAATAACCAGGCTAACCAATGCATTAACACCCCCAAATAACCAGGCTAACCAATGCATTAACACCCTCCAAATAACCAGGCTAACCAATGCATTACCACCCTCCAAATAACCAGGCTAACCATTGCATTAACACCCTCCAAATAACCAGGCTAACCAATGCATTACCACCTTCCAAATAACCAGGCTAACCTAATTGAGCCTAATGACAAAACTTCATTGATTACGCGTCGAAAAACAGTATATATTAAAAAAACTTATATTTTCGTAGAACCTGAAAAATCCGCAAATTTTATTTCAGAAATTGCTTTAAAATAATCCACACTAACGAATAAGCTACTAGACAGTTCAATTTTTGTTGCACTAAAGTGATAACTTACCGTTTTAAGTCCCTCCACAACAACTTTATTTCAGAAGAAAATCATATAAAGTAATTTTATTGACAACGTCGCAAATTCTATGCGAAGGCCATAGATGACATACCGATGATCGATTAACTGTCAATCGAAAAAGTCATAAAATTGCTAGCTTGAGCTGATGTAAATAAATATATTTTCTTAATTTTTATGCTTACAAAGAAGATTCGTTACATTTTTGTGCTTAAATTAGATCATTCCACATCTATATAAGGTAATAAAGTACTAATATGTGATGTTTTTACTGAATCCGTGTAGAAAATTTAACATATTTACTGTCCGTCGCCTGTACCGAAAATACGTTTTTTTGCCGCTTTTTAAAGATAAAACACATTCATCCAACAATTTTTATGCTTAAAAATATTCAGTTTAAGATAATCTTGCAAAAAAATCCCAAAAAAGTGTTAAATGCGTGGGGACCTATTGTGCACCAGAGCCTTTAGTTGTTTTTTTTTATCTCTAGTATTATTATGTTGCTTAATATTTTAATACATATATTTACTTAGGGTCTACATTCTACATATTTATAGTAATCCGAAAATACCCAAATATAATAATTATTTTTTGTCTAATAAACACAAAGAAATGACAAAGATAATAGCAGTATATATTTAATAAAAATTATTTTATTAAAGTTATTATCATAAATTTAGACATTTATGGTAGTACATATTCTTTGGGTATTTTTACTTAATTTAAATAAACAGCCATATTTTGTATACGTCGACTTGACGAGTACGTCACCGCAAATCGCTCCGCCCACTCATTTTATTGGCTATTTGCAAATTTGTCGAATTTTTATTGATGGGACGCGTCGTCTATTTTTTTACGAAAAACATCGAGAGAATATTGTTTCCCCTCTCACGGATACCCCGTAGCTACAGAACGGATAGACGTACTGTATTGTTAGTTGAGTTTTCTATAAGATTTTGTGAACATTCTAGAAAGTGTCAAGAAAAAGTTGGGTTTTCAAAAAAAGGATGTGTTTATCTCCGAAATCCCGGGATCCCTAAAATCCCGAAAAACGTAAATGCATGGTAAATGCCCGACCTAAAATGATTTGACTTTATACACTTTAGTCTTTCAAAAACTATAGTTTATACTAAGGGCTGGCAAAGGTTAGTCTTGGGTCGAGATTTCCATATGTAAGAAGAGTACAATGGCGTTCATAATGTATTGAACAAAGAGAGAACAGTAAACACGTTGCCAAACGTATGAAATAAATAGAGAAACTGTGCTGTGCACATTGCTAAGAGACGTGGAAGGGGATATAGCAGATTTGTCGCAGTTGACCGGTCGACCCAATCAATACCTCTGTCAGTATACTCTGTTTTTTTTCTCAGGTAAGATTTCGACAGACGATGACAGAAGAAAAGCAGATGACGTCCCATACCAATCTATTTATTTTACTAAAAAAAGTTTCTAATAATTTTTAAGTTATCTATGGATGGGTTTAAATATAAATCCGTCATACGTCGTGTCTTGTTGTTTTTAACCAGTTTTATTGGTTTATTTAAAAAATGACAGATCGTATTTCAATTTTATTGGTTTGACGGAACGATGACCGACAAACGGACGCCGATGCGTATGAACTCGCCTTTAGATTTTTGTCATTTTTGACGCTTGTCAAAGTCTTGCCAAATTATAGGTTATAATTTTGTGTCAACTTTTGTTAAATACCCTGCGTTCACCTGCGTTTTGGAAGATGACCTGAAGATGATGCATTTTAATTCGTATTATTACGTGTGTTTTATGTCTTTTGAAGTCAAGTGGAGGAAAAATTGAGTGAAAATTAACTGTAGACCCAGAGCACAGTTTATGGTTTATACTCGCTGCCCAGGCAGAAAGTCTTATACACCAATGAAGTTACCATCGATAAAGTTTGTATACCATCTCGTCGTAGATAAGTGCATCTCGTATATCGTAGAAGGATCATACATACTAAACACATACTAAAAACTGGAGTAGCTGTAAAATATCGACATCACACGATAGGTAAATAATGGATTTTAGTACTGCACAAAAATAATGTCAAAAGGTATTGGTTTAAAAAAATTAAGATTAAAGTTAATTAATCAACCTTTAAGGTATAAAATTTGGTAAGTGTTATTATTAATAAAATAGTTTGTTTTATTTATGTTGTTTTATTTATTCCTGTCGAATATTACAAATTTGTATATGTAGATAAATTATATTGATAAATATAATCATAAATGCGAAATGCGGGAAGTTTCATGAAGCTTGAAAGTAAGAAATAGTTCTTTTTATATTTTTTTGGTATGTGGTGTCTTGTTCTTGTTTGTTTTGTATTATCACATACCGTTTTTGTTAAATAAAATAAATCAATTACATTTTTTCAGTTTTATAACAGTTTTTTCACAATATATTGAAGTAATCACTTGTCAGTCAAATTTTAAATATATCAATTTCCTGCTATGCGTTCCAGTTGTACCAACTTATTTCTTTGTAAAATAAAATAAACTACTTTGAAATTAAAATGACAGACACATCTATCACTGTCAAGGATCTTGTCGTTGGACAGACTATACTTAAAGTTCTAGGGAAAGGTGTACGTCATGTGTTCAGCTTCACGATTTAATTACGTCTCGTGATAATTGATTTGTTTATTTATTAACGAGTCGTTGTAATTTTCCTTATAGCTTGAATTTTTTTAAGTGCAAGCTAGAAACGCTTGCATTTTTGGTAAAAATAAGTGGAATTTGGTGGGTGTTCGATAGTGGTCGCGCTATTAGAACTCTGAATTCAAAAATCGATATCTCGAAATCTATTAGAAATAATAGATTGTAGTTTTTTCAAGAACTTTGTTAATATTTCTGCTATATTTTCTTTGTAGACAGTCTGTGAAAATCTTTATCAATAAAAAAATTACACGATTGCTGAAAATTGCTATGCTCTTAAAGTAAATGGATGGATTGTTGACAATTTTTGAATGGAAAAAACAACCTTATCGAATTTTTGTTATGTAAACATATTGTAAAATATCCGATCTTGAAAATAAAAAAAAAGTTTCAATATCTAAAGTGGTTCTTGAGTTATGGCCTGTTATGTGTTAAAAAGTTGAGTTTTTAAATTATCGCGATTACTGACGTTTTCTCGTTATAAAAAAATGACACCCTAACGATATCCTTATAATTCCATTTCAGATGCTCAGAAACATGTCTAATGATTTTATCTTGTTATCTCTTGAATAAAAAGTCTTTTAAAAATAAGCGGTTTGCGATCGTGATTTTACTTTACTTGATAGGGAAAGGCGTATCGGCAACGCCGCAACAGCACACCGTCGCGCGTCGCGTCGGTCGGTCGCATTTCTCTCACTCCGACTTAATAAGATCCCTATGCGATTTACTTCCACACATGTAAATGCCGACCCAAAAGTAACAGTTGCCAGCACGGTATATGTTACAGTGAAAGTCGGAAATTCAGTGATTGTTAACATTCACTAGGAAATGCTAGCAATTACGTATTGGACCCCAGTGAATGTAGTATTTTAAAGAGATTTGTCGACTTTTCCTAGTAATTTCTAACATTCACTATATAGTGAAAGTAACATTTACTAAAGGTTGTTATTCTATTGTACAGGGCGAGTGTGGTGAAGAAAAATGTTGGTGGAAAGATCAATAAAACTTTTAAGAATATTGGATCACCTCAATATTCAAGCTGATCCACATATCTTAAAATTACAATTTGCTTCTTTAGTATATTTATTAAAAATTCTAGAAAATAACAACACATAACATTCATAAACATAAGATTACTCATTGGTACAAGTTTTTTTAATAAAGTTCTTCATCGTGGACTAAATAAAGTATGCCCGAATTTTCTTCAATGGGTGTTATTCGTTTTTTCAAACCCGCTACTTCAAGCATATCAAAACGTTTAACAAGTTCATAGTCACTAGGTCCCTTAATATCTTTTTCTCTTGCATGCTTAACTTTGGTATGACTTCATTATATTGCAAAAATGAAAAACAAACACACTACTACATTTTTGAGAGTGATAATACTAGTTTACCTTAATTTTTCACAGAAAATTTCTTCCGTAGGGAAAATATACTCTGTTTTTTTTCTCAGGTAAGATTTCGACAGACGATGACAGAAGAAAAGCAGATGACGTCCCATACCAATCTATTTATTTTACTAAAAAAAGTTTCTAATAATTTTTAAGTTAACTATGGATGGGTTTAAATATAAATTCGTCATGCGTCGTCACTTGTTGTTTTTAACCGATTTTATTGTTTTATTTCAAAAATGACAGATCGTATTTCAATTTTATTGGTTTGACGGAACGATGAACGACAAACGGACGCCGATGCGTATGAACTCGCCTTTAGATTTTTGACGTTTGTCAAAGTCTTGCCAAATTATAGGTTATAATTTTTTGACAACTTTTGTCAAATACCCTGCGTTTTGGAAGATGATGCATTTTGATTCGTGTTATTACGTGTGTTTTGTGTCTTTTGAAGTCAAGTGGAGGAAAAATCGAGTGAAAATTAACTGTAGAACCCAGAGCACATTTTATGGTTAATACTCGCTGCCCAGGCAGAAAGTCTTATACAGATACACCAATAAAGTTACTATCAATAAAGTTCGTATACCATCTCGTCGTAGATAAGTGCATCTCGAATATGGTAGAAAGACCATACTAAACACATACTAAAAACTGGAGTAGCTGTAAAATATCGACATAACACGATAGGTAAATAATGGATTTTAGTACTGCAGAAAAATAATATCAAAAGGTACTGGTTTAAAAATAAATTAAGATTAATGTTAATTAATCAACCTGTGAGGTATAAAATTTGGTAAGTGTTATTATTAATAAAATAGTTTGTTTTATTTATGTTGTTTTATTTGTTCCTGCGGAATATTACAAATTTGTATTTGTACATAAGTTATATTGATAAATATAATCATAAATGCGGGAAGTTTCATAAAGCGTGAAAGTAAGAAATAGTTCTTTTTTATATTTTTTGGTATGTGGTGTCTTGTTTTTGTTTGTTTTGTATTAACACATACCGTTTTTTATTAAATAAAATAACTCGATAACATTTTTTCAGTTTTATACAGTTTTTTTCACAATATTTTGAAGTTACTTGGCAGTCAAATTTTAAATACATATATTAATTTCCTGCTATGCGTTCCAGTTGTACCAACTTATTTCTTTGTAAAATAAAATAAACTACTTTGCAATTAAAATGACAGACACATCTATCACTGTCAAGGATCTTCTCGTTGGACAGACTATGCATAACAAGAACATACATACAAATACAGAACAATTATACATAACTACAAACAAAGCAAATTTACGCCAGATGTCTTGATGTTATTCTCATATTTCCTATTATTCAACTTATCATTATTTATACTTATATTTTACAACATAGCGTAGTAACCGCGCTAACTGAGTCTTTCAAACTCGCTGCTATCGTCCAGGGAATGCTAGCATTCACTAGTAAAAGTTGGTTTTAAAAACAGCTGTTGAACTTTTACTGACGTAGTCTTAGCAGATCAGTGAATGTGAGCTTTTGAGTTGACAATCACTGATTGCCAACTTTTACTGTAAGATATATACTAATCAGAACGTCAAAATCTGAGGGCTCAAACGCAAAGACGACCAGGTGGCAGCGACCAGTATTTGATTCAATGTTATTACTGGCCGCAGCTGTGTTTCCTAATAACATTGAATCAAATACTGGTCGCTGCGAGCTGGTCGTCAATGCGTTTGAGCCCTAAGTTAGATTTCCGTGTTTGCTATATTTTATTTTTTTGCAACAAGAATTGTATTTATTAGTACATTTGAGGGTTGGAACCTTTGCTGTTAAACAGCAAAATAAAACACTATTTCATCACAATACACTAAAACACTTCACGTTTTCATGGGATGTGCGTTTCGCTAACTATTAGCATCATTAGCAGTTTTATTTTGCAAGAATTTTTTTACATACTAAATATAAATGTTACTTTGTGTTGTCTATTTTAATAAAGCTATTTTCTCATTTTCTTTTTGATATTTGCACCTGCATTTTTATTAAGTATTTCTTTACATTAAAATCTCTCCAGTTTTTGAAAAAGATGTTTGATCATGATAAAATGTAAATAGTTTTGTCTCCTTTAAGTTCGATGTCTTTATCTTTTGATTTAAGTAAGAACACGATTCTTCGGATTGTTACGGTGTCTTTAACAGGACACTGTCTCCTCAAAGAACACCTCAGTAGATCTAAGCTAAGAAACAATGGCGAATGCAGATTCTGTGGGGAAAATGGCGAAACACCAGAACTGAGTGCGCCCCATCACTGAGTGCGCAAAAACGACAATCATTCGTGCTATAAACTTTGGTATGACTGATATAAGTGATCGAGAACTAACCTCTGTAAAACCGTCTCAGATACTGGCTTTGGTCAAAACCCTGGGAATAAATCAGTAAGGTTGCAATGATTAACTTCGACGGTTAAATGTCTTTGATGACAATCAGCTTTTTTAGATTTGTAATATTATTTGTTTTATTGTTTCCAGGCTCCCATGACTGTTCCATCCGGCTCTGGAACTTGGACAACAAAACGTGCGTCCAAGAGATCACGGCGCATCGCAAAAAGTACGACGAAAGCATCCTAGATGTCGCTTTCCATCCATCCAGACCGTATATAGCTAGCGCAGGCGCTGACGGTTTGGCCAAAGTTTTCGTCTAGATTTCGAGAATAGATCGTGTGAAAAATATAAATCCAAGAGTAAAAGTCATACAGTGTGATCACAGAGTAGATAATTGAGGTGATGTGTGAATAATATACTCGCTGCCAATCCTGTACAAGTATAATATGGCGATCGTCTATCGAATGACGTTAAAATTGAAGTGATTGCAAAATGTAGCCCTTTTTTTTATTATATCCTAAGTTAAAATATCTTAAAACTATGAAATAATCAGTAGTAGTTCGGTGCTTTTTTAAGCTGTATCTCTATTTATACAGAGTGTTTCGAAAAACATGTGCCATCTCGTGGGGAGATTCCTCGCGTAAAAATAAGATTTATTACTTATATCAAAATAGGTCTGATTCTGCGTTGTTTCATAGCTACAGGGGGTTAAAGTTTTCATTTATTGTTCGATTTATTATAATTTTCTTCCAACTGCTTTCAGCAATTTTTTCCAAATGAAATTTTTAAGCTGAAAGTTTCTATAAGAGAGACACATTTTAATGCTAAAAAAGTCTTGACAAATTCACCCGGGACGTGCATATGGCTTATCACTGGGATATTTTTCTAATAATTCTATAAAATGTGACACATTTGGAAAAAATTATAATATATTGAAAAAATGAAGATTTTAACTCCCGGTAGCTACCAAACAATGGAGAATTGAATCAATTTCTATTTATCACATGTTTTTAAAAAACCCTCTATTTTTTCTTTTTCAAAAATAAAAAAGGCTACATCACTTAAATAAATTTTAAATTTTAAATGAAGGGCGATAAGCGTTTATGTCTTTATAGCAGTGATAATATATGATTCATATATAGTCTTTACCAAGCAAAGTAATATTAACTTATTCTCGTCGATTATTGCCCTATTTTTTATATCAAGTACATATTTTTTCTTTCTGTTGTGTGACTTTGATGTTAAATTAAATAGTACAATCTCTGTCATTCAACGAAAATGTTTTAAAATGTACAGTATCTGCTAAAAATTCCAAGCATAAATGTATATAATTTCTGTACAGTAAGAATTATTAAAAATACAAAAAATTTTGAAGAAAAATATACATATTGGTTAATTATATAATGTACAAAAATAGTGTCAGTCATTTACGATAAAATCGACTCTAAATATGTATGATATACAGACTAAAAATCACAAAGAGTGATGAGTTAGAGCTATGATGAGAACTATCTATTATTGGTTTTAACAGAGTTTCATTGATGATAATTGTTAATATACGTAGTTTTTCTCATTGCTTAATTTATTAATACATTTAAAAAGAGAGTAAGACATGTAGCTCTTAGCTATAACAATTTTTATTTAATTAAAAAGCGATAATATTCAAAATATTGTACATGGCCTTTGATCATATGGTCGAGGACCGCGGTTCGGATTCCGCGCAAAGAAAGTAGGCCCCGTCCAGATTAGCCTCAGCAGAAAAAAGAGACGTTAAACACCACCTTGAACTTTGAACACTCAACCAGTGATTTTTTTTTTGGTCAAATTTTAAGTATATTTATTTGTCATAATGTTATTGTATAACTTCAATAACGCCAGCTGTCAAATTTTCACTAACGCTATAGATGTATAAAAATTATAATACCACAAAATAGTTTTTACATATAAAAAACATTTTAGAAAATGCAAAAAAAACTTTTGAATTAGTAAATCTCCTTTGAAAACGTTTTCGGTTAACGATTGTTGTAAAAAGTTTACTTTATTCTCTTATATTTAAACTTTTTTTTAATTTCATGTTTTGTCTAGGAATCAAAGATTATGCCGAAATAAAAAGTAATTATTATGTTAAGATGGGAAAAATGCCATAATATAAGTTGGGAATAAAATAAGGTTATAAAAAGATAAAGTTGTCTCGTAACTCGATCCGCCATTTTCGGAAACGTCATCAACTGCGTCACTGCTATGCGGCCCACCATAGATAAAGGGATAAAAACTGCCGATAGACCGACAGTGCATTTCCGATATTCATTGTGTATGGCGTCCATAGTTTTCAGTTGTTTGATAATTGTTTTCTTTATTTCATTTCCCATTTATCTCTCTTTGTTCGTTGCATTTTATTTTCTATCCCTTTATCTATTATTTTATACGTTTTGTAGCATACCTGTGACGTAGTTGCCGCTTCGCTCCTATTGGTCCAAAAGTTACGAGGCAACCTGTTTAATATAGTAATCCTGCGAATAAAATGCCATTTCTGCCCCTCTATTTTTTCTACAATTTTTGCCTGTAGTTTTTTGTACATCAAAACGTAAAAGAAACGTCAAATAAGGTCAAATGTACTCTGTTGTATTAGGGGTTTAAGTGAAATTATTTATAATGTTTTGATGCAAAGAAAATGTGTCAGTTAAAAAAATTTGAAAACAATTAGGTATTCAAAATACGTTATCTTTATTTCTGGGCATTTATATTGTAGAGTAACTATCAACACCGCATTCTGCAATTTGTAGTTGTACCAAACCAAAACGACAAACCAGTAGATAAATATATATAATAGAGGTATAACAGGGGAATAAAATACTGGGGAATACCCGAACTCAGAATTTCAACAGTAAGACCGGGCCATAATTTTCCCGGTATTGTTACGTTGTGGTCGTAGATTTGTAAAAAAACGTATGCTATTTAGAATCAAAAATAAGGAATAACTTTAAAAATTAAAAAAAAATCATAGGGGGCGTTCTTGTTGCTTATACATGTTCTTATACAACCCTTACAAGGGAACGTTCCTGCACAATGATCCAGAACGTTCGCGAAAGTTTCCTTGTAACAAATGGTAACGTTTTATTCCAATACTGATTATAACTTAGGCATTCGAGGTGAAGTCTACATAAAGAATTTTGATGCATTTTTAGTTTTTTGAAGTAAATACATTTAAATTTTAGCAGATATTGTATGTATTAATTCTCATCCTGTTCAAGATGTGTATGGATTCTAACTTATTTACTTGACCATTTTAATTTGGCCTAAATTAAAAATGATAAGCATTTTTCTCCTTAATATTATGTAGATGTAGATAATGTGTGTGTAAACTAAGACAAGTATTTTTTTATTAGACAATGTTTAGAATATAGCACTATGTAATCATGTCAGATATTGGTAGGAGCTATTGATTAAAGTTTGGAGAAAGGTATACCAACTTAATTTGTGTTTAAAATCATATATTTTTCGTAATTACCTATAATCATATATTATATAGAAACTAGTATATATCGCCTCTAAACTGCACTTTGTGGAGTCGAGCCAGTGAAATAGGTTATAAATCTCCTGATGGAATTTGTTTGATCGACAATGCCCAATCGATTTTCTGAATTTTAGACTGGCGCAATTCGCCAGTACTTCCCTAGCTACCAGAAGTACTTTGGACCAGGTATCTGGTTGTCTCTGACTCGGCTTCAATTCAAACACATTGTAGATATAGGGGATAATCCATATAGTAGTTTCTATATACCGATTTCGTCATCGTAGAAGCGTAGTCTGGATTTTAACGTGTAAGACAGTGATGAAGGCGGTTTAATGAATAATCAAATGTATTAAAAAAAGAAAAACATTTGGGTTGATAGACTTATTAGACAGTTTTTGATCTTGTGTTCGTTTTGACGCTTAACATAGACGCGAGCCGCTTGCTGTTAACGTTATGTTAAACGTAACCTCTATGTCATCGTCGCTTGACGTACGACCTTTACGTTTTTTTTAAAGCGTGTTAGCCATGGTGAAACTGTTAGCCATGGTGAAATTCAGCACACAGTGCACGGCCAAAGAAAATTTAGAAATTAGTGATCAGTTTTCAATCCACAAAACTTACTTTAATCCGTGGTATTTATTAAACAAATAATCGGATCGATATAGTTGATATTCTTATTAAAAAGATATGCGTATGTTATGGGTTTGATGTCAATTTCATAATCAAATGTCGAATGAAATTAACCAGTTTCGGAGAGAAAAAGATAGAGACAAATTTACAACTTCTGCGCATGCGTAATGTTATCGTTTTTCTTATCGTCCGTAAGATAGCGGGGGTGACGTTAGAGATATACGTTAAATGACATTTCGTCTGTCATTCTCGGTAATTAGTGGCTACCGGTGGTACTTTTTAAGCGTTTCGAAAACTGTCTATTCTATGCGGTGTATCTACAGCTTAACAGATTCTTTTAAGTGTCGGTCTCTTTGGTAGTGTCGTTAGCGAAACACGGCATTATGACTGCAAATATTTTGTACCATGTTATCAGGCAACTGTCGGAAATGAGCATTATTAAATTGCTTAGATATATTATCTTAATTTATTATGTCTCACGTACAAACCGGCAACACTGTATGCCGCTTTATATTTTGTCTCTCTGTCTGTCAACTGATCGGATATATTTCTCTCTGTCGTATGCGTTAAAATACAGACCACGGAAATAAAGTGACCAGGGCTATATATGCCTATCATAGACGCACAAAATGTGAATGTATTACATATTTATGTTATTACAAATTTTGAACAGGATAAAAATATTTCAATACTGCCCTATATAGGATGTTCTGCTTTCTAACATAAAACACTCACGGTCATATATACAGGGTGTGCAAAAATGTTTTCAACAAATGAGATTTATTTATTGAGATCTTGAATAAAGTTAATATGGAATTTCTGCGGTATGCTCAGTAACAAAAGAAGTCAGTTTTATATTTGACATGCGAGAAGTGTCATTGCGAGAATTAAAAAAATTCTTTTCATATATGGCAAAAATGTGGTTCGGTGGAGGTTAGTTAATATACAGGGACTTTTAAAAATCCTAATTATTTGATTAAAGTTTGATAACTTAAAAGTATTTTTTTTTTTAAATTTCACTATTTAATATTGTATTAGGAATTATTTTCTTGTTGGATTTACTTTATGGAATTTCAGCTAAAAAAAGATGTTTTAAAAAACGCCAAAATAATTCTTAATTTTTTAAAGTCCCTGTACATAGACGTAAGATAAAATTCTGTACAATTGTTATACAGGGTGGCGCACCTCATTCGCCTCGGTTGATTATACGAAAACGGAAAGATGTAGAAACAAAATATTTTATGGGTATATGTGGGGAGGCAATGTGCACAATTTAAAATTATTTTGAATTATACAGGGTGTCTTAGAACTAAGATCCATACCAAAGTTATATTTTTTCTTATGGAACACCCGGTATTTTATTTCATTTTTGGATTCTTGGGCCCAAAAAAAGACATTTATTATAGGGGTTAAATATGTTTAAAATCATTGGTTTTTGAGATATTTAAAGATATTTAAATATGCATGCTACAAGAGAATTGATTATCAACACCCTGTACATTACTTTTCAGAATTGATTCTTGTACTGAGTTTAAAGGTAAAGAAATAAACTTTACTGAAAAATGTTATTGTTTCCTTAAATTTATACAGGGGTACCAAAAATTAGTGATCTATTTTACGGATTTGTTTTACATAAAAACTATGTTATTTCAAATGCAACACACTGTATTTTTTTAAATAAATTGAGGCAGATTTAAAATCTGTAGTATCTGCTGGTGGAACGAATGGGTATGTTACTAGTTACTAGTGATTTTGTTTTGTGAGGAAAATTATTTCTTGGCCTTGAGGCTCTTGAAGCGATTCCAAATAGGAATCTTCCTGATAAGCGTTCCTTTGAAAAACTACTTGTCCTATTTCCTCTTTCGTAGTGTAGTTTATAAAAAACCTATTAGGCAGAGACCTGTCGTTGGAAGTGAAGAAATTGAATTTGCCGTAATTGGCTCTTTTATAAAAAATTCATATATCTACAAGTTATCGTAAAATAAAACAAAGAACTACTTCTTCGTTTTTCTTGATAGAATAGTAAATACATATACTAATAAATATTATTTAAACTATTGTAGGTCAATTAAATAAAAGTAAACTGGTGTAGATTTAAATAAAGTCTATAAACTAATGTCGATTTTGAAAATAGTTACTGTCACTAGAAAATTGCCATGGCGATACCAGCCATCTTGATAGCCATTTTATTTAAAAATCGTTTTTTATTCAAAATCTGAGATATATAGTTTGAAAGAGCATTTGAATCTGCTTCGATTTATTTAAAAAAATACAGGGCGTTGCATTTGAAATAACAAAGTTTTTATGTAAAATAAATCCTTCAAATAAATCACCAATTTTTGGTACCCCTGTATAAATTTAAGCAAGCAATAATATTTTTCAGTAAAGTTTATTTCTTTACCTTTAAACTCAGCACAAGAATTAATTCTGAACAGTAATGTACAGGGTGTTAATAATCCATTCTTTTGTATGCATATTTAAATATCTTTAAATATCTCAAAAACCAAAGGATTTAAACATATTTAACTCCTATAATAAATGGCTTTTTTGGGCCCAAGAATCCAAAAATGAAATAAAATCCCGGTTGTTCCATAAGAAAAAATATAACTTTGGTATGGATCTTAGGTCTGAGACACCCCGTATATTTCAAAATAATTTTAAATTGTGCACATTGCCTCCCCACATATACCCATAAATTATTTTGTTTCTACATCTTTCCGTTTTCGTATAATCAACCGAGTCGAATGAGGTGCGCCACCCTGTATGTATAACTCTTTCGATATATTGCTACTCAATATCATTTTTTATATGTAAAGAGAATTCTTGTAATTTGCAGGCATGACAGTCTTTTTAAAAACTACGCAATGAAAAATTTCCAATTTGTTATGATTTTTGCACACAGTGTATATTCAGATTTGCTGATTCTCTCTTTCGTTTCTGAAACAGTTTTGCATAACAGTATATAAAATAATTATTTCAGTAACTTAGAAATATCTACGTACTTTAAAAAGCATGACACCCTATGTAGTTTTAATCTTTGGGTGCTCTAGAATAAGTATATTTCTATGGGATTGTTAGTACATACCAAATCATCACTTATATTATTTACTTTTTAGACGTTTTGAATAATAGTAATAAGAATAATTTTGCTTTAAGTGTGTCAGTTCAATTACAGACGATAAATTGATATAAAGTGCAAATTTTTAACTCCCATTAAAATGATAATGCATGTTAGTGTATGTCTTATTTTTACAGAAAAATTAGTACTCCCTAAATATTTAAGTTATATTACTTAGTATAGGCATTGTATATAATAGTAAACGATTTTTAATTTGTATATATTTAATAATTACGTTTTTTTCCACTATATTTTGCTTTTTTTTCTCTTTTGTAAATATGACTATTTATTTTTTTTACCTTTTAGTTAAAAATGTATTTGAAAAGTAATCCTCTATAAAAAAAACTTAAGTCTGCAACAGAAAGTAATCTTGTAAATAGATTATATATAAACAATTTAAATAAGCGAAAATTGTAGAGTCGTGTACAGGGTGTTTAATTCCCGATTGTAGAGAAGACAATTCTTTGCTCACGTTATTTCGTGTTTTTTTTTCGTACGAGTAACATTTATTTTTCATTCTTTTTTCGTACTTTTTATTTTTATATTTCAAAAGAAGTTATATCTATTAGCTAATGTAATATATAATTGCCCTTATTAAATGTTATGGGTTTATTTTTCTAAAGCACCCTGTACCCTTGAAAGCTATATACTCGAATGTAAGTCATAATCTTATTTGTATAAAAAACTAAAATAAAATACTGTAAAATTATTAACTAAAAGAAGTGTTCACTAATATTGAGAATTTCAAAAAAATATATTCAAATTACACAATATTACTTTTGGTTTTCAATATACCAATAGCCACTTTAGATTTGTTATATAAAAATTATGCAACAATTATGGTTAAATAAAAAAGAAGCAATTTATATAAAATTTTACATTTTTAAGCAATTTATTTTGTTGCATATGTTAAAATTTAGTATTGTTAGGTTAAGGGAAAATATTGGGAATTTCTCAGCTTAAAACTTTGGATATTTGTCATGGTATAACTCTCTTGATAAGTTACGAAAATCCTTTTGGTGGGGTCTGGTGGGGTTAGGTGCTAAAGTTTGGCATAGAAAAAGTGTCAAAAAGAAAAGTTTTACATCTAATTACAATTATCTACCAGGATCTATGACAGTGACAGTTGTGTCTGTCGTTTTAATTCAAAGGCAAACTGTATTTGATGCAATTTTTTGCATGTCTGTCGAAATCTTCGCAGGCTTGTTGGACGGGCTTTATCTGTTGTTTCTAGGTTCTTTGCATAGATTCTACCAGTTACAAAGAGTATTGAATTGTCCAGGTGCTCAATTTCTGGGTATCGTTTTGATCTTCAACTGAAGGATCACTGACAGTAACAGTTGTGCCTGTCATTTTAATTCACAGGTAAATTCATAGATAAAGAAAATAATCTTCTATTAAGATAGATATGAAACTTAATAGTAAAATTTTGGGTCAAAGCGCCCCTCCGTGTTCTTAGTAGAGACTACGTTTAACCCAGCGCCTTCGCCTTTTCTGCTGTAAATATTTTTTATGTTTATATTTGATTTCAAAGGATTTAGTTTTAAAGTTACACTGATATATTAGTATATCAGAGTAACTTTAATAAAACATAAGAATATATATATTTTACAGTTTATTAAATATAAATTTTGACTACAAGGCAGAAAGTAAATCACAATATTTGATAAAACTTATAAGTATACCATTTTTACAGTTAATAAATAATAAAAC